GATGATGCCGGACAAGTTATCCTGTTTATTAATTTACATTTAACCAAGTAGTGGTTCACTACGATGACTATTATGACCTTATGGCTTTTATCGTTTCTCCTCGACTGTCCCAACTCTGTTCAGATCACTTGTTGTTTGTTGATTACTTGTATGTCCGTGAGATTCAGAAGGCGTTTGTTTAAAAAAGTCGATCTGCATCGGCCTTATCTGCTTCTTCGTGCTCAGCATTTTGTTCCTCCTGCCTCTGCCAGCGTTCGTACATGTTCTATTGTGGGTGGGGCCGGCAAAGATGGCTTGTCGTTATTTAATGTGTCACTTGACGAGAGGAGTTTTTGGGATGTCCGGATGCAGTCTGAAGCCTGACTGGGTGAATCACAGAACATCTTCACTTTGCACATGAAGGTTACGAGTAGATGTAGATGTAGATGTAGGATAATAGTTTTGCATGTTGTAGCCAGTGCTAGGCCAGTTGTCAATGGAAAATAGGATGGTGCTAGATCTGTGAGTTCTTCTTTCCTTTCTTCAGTGTATACAAGCAACTTTGAAGTTCATGGGTGCGTGGTCCAGGCCTTGAGTTGGGGAAGAGGGGCAGGGGGCACGTGACCGGCGTACCCGCAGCGGGAAGGCGGCTCCAGGCGGACGCGTTGGCAGCCATACCCTACTGTATGTACCTTTCCCAGGGCTGCCAGCTGCAGTGCCCAGTGCCCTTTCACCCGTCTCCAAAGTGGCCGTTCATAACGCCCTTTTTTTCAGCCGCAACCCACCAATCAGCCGTTTCCATTCCATTTTGATCCTTCCCAGATCACCCTTTGACGCTTAGTCACTCAAAATCACGCTCTCGCTTGCCGCCCACTCCGCAAACCTATTTAAACCGTTTCTCTTCTCCTTTCCCCCCTTTCTTACACCCTCTGATTTTCTCTGGCCCGCTACGCGTCACGTCGACCATCCATCCATCTTCCACCCCGCGTTTTATCATTTTTCTTCACTCATCCATCTCGATTTTTACGCACATTTTGCCAAGATGACTGGACGTAAGTAATCTTCTATTATTTTCTTTCCCTTTCTGTTTATCGTGTTGCTGTTACGCGAATTGTTACGTGGGTTGCCCGTCTGCTGTGGCTGGATGAGGCTGCTTCGCAGCACCCTGCTCCGACCGCACGTGATCGCAGCCCTGCCTGACGCTCCGTCCCTCACTTCGCCACTCTATCTCAAGCTCAAGCTCTCTTATCTTTGCTACCAAATACTAACCGCTCTTCAATCAACAGGTGGCAAAGGAGGAAAGGGTCTCGGCAAGGGTGGTGCCAAGCGTCACCGTAAGATTTTGCGTGACAACATCCAGGGTATCACCAAGCCCGCCATCCGCCGTCTCGCCCGCCGTGGTGGTGTCAAGCGTATTTCCGCCATGATCTACGAGGAGACCCGTGGTGTTCTGAAGTCCTTCCTCGAGTCGGTCATCCGTGATGCCGTCACCTACACCGAACACGCCAAGCGCAAGACCGTCACCTCGCTGGACGTTGTGTACGCCCTCAAGCGCCAGGGCCGTACCCTCTACGGTTTCGGTGGTTAAACGCCGTCTGTTCTGCTTCGATCTCTCTATCGTCACATCATCTCGTCTGTTCACCTTATTCTCCATCGCTTGCCCATCAATTGGCTCGCCAACACGACGTATTCTCTTTTTCTGTCGCCATGCGCCAATCTTCGGAGTACAACTGGAGGATGGGTTCATGAAATGGATGGATGGATGAAATGCGACGATCACGAGAGACGACAAATTTGTCTTCGGTCTTCTTTTGCTTGGGATGCTTTTCGCTTGATGCAATGGGTTACGGGGTTTCAGGATCTGGTCGGGCATTGGTCGTTAATATCATCTGTTTCTAATTTCCTCCTGTTTTCCTTTTTTTTTACCAGGTCGGTGGATTCTGGCTTGGGAGTTTTCTATATGAGCTGCAGCACCCAAAGTTGTCGATCTCGTTGTCTGCGTGTAGATCGGTCGCGTCAAGCATTTTTTGGGTGGATAGATGAATGAAGAACTTCCATCAGCCTGTGACGTGTCTTCCTATTGATTCCCAGATTAATGGCAATCAGTCTGATTGCCGGGTTGTCGGTCACTCCCATGCGTAAATTCCGACTCTCTGTGATCTCACGGTGCTTTAGCAGAGTTACTATGCAGTAGAGGGACGGACGGGACAGAATCACATGCTCCAGAGTGAGAGTCGCACGACCCGCCCCGGGGCGATGATGTAATGGGCCCCGGCCCCCCTCCCGTCCTCTCCCTTTCGGGTCAATCAACCTCGGTCATCACACCATGCCGTTTGATGGATGGGCTACTAGAACAAAGTGGAACGATGCACCGTCGACTGGTACTCCTCCACCTTATCTCCTGATTTTTCTTAATTATCAAGTATCTTTGAGCCAGACTGCGCTTTCCATTCATCACCACAACGCAAACATACTAGAAGACCAAGATCTCCCAAACAGACCGCCCCATGTCCTGACGCGACTACCTTCTCCCAAAAGCAATCGACCAATCTAGCCCCAGGTATACACCGTGATGAACAATGTCAGAATACAAGATGTCCTATGAGGCGGAGCTGGTACGTTACCCCCTTTCCCCGTTGACTCTCTTATATGACTCCAAACGCGGCCTACGCATCACTTGGGAAATGGTTCACCACACCTGATAGCAAGCGCTAACTTAAGCGTCATTCAAACATCTAGGACTCCTACCAACTCTACCACCGCTACGAACAGCCTCGCCGACCCCAACCCCAGGATCAAGACTGGAAGCAGGCGGCGCTGCGGGGCCCCGCTCTGCCGGCGCTGGGCAACGCCCTGGCCGGCGCCATCGGCGCGGCCCTGAGCAATGTGGCGACGTATCCGCTGAGTCTGATCGTCGCGCGGCTGCAGACGCAGCAGACGAAACGCCCAAACCAGCAAGACCAAGAAAATGGGAAGAAGGCGAAGTCGAAAGACCTAAATGCTGGAGACGATGATGATGATGGTGGCTACGCCGGTGTCATCGACGCCGCCCGCAAGATCTACGCGCAGGAAGGGGGACTGGGGAGCTTCTATACGGGTCTCGCGCAGGATACCGCCAAGTCGGTGTTCGACTCGTTTTTGTTCTTCCTGGCGTATGAGGTTTTGCGGCAGCGGAGGATCCGGGCTCGATTTGGTGGTGGTGGTGGCGGCGTGCGGAGGAAGAGTACCGTGTTGCCGGTGTTGGATGAGTTGGTGATCGGGGTGGTGGCGGGGGCGTTTGCGAAGCTGTTCACGACGCCGTTGGCGAATATTGTGGCGAGGAAGCAGACTGCTGGTAAGAAAGGGTCGGTGGGAAGCAGTACGAGGGAGATTGCGGCGCGGATTCGCGCCGAGAAGGGGCTACGCGGGTTCTGGTCCGGGTATTCGGCCTCGTTGATCTTGACGCTCAATCCGTCGTTGACGTTCTTCTTGAATGAGGTGCTGAAGTATGCGCTGCTGTCGCGGCGGCGGCGGCGAGATCCGACGCAGAAATCAAGGTCCCTCTCGCCGGCGGTCACGTTCTTGCTGGCGGCGCTGAGCAAGTCGGCGGCCTCGGCGGTGACGTATCCGTTCTCCAAGGCTAAGACCCGTGCGCAGGTCATGGGCGATGACCCTTCGTTGTCGTCGTCGGCGCAAAAAGCTTCAGGTGTGGAGCAGGCGAAGGAGAACGGCAACGCGGAGACGGACGAGGGGATCTCGTTCACGCCGGCCATCGTCAGCAATGTCATCAACATTGCTCGCTCGGAAGGCGTCGCGGGCCTGTACGCGGGTTTACCGGCGGAGGTCCTCAAGGGCTTCTTCTCCCATGGTTTCACCATGCTGGCCAAGGACGCGGTGTACTCGGCCATCGTGCAGAGCTATTACCTGCTGCTGATCGCGCTGCGCAAGTACCCGAGCCCCGAGGAGCTGATCCAACGCGCCCGCGAACAGGCCGAGGAGTATGCGGACGTCGCGCGGGAGGGGGCTCGTGACTTGGCCGAGAAGACCAAGCAGGGCGCGGAGGAGGTGATGCACTCCCTGACCGCACAGGGGGAGCCCGAGGAGGCCAATCTGCTGGGGAATAACGAGACGGCGGAGATGGTGGGTGACTATGTCGAGGACGATGGCACCCACAAGGATCTGTATCATTGGTTCTGGGAGAAGGACCGGGAGGGGAATTACTGATGTTGGGGTTGGGGTTGGGTGGGGTTTCAAAGAGATTGAGCGTTCATCTACATCTGTACTAATTTTCCTGGAGCTGCAGTTTCGATATCATTGACTTTGCATACATTTCCTGTTTCTCGTCGATTGCTCCAACTCCGGTCTTTTGTCTGCAAAGCCGGGAAGTCGGTAGTCTGCAGCGACAAATCCCGGGCTGACTATTGCCAGTAAGCACCCTGAATCATACCGAAGCGGTTCACATCTCCCAAGTTCAATCCCAAGGGCTGTATGCATAATAGTTCCTAGTTCACGGAACACTGGTATGGAAGGGTTCTTACAGCCCCCAATCCACAATAGTCCTCAACAAACAGTGCATCCTGCAAACTAGTCTCGGCCTATATCTACACATCACCTAGGAAGTTCCCATCAGTAAGGTGTTTTAAGCCTCAGGCTTATATCCGAACACAGACCCATCAGTGAGGTTTCTCCCTGGAAGCGCGACCGGGACAGCTGAAGTGTCTGCGACAGATTGCTTAGTCTCAATCTAAAGATAAGCAGGGGGGTGGTGAGGATGGTGAGGGTGAGAATGGGCTGGAAGCTGACGGACGCTGACGCCGACGCTGACGATAATGAAGGCGGGCTAGTCCGACGGGCTACTAAGCTAGCTAGCTAATAAATCTAGCACTGTACGCAGTAAGTCACCCAGTAGTAAGTTAATTTATTCTTCCATCCATCGGCACACAAGAGCATCTTCTCACGAGTACAGTTCAAAGCTGTTAACAAGTAAGAACCTTGAAGTGATATAAGTATCCATCTGTCCTCCCGCTAAAAAAGAACTACATGCCACCACCACCACCACCACCACCACCACCACCACCAACCCCCACAGCACAACACAGTACAGCACACAGCACGACAAGATCCCTCCCCTCCTCAGCTAACTCAACAACCCCCACCCCCGATCCCCAAACCACCAAGCCACCAAAGCACCAGCACCAACAATGCCAATCCCAACCCCACCCCTCCAACTCCACCCCGTCACCGACCCCGACCTCCCATCCCTAACCCACCTCTTCTACGCCGGCTTCACCACCCCCACCGACCGCCAGATGTTCCCCGACACGCCGGGCCTGCGCGCCTGGTGGGCCGCCGCCAACCGCCAGGATCTGGAGCAGAAGGCCGGGGTCCGGTACCTGAAGGTGGTGGATCCGGGGCTCGGCCCTGCGGGTGGCGCTGCCGCTGCCGCACCGGACGCCGACGGTCATGCTGCAGAAAATGACACCAGTATTATCGCCTACGGGAAGTGGGATCTCGATCCGGGCCACCGCGGCGCCCGGTTCCCGGAGTGGCATGCGGACTCGGATGCGGCGTTGTGTAAGCGGTTCTTTGGCGGGTGTGAGCGGGTGAGGAGGGAGGTTATGGCGCCGAGGAGCGGGGGGTATTATTGTATTTCTCCCCGGGGTTGCTTTCTTGTTGGTTTTTGGGGGAGGGGGAGTGGGAGGGGGATGTTGATGATGATAAGTTACTGACCGTAAACATAGACCTCGATATGTTGGTGACGCACCCGCAGCACCGGAGACGCAGAGCGGCGACCATGTTGGTCCGGTGGGGGTGTGAGCTGGCGGACCGCACGGGAATGCCCGTGTATATCGACTCAACGCGCGCCGGGGTGCCCGTGTATGAGCGGTTGGGGTTTGTGGTGGTGCGCGAGGATGCGGAGGCGGAGTTGTTTAGTATGGTGAGGGAGCCGGGGGGTACTTCCTCCGGTGTTCATGAAGGATGAAAGATGGAAGATGGATGTCTAGACGGTTGTGGGAGTTCGGCGTTCAGGTTCGGTTCTCTTCTGGTGGGATTGGGTCGGATTGAGAGACTGGATTGATCTCCCTGGTCCAAGTCTTATTTGATAGACCGTTCCTGGATGTTGATTCGACTTAGACACTACTTATCAGCGCAATATAAGACAGTCATTCTCATGATATCGAAGGTAAGTCATAATTCATAATCGTCATAATATGCTACATCATTCATGCACGTCGTAAGAAATGGCCCGTCTCACGCCCATGTCAGTCGGTCATAACAAATCAGAAACAAAACCAGAAGCATGCAAAACAGAAAAGAAACGATCCCTCAAGCACAACCCCCCAGGTAAACCTGCCTCGAGTACCTGTATCAAGACCTTCTAGCCATCGCCATTACCGATACTAGACGGTCTCATCTACCACATGCACATGCGAGCCCGGAAACAACCCCGTCAAGCCGGCATAACAGCCCCAGTACCAGTCATCGTTGATATTCTCGGCTTCGGTGATTTCAGCACCGCGAGGGAACATCAGTTCATCTTTGACGCCGTCTTCAGGGTACCACGACCACAGAGCATGGACAATCAGCCCAACGCCTCCATCAGGAGGAAAGCGTCTTGATGCCGATGCCGGTACAGCGGAGGTGGGAAGGACTGGAGCAGCGAATGTCGGCGTATTTGGGGTGCTGGGTTCGGAGGACGGAGGAGACGTGAGGGCGGTGCGATCGCGCTCGCCGCCAAGTGGCCAGGGACGAAGACGGGAGGCCTTTTTGCGTCGCTCCGACCCTTCCTTCCAAAGCCAGTCGCCGGGTGCGAATTCGGGCGATGCAATTCCTGGCCCTGTTCCAGTTGCAGCAGACGACGAAAATGATGTAGTGTAATGAGGGAAAGGAGAGTTGGGAGTTCCAGGAGTCGACGCAGTCGCGTAGATGCTTGTAGGAGTAGGAACAGCAAATGGAGAAGATGACGGCTGTTGAAGGTGGTCGTCGTTCAAGGCACATCCGCCTACTAGATCCCTGACAATGACACGGCGCTGCCCCTCGTCGTGATCTTCGAAGCCAACGACTATCATACGGTGCCCCTTGATGCAGCGCCTCCAGCCATTGTGACCGTTCTCCTTGCGAATCTTGCCAGTGGCAACAAGGCGCAGGTAGCAATTCGCGCAGATGTCGTAGTCGCCGTCATTGCATACAAGGCAGTGGAAGCGGAGCGTTGATGCGGAGATCGGGTGCGTGCAAATGTCGCAATTTGTGGTGAAAGAAAGAATCTTGAAAATCTCAGTTCCTAACCCGGAGGCGTCACTGCAGTTGTTTGAGGCGCCATTTGGGGCGATTGTGAATGCCCCTGTTGGCGATGCTAATGGGCCATCGCGGGTGATGCGGCAGATGGGAAGCAGGGCGTGAGTGCAGCAGCGACCTTGGTTGACGCAGCGGTTGCAAAAGCCCCAGTCTCCTTCGTTGCATTGATTACACTTCCAGAGGCAGTCGTTTGCTGATGAATGGCAGCTGTCACAGAACAGCCCAGTCTGCAATCTTCGCGCGGGGTCATCATTGGTGACCATTCGCCCGTCTCTGTCGGATCGATAAGCAGATTCTGGTGCTTGAAGATACTTGCGAGACTGGAGTAAATGCGATGTATCGACAGGGGATCGAGGCTCACCGATCGATGATGCGCGAATGCGTTCGAGATCCGCTTTTGCGGACGCTCCGAAGCCAGCCCAATTGAAACAGCCGCGCCCGGTGCGATAGCATCGCAGACATAGGTGGAAGTTTCCATCGTTACATGTGGGACACTTCTTATGTAGGTCATACTGTATGTTGGGCTTATCGCACCGGTCGCACTTGATTGATGGTTCCATGTACAGTGTCGCAGAACGGGGAGGCGCGTTTGATCGAGAGGATGAAGGTCGTGAACGAGGCTCCTGCCTTGCTGCGACACCTACCTCGGCCACTAAAGAGCTGGTTGGAGGCGACGCTGTTGAGGGCTCATCCGGGCTTGAAGGCCAAGAGCCGTTGCGTCCCCTGTGATTCAAAGCCGTGGCCACTCGAGGAGAATCAATCGACGATCTTCCAGACGGGCGAAGCTGCCTCTCCCTTGCCCCTTCAACCCAGATGTTGGGAACGTTCTGTTCAGATGCAGTGGCACGGCGTGACCGGGATGCTGCTGAAGCCTCCGCTGTGCGGACGCGACCAGCTTGCGAGTTTCGGGGTCGATCAGCAACCATGTCACTTGACGATCGCGCCGCAGGCCGCAGCGAGACTTCCGAAGAGGATGCCGCGCCGACCGGTACAGGCGACGTCCTTCGACGAGTCCTAGTTCCCCCTTGGTCTGACAGACGTCTTTGATGGCCCGAATGCCCATCACGCGCGACAAGCGGATCCAGAAGATATGGTCTCGATACCGGGGGACCGCCATTCGACTCTCGCGTATCCCTCATAGCAGCAGCACCTGTACCATTTTCCGCCCTTTGCACAGACTGGGATCGCGCGCGAGGCCGAGAAGACGGGGTCTGCGAGTTTTCTCGAGGTTCCGTCCGTTGCTGCTGAGACCGTGCTCGTAGCCTATGCCTTCGACGATACGCATCCGCAATGCGCTCACTGAGCTCTTCCTCCTGTGACGGACCCATGTTATCCAGATCGATATCATCCAACAACCCCTCCTCAAAGATCTGTCGCAAGATCTCCTCTTGCATCGTTTCCGTATCCGACAAGCTGAGCAGCGACCTCAAGCTCGACTGATGTTCCACCCGCCTTGTCGACCGTTCCGGACCCTCCTCCCCAGCTGTCGTCCGCCGTGGTTGTCGTCGTGAAGAGCCCTCCCGTCGTCGTCGAGACCGACCATCCTCCTCCCTTCGACGCTCATCCGAATCGGTACCCGTGCCCTCCATCCGCCGATGACGACTCCGCGACGAATGTCGCGAGCGCTGTTGCTGTTGTTGTTGACGATATCCCGACCGACTGTCTTGCAAACTCAAAACCCTCACTTCCTCCAGCACCCTTCGATCCGCATCTGAACCCGCATCCGTGGACGGAAAGACTGAGTCGCCCGGCTTATACCTCTGCGCAACCTCCTCCTTCTCCGCGGCGGATTTGCCCCGGTCGGGACTGGCCGCCAAGACCATATCCAACAATGTCGTCACGGTCGCATTGGGACGGGTGTCGCGCACGGCAGCTCGGCATGATGGGCAGGTGAAGCGGGCGGACGAAGACGGTCGGGAACGGGTTCCTTGTACGGCGAACCACTCCTTAAGGCACGAGCCGCAGAAGGTGTGGAGGCAGTTGAGGAGGGTGAGGGGTTGGTAGAGAAGGTCGGTACAAATCTAGGTGGAGTTGAGTGTCATTACTTTCCTGCATATTTTTCCATCGATGATCTTCCTGTTCCGTCCCGTTCCAAGGAGAATGGAGATTATGTATAGTTCTGACAGATGAGCTGGCACGCAAGGGAGGCGAATGGAGAGCGTCGAATCATGGTGGTGGTGGGGGGGGGGAGGACACCCTTCAACTCTCCCGCAGCATTCCAGTGGTTCATGTCACCAAACTTACCGAACAAGTCAATTCTTTCTCGAGATCTTTCAGGCCTGGACCTGAGTGCGGTGCTGTCGACATGGAGGTACCAGAGAGAGGAAGTATCTGGAGGAATGGGAGGAGTTAGGAGGAGTTAGGAGGAGAAAAGAGTCAAACGGAGTCAACCAGAGTAACCGGAGTCAAGGTAAACAGGAAGGAAGATGGAGTGAGTTGAGGCCTGAAGAGAAAGGGAACGAGCGGGAGCTTAGTGGGAGAAGACCTGGAAGAGGCTGGGATTGCAGTGGGACTGGGAATAGGTCCGGGTCTGGGGCTGGGCTGGGCGGCCAGTCGGTTCAGGCACCACAAACACCCCGCCAGGCCCACTCGCTACCGTAACCGTAACCGCTCCACCATGCACGAGCATGTTTAACTTATTCTCTATCTCTCCACATCTATGCAGAATCGTCCACGCGAGTGAAATTCCAGAGATCAACAATTCGACTTCTAGTGGCGTTTGGCTTCTCAATTAATCTTTCATTCTCGATCTACCATATCAAGGAGACGAATAAGTCTGTGTTTCCTCAAAGGAAGGCCTTTGTCAAACACCTTCAGATGAACTACATTGGTAAGATATACTGAAGAAGGCCGTGATTATACCATCGTTCTGAGAACGTATCAGCAATTAGCATGTTGTGAGCGTCACTCACTCATCCTCCAGACCAGCTAATTTCACCAACAAAACCACCTCCTCATTCCCTCCCTGCTTTGCAGCCCACAGAATCGATCGCCCCATCTCATCTCTAAAGTGAACATTCGCCCCTTTGCCCAGCAGATACATCACCGGCTTTCGCTGGCCCTTATACGCCGCACGGTACAGTGCCGTGCCCCATTGTTCTGCCTCCACGATTCCACAGTTCGTCCACCACCCACTGGCTTCCTCCAGATCCGTCCCATGCTCCACCAGCAACTCCAGCGCCTCCATATTACCCAGCTCCGCCGCGGCAATGTGCGCGGCACTTCTCCCCTGGCGCCATCCATGCTGCAGCATCAACCACAGGATCTCCACTGACGGCTTCTTGCCAGCTAACGCGGCCACGCCGGGCTCCAGGTCATCGTACCCGCCCCACGCCTCGTTGGGATCCTGTCCGTTCTCCAGCAGGAAGCGCGCGATTTCCACATTGCCGTAGTAGGCTGCTAGACTCAGCGCATCGCCGACGACTTCGCTGTGGTGGCCGTTCAGATCGAGCCCGTTCTTGACCAGGGTCTTCCAGACGGCAAGGGATTGTGCGTAGCAGGCTTGATGGTAGAACTCATTGTTCAAGGAGCCTGGGGCGACGCGAAACCCCTCGCTGAAGACCCAGTTCAATATGTCGAGCTGAGCTTTGCCTGCCGCCTGGGCGGCGATGTGGGCTAGTAGGCTGGGTTGCTTTTCGGGACCGGTTGACTGGTACAGGTCTCGAATGGCTTGAAGATCGCCGCTGGCGGTGTCTGTTTCAACTTTCTCGTGCACGTGCCTTCCCAAAGATGACTCCATAATAGAGATGTGCGTCTTTGTATGAGAGAGCAGAAAACGAGAACGGTGTCTGAAAGAAAGGTTCGCTTTCCGTGTCTCACGATGCAATTGAGCAGCCCGGATGCTGGAGCTCTCTACTGAGTGGATGGAGAGCTTTGGGGTGTCCTGGGTCGAGCTGCTGATGTTGACGAGAATTGTTTGGAGATTATGCCAGCACGGCTGTGACATTGCGCCTGTTGAGTGAAAGGGATGAGAATCCTGTCAGATTCTCAACTTGGTCTCCATTGACTGGTTTAGGTGGCTTACTAAGAATATCATAGGCTCTCAACGAACAACTTCTAATTGATGTTGAGCCTCACCATCATCCTCAATCGATGTTCCAAGCAGGAACCCACTCATGAGCTTCTTCACCGGCTAGCCGGAGAAGTCCATCAACGAGCTGGTCAAGTGGGCGAACAGGCAGCACCTCCCCTCGGTGCGCGACATCTGGAAGAACGTCAACTTCTTCCAGAGGGCCACTACAAGAACGTCGACGCGGCCACCTTCACCCGCTTCCAGCAGGCCTTCTCCAAGTAATACGCGCAGCAGACGGTGGGCACCGCCTATCTCGTCTTTCCGCACGACAAGACACCCGCGATGACCAATATCTTCTACAGCGTCGAGCTACCGGAGACCATCGCCCATGGGAACGTCGAGGTTGTCTGGACCAATTAGAATAAAATCCACGAGAAGGGATATGAGTGAAAGTCGGAGACTAAGGTCTATAGGAAGAAGGGGAAGAGCAAGCCTGCGGGTGCTCAGAGGTTTCGGACTTCAGACGGTTGGCGGGTTTCGGTTGTCCTCCATGGTCAGTGAGTTAGAGGACTGTTCATGGTTCCTTTCTGGAAAATTTTGGGGAGATATTCCCGCGGTGGGGGTTATAGGTTGAAATTGTTCAGTTGAGCTACCACGTTTGGGAGAGTTTGTCATATAGGCGAAATTGTATGATAATACAGCGGGTAAGCAGTTTGGACCATGATGTATCTTCAGAGGCAGCAAACTGCTATAATTGAAGCTTTGACTGAAGATTTGTCATTGAAAATAGCTGCGAGACTGAATATGTACACCACCATGGGGTGTTCCGACAGCGCTTGGGGATTTCTCCTCGCAGCTCACCCCCAACGGGGAGAGGATGAGGTTTCCAGGGAGGGTGAGTGGTTGCAGGCGAGACAACACGAAAACTCTACCACGACCTCCCCATGCCACCTCAGATCTTCCCATGAGCAGTTCTTCTCTCCGGATTTTTCCGGGGCCATTACTTTCTTTCTACTTAGATCACCTGTTCCATGATCAGTTCATTGTCCGCTCAACCCTGGTTATCTGCATCTAAGATCGGTTCCTTGGTGATTGCTCGAGCGGGTAAGGCATTTGACTCAGCTATCTATGCAAGCTTTTCCGGTCATCAAGGGAGAATCCTGATATCAAGGCACGTGTTAGTATATTTTAGGAAGGAGTCGAACGGCCCCCCGATCCTATTAGAAAGACCGTTGGCACTTGACCATGCCCATAGGTACTTCGAGACTATTCATATCGTGACGCGGCAGAGGCACTGAAAAGTGCTGGAAAGTGCACGAGTACTGACTACAATCAGATCTCAAGATTATTGCCCTCTTTCTGTGGTTCCACTCGGCCAATTGTTCCAAGAGATGTCTATCTCCGATCCCAACGGGCACGTTCTGTCACCCCTCGACCATAGCATCCCAAAGGTGTATTTCACCTTCTACCTCTCTTTCAGCCTGCAGCAGCCAGAACAGGGCTTGGGGTCACTTCGAAGCGGCACTAGAAAGCTCACCGAGGTCCTTCCACTTATCACGTACGATGTGGTGTCCTCCGATATCATATTTCCCGAGAACGTTCACTGCATCCGACCTCCCTCTAGTTCAACTCAGTCCGTATCTTTACTCCAAGTTCGGGACCATTTTCATGAATCAGTAACAGTACTTGGGAGCATCTCCACCTGCACGGGAGATGAAGAATTGGAATTCTCCAAGAAGTACGCACCCCTGCCGACAGTTTTGGATCCCACGCAACCCCAGCCTGCTATGAGATTTGCCGCCAACATGATGACGGATGGGATTCTTCTGGGTGTCAGCTTCAACCACCTGGTCTTTGACGGCACCGGGGTTGGTAACATTCTCGGTGTTCTAAGCCATTGCTGCAGTGGTACGCAGAGCACGGCAGACCTACATGAAGTCAACATGAAATTGCGTCAGCAGTTGTGCCTTGAAAATGTAACCGGCAAAAGCGTATGGAAAGACTTTTCCGCCACTTACAGCGCGGAAAGCCCTTTATCATGTTTACCCCCTGCAAAGTGCCATTCGGAAATAGCACCGCCGCTCCTCGAATCCTTTCGATTCAACGTGCCGGACCAAACGATCCGTCGGTTGAAAGGTGTTTGTACTGCCTTACTATCCACCAACCACCAGCACGAGACAGACGTGACTTCTCCGGACTACATCTCATGCCATGATGTGCTGACCTCCCTTCTTGCGCTGTGTCTGCGTCAGGATCAAGCCACAGCACTACACCAGGGTGAATACACAATCTCCTTTGCGGCCAACCTCCGACCTCGCATGAGGCCCCCCTGGCCCGACCTATATCTCGGGAACATGGTCGCCATGCTGCACGTGCCACAGTCGTCCCTGACAGAGAAAGTCAACATCGGCAAAGGGATCATCGCGGCACATCATCTCAACATGCACAATGAGGATTTGATTCAAGTTGCCAACACAGCCGCCGCAGTCCGTCAGGAGATCCGAACCCTGACGGACCCGCACATTCGCAGCTTGATTACTTATTTGCAGCTGCAGCGCGACTGGGGAGCAATGAACATCAAAGGCGGTCACTTCTCCGTCACCAGCCTTCGGCATTTGAATGTTTATAGCTTCAACTTCGGCAGAGATTTGGGCATGGTAGCCGACTTTTGCCTACACGTGGGGCTACTGGATGGTTTGCTGTGTGTGGTTCTTCCCAAAGGGCAGCACAAAGCATGGGACATTCAGTTCATGCTGCAAGAAGAACAAGTTGAAGCAGTCAAAACCCATCGTCTATTTCGTTGGTTAATGAGTGAATGTGATGGGCATGTCAAGCATGGTTACTGTGCCTCCCCATTGCACGGCACCATGGATTGAAGGCAACCCCCCCCTCCTTCTGTATATCAGGTACCATGTGTTTGTCGTGAGCTAGGAAATGAGTTCCGGAGGGGGAGGCTCCCTTTTCCCTTTCAGAAGGGCAGGAGCCAGTCCTACCTAGGCAACAAACTAGCAACCGTCCTAGGGAAGTATGCGCCTTCCGAGCCAGGTTGATGTCCCTCTATGATGGGTTTGACTAGGGGAAATGCACAACTCTACCCCATCTCCCAACAACCCTCATCCACTTACCATTACTATATCCAAATCATGTCTCGGGTCGATCCTACCTCAAGACCGCGAAGGTCCATCCAGAGAAAACCAATACATCGTGGAGACATGATTCCTCCCTCTATTCCCCCATCTATTCCTCCTTCTATACAGCACATCGAAAATAGTCATCTATATCATTATCCATCATCAGCATCTTATCTATCTCGCAATCAGCAGTTCGTCGATCACTCCGCTCATAGTCATCCTCAGCCGGGCTTACTGCGTCATTCCAACGATATTGACCACGCCGAAAGACTGCAAGATTGGCTTTCCCGTAAGCCTGCCCAATCACCAAGCCTGTTGTCTGCTGAGCACTCCTAATGCTGCCTTTAGAGGCTGATTTGACACCAAGGCGGCCTGAAGTGCAATACATGGCCAAGAGAAAGTCAAAGGCAAGGCAGAGGAGGGAAAGGAGGAGAGCAGCAAAGGCTCAGCAGGCGTCAGAAAGAGCAGCCACGGCGTCAACGGCTGATCCCTCGACAGTGGAATTTTCGTCCACTTCCCCAACGACAGAAACAGAGCAAGCCAAACAAGAGGAGCCAACAATCAAGGCACCGGACGCAAGTACCGAGAAGGGACCGACAACCGTTGAGCAGCTAGCGGAACAGCTTGCCAACTTAGCCAGCCTGATCGATTCCGTGAACAATGCCCCCGTCGAAACCTACCCTCTTTTCATTTACCATGAGCCTTACTGGTTGGGACGAGGCAGTGCCACTCGCGCCCTCCCAGGCCTTAATCGTGCTCTCGCAGTGGGCGTGATGGATTCCGAGCGCGTGGGCGCTGTCCTCTCGAAGATTAAGCCATCGGAGATGATGGGCCTGCGAGACGTTTACCGGTCACTCTTCGATAGGGAATTGATGGACGATGTGAGAGAGAATACGGTTGGGCTGGTGGTCAGGCAGGATCCTCAGGAGGAAATCCGAGCTATTGACTTTGACTGCACGGGGGCACGTTATGATCTTCCGTCGGGTAGAGCTGTGACCATTCTGAAAGCTGTGACCGCGCCTACCCAGGAGCAGTTGGACACATTGTTGCCATCGGCGGCAGCCACTAGGAGCGATAGGTCGAGCGGGATGACTAGCAATGATGGATTTGCCGGAAGAGCGTTTCACTGATCTGCTGAGTAGGTAGGATGGTGGTCTTATACAGTTACATAGTATCTGGAAGCCAGCTTAGAGTAAACTCTGCTTAGCTTAGTTTTGGCTATTATTCCACAATGAATCATTTGAGCTTGTCCAAATAGTGGATGAAGTGTAACAACGATTGCAGACTAAACAGTGCAGTGTGCTTTCCTGACACAAGTAAATGCAAAGTCTGTTCTGCTTGCTTTGCAACGCGCCTCATGAGCTCTTTGGAAGATGGGGCCTTTTCCCCCTTCGGTCGAAGTCTTCTTGTGCTTCTTTCGATGGTTCACAGGTACCATGTCGGCGCCGGACCTACTAGGTAGGTGGTCGCTCAGTCCCAAACTGGAATTTGAGCCCGACTTCCGAGGTCGGTCACCGAGGCGCAGGGAAGATCCTCGGGAATTTCCCGAGGTGTGGAGACTCCCCATGACTAAGCGGGATACAAAGCGGCCTAGACTATCGACACGTGACCGATAAGCATCAACGAAAATATTCTGTGATGTCGGCTCTACTCTCGAATGATGTCGGTGTTGTCATGGCAGACGTGGCCACAGTCTACTCTCTGCACAGCTGACGAACATTATGACGTCCTGCTACCTATAATAGAATCACCCAAGGGATCCTGCCCTCCGTAAGGCGCTCCATTTCCCCGGAAATCGTCGGGCGGCACGTCGATCGTCCTCGGAGCAACTGATCTTCCTCCTTTCAATAAGCTTCGATAGAAAAGAAGTCAGGACCGCTATGAAGACTGCCTAGCTATCAGTCTCGGCTCAGCGATGGAACATCCTGGCGCTGGAGACCTCAATTCCTACATATCCCCCCTACGCATGACTGCCCTCCGACGCAAATAAATCGCATCGCTTAAACGTGCTGCCAAGATACCCCCGACTCCAGCTCTTGCAACATTGAAAACAATAGTGTGCCACTGCGCCCCTCTCATAGAGGGACTGCCAAGCACCGATGGGATGATGTGATGGTGAAGCGATTAGCCGGTCGCCCCTAAGGCTGAAGGGCTGCAGCGGTTGGGGTGGGGACCGTCGAGCTGCGTGCGTACGTATGCCTCTATCCACTTTTGGCGGCGCTGGAGCGGCTAGCGACGCCCTCGGTGGGAACATCAACCATCATGGCGCAGTCTGTTGACCACGCTGATGGAGGAACAGTGCAAGACCCTGTATGTTCTCTGTCTATCTGTCTTATCAAGGGTTGCAGCAATTGCGCTTTGTCGAGACATCATCGTCAACAGGCGTGAGTCGGGTCATCGGCAGCACCCGTCCTAACGCGTCAGGAACCGCGTACGTACCACCCGTGGACTTCGAAAGGCACGCAAAACCCTAAATCAATGAGTGGCAGCGGAAAATGCCAAGACTCCCAAAGATTGGGGCGATAGATCGGAGGGGCGCCCACTCTCCCCAGCTCTCTCCCCCCCTGGATAGGCAACATGATTCGAGAATTCATCAGCCCCCCTGCCGGAGTTTTGTCAGCGGCATTGTCATCGGGGTTTATTGACTCAAGAAGCTGTTTCGATTGATAGCCAAGCCCCGATCTGCGTTGCCTGTCTAGCCCGATGATGTCGTATGTGGCTATGATGTGTGCCACATTTCTGGAAGGAAAGTCTGGGTCTGCTCTGCGAGCTCCACTGCTTGGCTGAGCGACTGTCTGTCTATATAAGAGGGGCTGACCACCTCCGTTCCTTCTGCGTTCCTCATCAAACAAACAAACCATCTATCCTCTATCTATCTTTCACAATGGGTCTCTTCCACCACCACAACCACCACGAAAACCCCCCTCACCACGGCGGCCCCCAGGGCGGTCCTCAAGGCGGCCCTCACGGCGGCCCTGGAGGCCCCGGAGGCCCTGGCGGTCCTGAACACTTCGGTGGCCCTCAAGGCGGTCCTCACGGCGGTCCCGGCGGCCCTCACGGTGGTCCTCACGGCGGCCCTGGTGGTCCTGGAGGCCCTGGTGGTCCCGGCGGCCCTCACGGTCACGGTGGCCCTCAAGGCGGTCCCGGCGGACGCTGGTAAAGTAAGTTAGCCAACCAAGTCACATCATATGCACCACGATCAATCACTAACGCCTGAATAGTACGATCTTACCTACCTCCGACCACCATTTCACCGCGCTTCGCCAGGAGTTGAAGCTTGCTTGGACTGTACATACGTTGTTGGATTTGACTGTGGTTGAACATGTCTTGCATCACATACATTTGCCATGATTGAATGGCTCAAATACCCAATACAATCAGAAATCATAATTCGACAAGTTGCTTAAACATCCTCCTGATCTTGTATTTCTCCGGATTCTTGTAGAACTCTAGGCTCATACGCACTCTACTCTCCGTTTCAAACGCAATAACGTTGTCGGGATAGACAGAAGATGTCATTAGGATCCCTGGTTACTGTACCCATCTCTGGCGGGGCTCGTTGTTCTAGATGAATAGGTTCCACGTGGTACGTCATACAAACAGCTGATTTAGCGCTGAGATTGATAAGGTGTTGTTGATATACTTAGACTAAGTCTTTGGAAATCTAGGCCAATGATAAGATTTGTCGGATGAGTTCATGTGAGACTCGACAGTTGCATAATTGATGTAGTATGAAACCTCTTCATAGCCCAGGTTGTGCTCAACATCAAATTGACCACCACTATATCGAATCCAATTCACAATTTCAATGATAATAAACTTTGGTCCATGCCTATATTTCCGCCCCCAAGTCGGAGAACGGAGCCCTGCTGCCTGAGGCAGAAACAACGGACACGGAATCCCGTCCCCGCTCAAAGAGTCATCAGCTCCTGTCCTTTACGCTCTTCAACCGGCTCCCAGCCTGGAGCTTGCCTCGTTCTTCCAGATTCACCCAAGCGAGATTATTCTCACTCTATCTGTGTGTTCGTCATGCGCAGCCAGGAGATTACGCCACTCAAAGCATGCCGGCCATGCTCCAAAGCCAAGACCCGGTGCGATCCCGGGCCAACCAGCCAAGCCTGTCAGAGGTATGGGTGCAATGCTTGAGAAACATAATATATTTCCGGAGTCATACTGACAGCAAACCAGGTGCCATCGTCTACGGAAAGAATGCACGAAGCAAGCCCCGGGAGCGCATAGTCTCGGTAAACCCCGAACCAGAACGTTGACGTACGTGCTGTCCATTCTCTCGGACTTCCATATGTGTATGTGACGTTAAAATACCTCCATTTTCAGGGACGTGCGACGATTAGAGAGGAAACTGGAGAACATGACCTCACTACTGGGGGCCACACAGCAGCCCATTGAAGGCATAATCTCCAACTGCGGGTGCCTGACACCCGTCGGCCAGATGCCCCAGATGCCACAACCACAGACCCATTCTTCGAGCGGGTCCGACGAGACACCGCAGGCGACAATCGCCGTCTTCCACCAGCGCATGGCGACGCGCTTCCCGTTCGTTGTGTGCGCCTCCCCTCTGTCGGATGATGAGCTTCTCCTCCGCAAACCGTTCCTCCACATGGTCATGTCCATGATCGCCTGTCGGGATCAGGAGGCGCAGTGGGACATCGCCGGGAAGGTCAAGGCGTACCTGGTTGAACGGGTCGTGGTCAACGGGGAAGCTAGTTTGGATCTCTTTCAGGGGTTTCTCCTCTTCCTTGCGTGGTGAGTCGCCCCCCTTTTGATCGTTCACTATTTGATTACAGCTTTGACCGCCGTGGGGGGGTGTGTGTGTGTGTGAAATAGGGCGCATATCCACGTCCCCTCGCCGGAACAATTGTGCAATTATCTCCATCTTCTGGTGGCTCAGAGCAAAAACCTGGGTTTAGCCAGAGATGTGTCGAGCGGGGCGCCGCAATCCGTGTTGTCGTATATGAAGTGCAGACAGTTTGAGCGGCCGTCCGGCCCGGGCCGGACTCTGGAAGAACGCAAGGCTTCTCTGGGGTGCTTCTACCTCGTCACGATGTATGTCTAATCAGCCTCGGTTTTGACGATGCCACGACTGACCCAGCCAGGATCTCGATGTGTCTAGGAGAGTCCGAGCCCATGCAGTATACAAGCTACCTGGAAGAGAGCTACCAAGTGCTCCAAGCAGCGGCGCAAGGAGAATCCGATCGATACCTGTTATGTCTGGTCGATCTCGCTCGCATGGCGGAGAAAATTCACCGTACCCTTCAGCCAGACCACCCGCATGATTCGATTAGCTCCTCGGGCTGCTCACACAGAGGAATTGCCATCCGATGGCTGCAGAAGGAGCTCGAACAGCTCAAGCCTGCGCTTGCATTCGATGATCCCACACAGTCCTGTAAGCCCCTTCCCCCGCATCACAAGAAAACCAAGAGCACTTTTGACAAAGGACCTAATAATGCGACAGCATTCCTCCTCCTCCAATACCACAACCTCGAACTCTTCGTCTACCGCACCGCCCTCCGCCGCGACCCCGACTTCAGGGAGAGCACCTACCCTCCCACCCACCTCACCACCCTACACGCCTGTCTCCACGCCGTGAAATCCTTCTTCAACACCTTCTTCGCCATCCCCTCCTCCGCCTTCTTCCACATGCCCTACCTCCTCTGGTGCCAACTCGGCCACGGCTTCTTGGTCCTGTCCCACATCTCCGTCTACGACGATGGAGACGACGACGGCGACGACGACGACGATAGCCCAGCACAGAGCCTCTGGGACAGGGAGTACGCGCGCCAGGTCATAGATTATCAGGCGACGGTCGACCGACTCACGCAGAAGGTGGCGGATGCGGTGACGGTCGCCCGCGAGGAAGGGACCCTTGTCCCGAGGGTGTTTGGCAAGGTGACTTCTCGGATCGCCATGTGGCGGGATGCCCATGCGAGGCAGGAGGAGGCCTTGCGGCAGCGGCAGCGGCAGAGAAGTCAGGTTCCGTCTGCGTCCACGGTCACGACGTCCACGACGACAACGAGCCCCGAGGTTGTTGTTGTCGGGATGGAGACGGAGACGGAGACGGAGGAGTTGGTGCCTGGTATGGGGCTGGAGGATTTGTTGATGATTGGGCCCATGTGGGAGTTTCTGCCTTTCTGACCCGGGAGGAGGGGTATCCTTCGTGCTATGGCTGGACTCTGGTTTGGTTAGGCTATAGGGCTAAATCGAGAATGGATGCAATGAGGCTGGCGAGACAAAGGTGGAGGAAGGCATTATGGTTTCTATACGATAGATATGGATTCCGTTCGCTTCTTCCGGGCAACCTTGGCTGTCTGCTTATATACCACCTGTGCACCGACTGTACCTGTCAAGATGGTTTGCGGTCATTCGTTATGTGCAAGGCATGAGTGGAATCTCACAAGCAGCTAATACAGCCTCAGCCGCATTAGTGGGTCTGCATCCATCCGTCACTTTGCGGGGGGGGGGGGAGGGGGCTCACGTCATCTTCCAATTTTGACAGCATTGATCAACCCGTAAATTCTACCCTGGTTGTCTCGAAAGAACATCGCTGTACATTGTTTGGATGGCAGAGGCAGCTACCGGATACTCGGCAAATAGAAGACCATCTGCTCAGTTCAAAAGGATGAAAGGATCAAACCGAGATCACCACACCTTGACCTCCCTCGTCTAGTGAGATAGTCTACACATACGAGCACTGAGTCGGTTAGTTGGACTAATCCTGTCCCATCTTCATCACCAGGGTAAGCGACCCGCCGATCGCAATCACACTAACTGCGCGAGGAATGCCAGCAGCCAACGGGCACCGTCGATGTCAATGCGAATTCTCCACTCGATTTGACCCTGGCCCCGTTGCCCGTGCCCGATACATTTTAGACATTTTAGCGCAGGGACAGACGGGGAGTGGGGAAAGTCACGGAAATACATAGCATAGCTTAAGTAGGTAGGCAAGGTACCTAGGGTTCCTCTTCTCTTCTTACACCTTCTTTTCTCCGTACCCTAACTAATGTACTAGTGGCAGTGGTAGTTAAGTTAGTGGCAGTCTCACTCCCCACGCTCACTCCTAATTTCTTCACATCTCATCTTACTCTCCCCATCCTCTCCCACCCACCAATTTCACCCTCACAACGAAGGACTACACAATGACCGACAACACCACCGAAATCCAAGGCTTCGCCTCCCGCCGCAACAACACCTGCCTCGCCGACGAGGTCAGCTGCGGCCGCACCTGGGACACCTGGTACGCCTGCTGCCCGTCGGGTTCCTACTGCCCCGGCAGCAAGGTCAGCATCCCCAATAACGTCTGCTGCCCGAGCTGGACCGACTGCACCGCCCAGATCGAGGACCCGCCCGTGTGCGCCGACGCCCAGTGGGCCCTGTACAACTACAGCGGATATTTCTGCTGCGAGGGCGATACCCAAGGGTTTGGGGTGAAGAAGGAGACGTGGGTCGGGTGTGCGCCGGCGGGATTTCAGGGGGATGCGTCGTTTTCGGCGTTGAATGTCATTGCGCAAGGTATTTCGTTCCATCCTCCCTGCACTGGGGTTTGGGGGTTATCCGGGATATGAGTCTGAGAGCTAAGGGGTGTTTTGGGTGGTGTTGGCTTAGAAACGACTGCGACTGCGAGCGCGAGTGCGACTGCTGGTTCGGGTACAGCGACGATAACAGGAACTGCAACGACGACTGGAACGAGCGGGGCGGCGGTATCTTCGACGACGACGACAACGGCTGCATCGACTGCCCCTTCACACGGGGTCAATACAGGGGCGGTTGCCGGGGGCGTGGTTGGAGGGGTGCTAGGTGTCGCTGCGTTGGCGGCCGCCATCTGGCTGCTGATGCGACGCCGGAAGAAGACGCAGTCCCCCGGGTACCAGCCAGGTGTGTCGTCGCAGCCACAGAATGCAGGGTATATGTATGAGGCTACCGGGGAATCGAGGTTGGGTGAGCTGCACAGTGAGCCCACGCGGATCGAGCTGGTGGGCCACAAAGATCAGTTGAGGCATGAGTTGCCTTGATATGTGCCATATTCGACTTTGATCCGTTCAAAAAGACGTCCTTCCTTCGAACGGACTGACGAACTTGAATTTACTTGTGGGAACCCATGCACAGGCTTTTCAATGAGCGTTCCCCGCATATCACTGAAGAATGTGAGAATGTACTATATTGATACCCGGCGACTTGGGTGTAAGTCGAGAGGTGAACCTGGCGTTCTAGCTTCTAAACCGACAGAGATTTACCCGGCCGGGTATCAAAAATAGCTCATGTCTTGCGCGTTGTCATATTGGTCCAGACGAAGGGCTTTCTTCAGACACGCAAGTGCAGGAATTGGGCGAATTGTGTCCCGAGACATGCTGGGACAAGCACACGTCGCCCTCATGATCGGGCTGGGCTAGAAGTGTTCTCTGTGTATTCCGGTACAGCTCTTTCGATTTCAAGTCCTGGTACGTATGCTGAATGATTGAGAACATACTTCTGCCATGCCCCTCGACCAACCAAGCCCCCTTGTCTCCGCTCCGTGACAGCAGCTGTCACCAAGTATTCCCTTCTACAAGACAAATCAGATCGATACCATATTAAATCATATAAAAGGCTCACCAATCTGGCGGGCAATGAGATCAACATCGCCTCCGAACATCCATTCGATTTCATCCTGCATTCGGATCAGCCCGCTGTCAGCAATCCATTAAGCCCAAAAACCTCACACCATAGAATATCTCCGAATGGCTCTGGTCGCGCGCAGTGGGAGAGGTAGATGGTAAGGCTTCGACACGAGAGACTAGATAGCCTGTCTGATAGAAACGGAGTGTATCATTACGATGGAAAGTGCGCATTGTTTGAATGGATGGCTGGACCTGGTCAAGACCTTCGTACCACTGCCCGAGAATGTCTCTATAGAACTTCCGGCCGCAGAGTGAGCAGTGGGGGATTCGCACGTAATCTTCATAGATATGTGCTTAGGGATCTATTATCCAAGCAACGAAAAGCAAATTCGAGAAGTCGAAGATGCAACAGTTAGAGTGCAATAACTCGTAGTCATCTCCTAGGGAAAATCGAAGCTGATCCATTACGGGTAGGGGGGATGTTTCGGGCAACGACGAGGACTTGAGTGCCGGCTAGAGGTTATATTACGAGACCGCCACGACTAGTGAGGTTAGTTCGCTGCCTCGGCTACTCTTTCCTAACCTCACAAGTACCGTCTCAGGAACAACAATCACAGCTTTTAGCTACAGGGTATATACACCGAATATACATGATAGGTGAACAACAGTCTATTGGATAAGAAAGAAAAGAGATCCATAATACAAAGCAGAACGGCGCAAATCGCACACTCGAAATCAACTATACAGTCCATAGAATTTCACTTATCTCTTCCGCGAAGGAGCCGCAGCAGAGCTAGCAGCGCCGCCCATCAACTCGGGCGTGCCACCGACAAAGGCGCGGACGATCTCCTTCTGCGCGCGCCAGATGACCCAGACGGGCACGATGACCCACAGCCCGTTGAAGAACGTCAGGTAGACATACACGTACATCCAGTGGCTCGTGTTCAGCGCGGGGCTGCCGGCCAACCACTCCGGCACGAAGGTCATGAACCCGCCGTACAGCTCGGCGGTGGCCAGACAGGCGGCCACCAGCCAGGTCCGGGCCACGACCACGCCGCGCTGCTTGCTGCCCAGCCGCCCTTGCGACAGCCGGTACAGGCTGTAGCAGATGTAGGCGGCGGCGGGGCCCCCGAGCAGGACGGTCAGCAGCTCGATGGAGATGACGGTGGGGTCGGCGCCGCCCCAGCGGTGGTCGGCCTTGGCGTACTCCTGCCACAGGCGGGCGGTGGGGTCCCACGAGGCCCCGTAGGTGGCGCCGTAGGCGCGGTCGCGCTGGTTCAGGAACACGGGGCCGAAGCGGGACTGAGTGGCGGAGATGGTGATGGAGCTGAAGAAGCAGTGGTACAGGAAGGAGCCCTCGATCAGGAAGTGCGTGAGCGCGTCGTACGCGTGCCAGAAGAAGAGCAGGCTGGCCAGGTCTTGGTGCGCCGGGATGAGCCGGCGGCCCAGGATGTAGGCGATCAGCATCGGGAGGAAGGCCATGACGAGGCAGCTGACGGTGGGCACGTCCAGCACAAACGGCTGGGCCATGATCGCGCTGTAGTCGTACAGGAGGGCTTGTTGGAGAAGGTTGTCGTCGGTGTGAACGGGTGCGTTGGGGTTGGGGAAAGCCACGGCGGGAGGAGGCGCGGGGTTCGTGATGCGATCAACGGTCTGCGCAGCAATGGTGGTGCTGAGCAGGTGCGAGTGCAGGTTTGAGGCTATATTCGTGAGGTGGGACTGCGCGGTCGTGAGGATGGACTCGACCGAGTCTTTAAGTCTCATGGTGGGCGGGTTGGAGACGTGGTGGTTGATCGGGGGAGGACAATGAACGAGAAGGAACAAGTCAGTTGAATCTCTTGAGGTTTAAGAGGAAGTGGTCTTTCCCCCCCTGAGAAGATCTCGCCCTCAAAGAAAGTCGCGTCGATGCGCGATCCCGCGGCCTCAGGCAGGTGGGACTTGTCTGTTTTGGGGATGGTGGCGCCCCACTCACGATGCCTCGATGCTTTGTGCTTTCTTTCATGCTATTTCCAGCTTCTTTCACCTCTGCCTGGGAATCCTCTTTTGCAGGCAGTATAAACAACCTCGTTCTCCGAAGTACAGTACCAGGGCTTTCTCGCAGGAATCCAATGTTGTCGTTCGAGTTCTTTGTGCCGATGTCTGGATGTCCCGCCTGAAGACAACAAAGAGCTACTTGCACAGTCGATTGTACCAGACCGCGAAGCTCTCTTGTGTGCTTTCTGACATCACTCACTGAAGGCTTCTCAGATCTACTCATAATCTGCGTTTGTTGCTATATCACCTTGTTGTCGTAAAACCAACTCCTTGCTTTGTACTGCACCATCCACAGGATTATGTTGCAGCGAGCCGGATCAATCTCATTGAGAAGAGGCGAGTCTTTCATGCTCTCCTTTTGTTTCAAGGGCGTAGCAGCAATTTAACTAGCAACGAGCTTTCTCTTCAATATCGACTAGATTTATGAGTTTCAATTGACGAGCCCGCCTGCTGTTCAACTCCTTGTGTGTATGTAGTCTCAATTCCGCTAGCTCGATCCTATTGTTCTTGGCTCCCCTCAGTTCAATGTCATAATTCTCAAACACTTCTCAATGGTGAAATTCCGAAGGATACACCCTGTTCTAACCACTAGAGTCCCGTCCTAGCCGACGAAAGGCCACCCAAAAGACACAAGCACAGACAAACACCAATCCAGCTGCCAACGACCAAAGAATCACAAGGTAGGGGTCCTTTGCAAGCGGTGACAGTGCCATACCCAGCCCGTAGCCGAGCGCCAACGTTCCTACATAGCACGCCTGCATCACCGACTTCATGCTCTTTGGCGAATGGCTGTAAAGGTATTCTGCGCCCGTCGGCCAGCAGAACACCTCGGCCAGCGCGATGATGATGTATGTTGGGAGCTGGATCAAGATGTGGATCTGATTTGGAATCTGGCCGTGATCACTGTTAGATGCAGCACAGGCCAATGGGTGATCATAGCAGGGTCTTGTGTGGTAGATTGCAGCTTGAAGAACGGCAAAATAGGTCATGGCTAAGGACATGATGAGAAATCCAAGGGTGATGCGGTTGACTGGGTTGAACAAGATCCCGATGCGCTGGAGAAACGGGTATATCATCTTCTGGACCAAAATCCCGAAGAGGATATATGCCATGGGGTTGGAAACCTTGAGAACGTCGTTGGGAATACCGTGGCTCTGCATTGTGCCGGCTTGAGATATGCCTTGCTGAGAGGCTTGGGACATGCAGAGCCAGAAGATGGGCCAGCCCATGCTAGGATGTGTTGGTTAGCTAAGACCTGGTGCTGTGTTACTGGGTCAATTCACCAGATTTTGAAGGCGGATAGCCCGCTTCGAAGCTCGGCGATAAATCCTTCATCCCATGGAACGACACGCTGGTGCATTGTGAGTTGGGTCTGAGGATAGCATGCTTCGAGGTTGAAACCACTCAGGCATGCGTACCAGAGACACTGGGCGGCCTGGGGAAGAACGGAGCTTTGTGGTGGAGGATGGACTGCTCATCGTCAGTCAGGCTTGTTCACATGTTGAGAGGCAGCACTTGCCGAAAATCCTCCCTGCTGCTTGCACGATGACGAGGCACACCAACACGGAACAGAGAGCCAGGAGATAGCTCGACCAGAACCCAACATATCTCTCCATCATGGTGGTGGCTAAAGCCCCCATGGCCCCAAGGTTAGTCATCCTAAGTCGAGTTAATCTCGGAGCCAGTCATGGAGATCGAGGAGTGGTATAGCTGGCGTACCAGTAGTAGACACTGTAGATGTATTGGATGGTGAGCTCGCGGTCCACCACTACCCGCCGGCCATTTGGCCGAGTCTCAATGCGCCCTCCGGGATCTGTATATTGATCCGCTGCAACGTCAGGAATTTACTTGATAAGCATCCTCTTTACCTAAAGGGGGTGAGTAAACAGCAATGAGATCACTTACCGATGAAAGGTTGAAGTGAGGCCAGCACCCCTCCTAGCCCAATGGCAATCAGCGCAGCTCCCATGGCGAAACCCGGTGCCGCAGCACCGTTATGTATCATGACAGGTAGGGAAGTGATGAAGAGAGTCAAAGATCCCAGTGCATAGATTCTACCATTCATCAGCGAATGTGTGAATCCAAAAGATTATCTGATTGGCTCCCACACGAAGAAGATCTGCAGAGCCAAGTAACGTCCCAATCGACCATCGACTAAGATCGAAATCGGCAACGGCAGGATATTTACCAAGACTGTGAATGCCAGATTGACCGTCGTGGCTCGTGATTCTCCAAGGCCGAGAGCCCCGGGGATTGCATCAGAGGGGCTATGCTGTAGGTAATTCTCTAGAAGAAGAACCGGTAAGCTATGCTGCTCTAGACGCTAAAGCTATGTGGAGAACTTTGCAATTTGCGTACGAAATATGCTTTGGGTGCCCTCGTAGGTAAATCTTTCGAGAATGGCGATTAATGCTGCTATCCAGACCCGAGGCGGTAGAGAGTCTGCAACATGGAGTAGGTGTTGGAGGTCATCGTCAGAATGGGCGGAAGAGGACTCATTCTCCTCCAATGCGTCATTGCTGCATTGGTTTGACTTCTCCAAGTGTAGACTCATGGTTTTGTTCCGTCTTAGCTTGGAATCTAAAATTATTTCGAGAGATGCATTATCGTCACTTTTATGTGTAGTGCATCTAGGTCGGCGTTTGTCGGAATAGATTCGGTGTTCGGAGCTGGATGAGAGCTGATACTGGACCTTATCAGTGAGTGCAATTATAATCGTGGTGTCAATCAAAAAGTGTATCCTTAGCGTTTGGGAATATCTCATAATTGTTCAAATTCTCTCTTGTTGATGGTGATGATGCAACATCCAGGATCCCGGAGTACTGCTCGAAGCAGCATACACTTCGTGTGGGAGAAGTAATACCTGGCGAGATCAGGTGTCAATGATACGCGATTAGTCTCTCATGCCTCTACCTAATCCGAGTACTATCATCAAGTTATAGATAACTCGGCCTTTTTTTCGTCTCACGCTTAGTATCCACTGGCGACTGCATGTACTCCATTCATTGGGCCGATAAAGCCTTTCCACCCTGTTCAGACTTTTTGCTGTCGTGGCGCATCCAAAACTCCAATTCCTCGCGGTATGCATTCAACTGAACGTCTAACCAGCCAGACATCAGACAAGCTGTATCCTGCACCATCTCCAGCGGTGCCATGTGGGAGGTTCCGAGCAAGACTTCAGCTCGAACTTGCCTGCCTCCGCCAAGCCCAGTCCCAATTCGATCCATCTTATCCTATCTCCGTGCCGGAGTATTGATATGACTTTTCTCTCCGTAGATGAGGAACACTGGTGGCCGGACGTATGGAAGAAGCTCAAAGGCAATACATGACCACGGGCATACTGTCACATAATTCCGGTTGTTATTGTCGCCTTCCTTGGCAGAGAGGGATAAGTCCGGGCCTAGAAAACACTCTGTCCTTGTAAGAGAACCACTCTTGTCGTCACTATCTATCTCAGGCGTTGCATTGAGGCGCAAGTATGTCCAGGCTTCCTGCGCTCTGGTGGTGGTCAAAGTCACGGCTTCAGGTAGGAGGGGTCTTCCTGGGGCGTGGAGAGGGTAGAGCGCCGTCGGGAGAGCACAAAGGCCATATTGTATATATCTATCGACTACACGGGAATCCCAGCGGCGCCAGAATGGGTCACTGCGGATATACCTCTCGGCTTCGTGCCGTGAGGACCACAGATCAGGTCGGGTGCTGTCCCAGAGAGCCGGACTTCGTCCACCCAAATTACTGGGACTTTCGACTTGAATCATGGGCTCGAGAAAGATGAGAGAATGAAAGACTCGGGGATGCATTATAGACAGATGGACACTGTTATTGAGATGTATTAGTGCCAAGGCTTTTTTTGATTTTAGGGACACACTGGGCCAAGTACAATTGCGAGCGGCTGAAACTATGTGCAACTCCCACGATTGGAGGCTCGATCTGATCACTGAAATGGTTCACCATGCCTAGCAGATCTCGAGAGTGGTCAAATCAATTCGCTTTGGTTACTGATCAGCAAGTTCAATCTCTTTCTATGGAGGAACGTATATGGAAGTTTGTCTCACGATCGTCGCCAAGGTTATCTTCGTTCAACACTCCACTGGCGCCTTGGTTGGAGCAGTCCGCGAACCAGATAGCCTTGATTTTCCCCTAAAAGCTTGTCATCAGCTCATCCCAAAGAGGCTCATAACACTCCTACATCAAGAATTTGATCGTTAGTAGGCTATTACAGTGCGCCACTCTGAATAGAGTTGTCCCTGACCTTGGGAATACCGTTCGCATGTCCTGCTATGATAGATATGCCATTCTGACTGGGACTGATGTTGTTGAGTGGGATGTATTTCTTGATTGCTAATTGCAATGGTTTGTCTGTCTTGACTGCGTGGTGGTATTCACAAATGAAAGAGCAAGGAATAGTGTGCTCGATGATTCTGGACTGGGAGTTCATTTTGCGTTTCGTAGGTTTGGGTACGAAAACGAAGAGAGAGAGCCGCGTGCACTGTCTCTAGAAGAAATTCTCACGCTATTATATAGGAAATGGTCTACCGAGAAAAGAGAGCTGATGGTGAGAATGAAGCTAAGGTGTTAGGTAGTAGAGTGATTCGGACCTGCCACCGACCAAATTCCGCATGGCACCAGACTAAGATCTTAGTCTCAAGCTACCAGTATCCAAATCCGCTATTCGAATGGTCGACTCGGCTAGAATTTCTCTCATCCACATGCCTTAGTCACTTTGTCTCTGTCTTATTCTATTCTGGTTTTATTGGCTGTACTCAAAAGCTCAAAACTAGCATTGTTTCACATTCCAGCTGATTCACCATAGCTAACTATAGTTATTTCATAGCATCACCAAAGGCTTCTTCTCTACATGATCATGGCTGTGTCACGTCCTGTTGCGACCACTACGTTAGTCTTCTCCCACTTCGAATTAACTCTTGTTCCTTATTCAATCCGACTCTAGCATCATGATCAAGAATACAGCAGGTTCGGAGTATAGATTCCTCTGCTTGAAGATCATGGGATGTTGACCGAGAAGAGTGGCCACAGTCCAATTGATTTCAGTTATCTCACGCTGACATCAACCTGATAAGATCTGGCCCATGCTAGAGATTATCCAAGCACACGGTAATATTCTATGTCAAGAGGGAGAACAATTCTAATCGCCATTTCTCTACTCGGATGAAAGAGGCACCGCTGGTGACCACAACGCGGAGAGTCCGACATGGCAGTCTGGCGGTCGCGATGGTGTTGATCAGCATCCTTCGCCTCATAGCCTCGATTCTCGCTTAAGTCCGGGAAATAGTGGCTTAGGACCGAATGGTGGGTGTATGCGACTGACTGCAATAGGGCGCTGCCCTTGAGATATTGTTGACTTCGAATCTGGGCCCCTAGAGAGCATTGGCTGTTTCTTCTAAATAGAAGGAGGGCAACAACATGAGCTTCAACTCGACCAGTTGAGGGATCGTGGCAAGTTGTCATGTGAGATATGAGATTTGCATGAGGCACCCTTTGGGGCACTCTATTGATGCCAGCAAACCATATCTGCTTCGCTGTTATCAATGCTGCGATCTGTATTCCGGGTGGCCAATGCCAAGGGAAGCAATACGATAGTTGCTATTGAGGACGCAAACCCCGGCTGCTTTGTTTCTTCGCATCCACGTCATGTCTTATCGTAGTGGTGTTTAATGCTTGCGATGTTGCACATAGCATTCGAGAAGAAAAAGTATCTCAAGGCAATGCATGCAAGAAGTAATTTGAGATAGCCTGAGACTTTGTGCAATATAGAGGAAATTTCTAAAATCTGCTGTTAGCTCTGCGACTCAGTTGTAGCAGATAAACCTACTAGTACCCACATCATTCTGGAAGGCTTGACTGCGCACTGCACCTTCCAAGACCCTTGACGGAGCCATCAACCTTGGCTGAACATTGCCATGCGACCCAATCTTGTCTCTCCGGCGTACCCTATCACTCTCCTTTTCAGTGATTATAAGCGAGGAAGAATCGATCGCAGCATGATGTGGGATGTGGGATTTGTGTGGGGTGCAGGTTTTGAAAGCGAACCACGCCTCAGCTCTTTGTCGCCTTCTTGGTGGCCGCGACTTGAAAGAACTTCCAACCGCAACTCACACAGCCCACTCTTCGGTCACCTTTCCCATTCGCTGAAACTACCTGATCACTACTCGATGAACCAGACTTGGCTCTGAGAATCTCTTCCTAGTGTCCTATTGCTCAGTCATTGCAGCAAAGTCTATCCCAGATGCCATTAGCCCACGATGGTCTAGTCCCTCGACCATAGGTGAGATCGACACTTGGGTGAGAACCTCACTGAAAGCGCTTGGAACAAGTGAGGACAGCTAGGGCTTAATCTCAAAAGTTTGAAATCTTTCTCGACTTCCGGTCATTCATGCTCACAGGGACTTTACCTCGGACACACTTCCACGACATCATGACTTCCGTCGATAACGTGGATGTCACCCTATACAATTTGATCAGAATAGCATGGGACTTGTATCATAACTGCAATCTTGTTCGTGGCGAGGCGCCTGACGGCTTCAAACAACTCGTGGCCGGATTACTCTCTCTCCATAACACTCTTCGTGCTCTGAAAAACAGCAGGGAAAGTGTGAGAGGTGATCATAGAGTTGATCTGGGGCCTTCTCTTCATGCCTGCTTAGAGACCCTGCATGCACTCCATAAACTAGTGGCCAGATACAGGGCCATTGGCGCCAGCAGCGAGAAGGAGTTCTGGGAGAAGATGGACTGGCCAACACAACAAGGACAAGTTGAAGAGTTGAGATCGGAGGTATCCGCCCATGCGCATAATTTAGGCTTGTGCATGAGTTCGATTGTGAGGTAAGGACCCTGGTCGTGCCAAGGCTTGGGATCATGGTTATTAACCCTTTCAGTTATTCACGAGGAAGCTTCAACAACTCAGTGCTGGATAATTTACAAACAGACAAGTCTCCCTTACCATCACCGCCGCCACAGGCCGAAAAATCTCCCATTTTTCCACCAGCACCACCACCACCACCCCCAATATCATCTCGGAGACCTCACCTTGTCGGGATCTCCGAGCTAGAGGGAAGCTCCATCTTCGAATCGACCATTTCAGATGTGAAGACACCCAATGGCTTCAGCAGTGATCCCACACGTGGGTCAGTCTCCACAGAGTCGATGGCCTCCGGATGCTCTGATGGCTCCGTCATGTCGGGAAGTACGCTTACCCCTTCTAGTAGCGTATCGGGGAATGCAAACTTCAACATGCCCTCGATGGATCTATTCTCAACCGAAAAAGAGGTGTTGCATTCTCGGACTCCAGCCTTCGTGGGGAAAGGCACGCCAGACACAGATATGTCACCTCACTCTCGAACGCGGGAACAGATTCGTCGATCACTGCGCTATGAGCCTCGAGATAGATTCCACCAACCGGACGCTGAGCTCATTCTCAAGTTCGATGCGTCTGTGGTCAAAGGGCAGGAAGTGCGGAACCTCACCACGAGCGGTTGGTTACACATTGCTGTGTGGTGGCTGCTGAAGGTATGGCACAGTACGTTTTGGCTTCTATAATTCGACGTCTAACAGATTCTCAGGCCCGTGCAGTCCTTGCCAACGCGGACAAGCCAAGCCCGTTGGATAATCGTGGAAGCGTTAGCCCATCAACTTTATCGTGGTCCTCCAGCTATCAAGCATATGTTGACCTGCTCAAGGCCTCATATATCCTATATGATGTTGTGCTCAGAACTGGCAATCCGGAGGAATTGTTCTTGAATGAGAATCGGAAAATGGTCTCCGATTTGTCGGAAGTGAGTAGCTCGAGCACATATGCTGGATTCCACTTAACCTGGACTATAGGGAGTTAGGGAAGACTTCTCCCAGTTCAGCTCCGTCGATGTTCCAGACTATGCTGCCATTCATTCACACAACCAGGAGATTTTGGAAACAATACAACCCGAAGAAAGTACGGGGAATATCAATCCAATTTTAGGTCTAGGCGATGTCCGTTATACTACGGTCGAGATCGAAGACGCAGGCAATGAGGACGAACAAGTCTTCTTCCGCACATTCGTTAACGCCGGGATAGGTAGCAAGAAGCTTCGCATGAGAACGAAAGGCGCCCCATACATGCTTCTGTTGTCTACCAAGGAAGGTCACAGTGAGCCGAAAATTACCATATGCAATCAAATGGGCACTTTTTGCCTCCAGCGGGACTGTGAGTTATACCCCCTTCATTACAGACATTGGTTGAATCTGACCCGGTCATAGTCACGCCAGCAGATTTGGCCCAGCTTGTTCAAGTCTCAGAAGCCTCTCTCAACATTCTTTCGGTTGCCAAGTCTACGGAACCGGTGACGCTGATGTTTGAAACGGTCAGCGTTTCTATCTCGTTTCAGTATTTGCCCGACTTGGTACAGTTCATCAGCGTTCCGAAAGCCTACTTCGATGCGGTGTGGCCCCGGGAGCCAGTAAGCTCGGATGAGATTACCGAAACTATGATCTATAGAGGCACTGTTGAGGTACTGGAGCAGCTCAAAGCACCCAGCATGGTAGCCATGAGTCCAGCTTTGGTTCACCGATCCTGTGAAGTGCGCATTCTAGAGAGATCATTTGGCGAAGCATGGCGATCCATCCGGAGAATGGTCATCAGTTCTTCTGTGGCCGACAAAGATCCAATGTGTATTGATTGGTTCATGCCTCTGAGCTGTGTACAAATCAACCGCAAAAAAGGATCGAGGCAGGCGCTACTGAAGTGGTCAGATACTGGGCAAGAACGATCCGATAAGACTGATGGGAACTACAACCCCCTTTACTCCAATGTTTATGATGAGAAGAATCCCAACATCGGGATTAGTATAGAATGGTCAACCGAGCAGGCAGCAGAGGAGTTTGAGCAGGCTATCATGAGTCTGAACGCGAAACCGATATTCTCCTGGTCTCAGACCCAAAGCTCGGGTCACGTCTACGACGCAGTGGACGACACTCCGGATCACAAGAAATACAAGACCATCATGGTGTGTCAAGCACACGCGGGCTGGAAGTCTAGTGGTGTATATTATGTCTACAGAGACATCGACTACAGCTATGAGCATGGCAGCCGCAGTGTTCGATTTCCGCATATATTTCACACCCACTACATATCATCACACGTGGATCAATTGTACCGTGCTGACTCCCAGGTTGGATTCTCCCACAGCGAGAAGGTGACGAGAAGCGTTGCGATAAGCTTCGACGAAGTGCTCACCCTGCAGGGATTCATGAGCTCACTGGCATCCTCCCACGAACTCGTGTTCTCCAGACGTGCCACATCTCTTACAACCAAGTCCAAGCTCTTCTTCGGCCATAAAAAGTCATCTAAGGGAGACTCGGAGGTTCAGCTGTGGCGAGATGGGGAGAATCTGCGTCTTGCTGCACGATGGAAAAGTGATCAAATCGCGGACAAGTGGTTAACACTGGGGATGCCAGCTCGGGAGCCGATGCGAGACCACAGTGATCGAATAAACTTTCCCACGCAGGAGTTTTCAAGAGGAATGGTCCTCAATATGGCTAAGATAGCCGCTGGAAAAGCGAAGGACCCAAGTAAGGAACGATCGCGAGGTCCTGTGACGATTCATTTTCCAACAACAAAAGGTGGGTTCCCGCATGAGCATGATGAGGCATGCAAGTATATATCCTGGCTACTCTCCGCTTCGAAGCTAATGATCAACAATGATCAACAATGAACGAACAGATCAAAGTGATTTCATTCTTGCCTTACGAACCATGCCTACGTCATAAGACTAGATGAAAGGAAGACTAGGACATATATACTGCGGGGAAATCCCGATGAAAATAAAAAAGGAGCCTAAAACAAAACCGGCGACTGCGGCCTATGATGCGATGTCGATGCTCGTCTGAGATCGACAAAAATAGTCACGCCCGGGATCGAACCGGGAACCTTCTCGGGTCGTTCAGCTGATGTGAACGAGAAATCATAACCATTAGACCACGTGACTGTTTCTTGTTGATCACGGAGTTCTTATTTGTCTTCTCAACCCCTTTCCCGCATCATCTGCAAGTTGGTCTGCAGATACCACGGACGGTACGGTCGGTCGGTCGGTCCCTTGCTGCAAGGCAAACCCGCCGCCGATCACCAAATGATCGCAGACAGGGACAAGTCAGGGACAGAGAACAGTGGCCAGCCGGGCATCTTCCTTACGACGCTTGTGATTAGGATTGAGGGGGAGTCTGTGCCTTGGAATGAACAAGATTTATAGCCCGTCTGATCATACTGCTGAAGATGAGCCTCAGGAGATCCTCGAAATCTTGGAAATCGATTCTACAGCTGCGGTTCATGTCCCAGCGTGCCTGAGAAATGATGGTTACACCGACCTGTTTCTTTCGACAAATCAATAACTTCGCTTGATTCACTCAAGATCTTTTGATCAATTGGTAATTGCTATTGACGACCAAAACCAGCCACAAAATGTAGTCATTCCGTGACTCAAACTAAAGCTAGCAGGTAACTCCTGTCCGCTTTTGTCCCGTATGACTTGCAGACAACCCCCGTCAAGCCAGAAAACTAAGTGTCCACACCTGCAAGTGCACCGGGCTTGACTTGGAGCGGGTGATCTCCATCTGCCTACTCCTCTTCTGGGCAATCGGGGAACATTGACGCTGCGCCGCGTGCGCCTCGCACGTGCAGGCCTCATGACTCTAATACACGAAAAGGCTGCTGCTGCGGCTGCGGCTGGTACGCCCTTTTTAAAAAGAGTCACTGCCTAGCTACGCTTTCCCTTACTGATATGTGTTATCTATTTTACTGCGTGATGACTGGTTGGTTTTTTATTGCCCTGAAGCCCGGGGTGAATCGAATTCTGTTTCCTATTCAAGAAGGATTTTTGATGTGGTACTTGGCCTGACTTCTCATTTACTCACTAATTGCAGAGCCTGGTGACTCTTAGTCTCTCTTTATCATTACTCCATCTTTCGCTGTTGCGTTCTCCTGCTTCTCAGGCTTGAGAAACGTCCCAATATTCACTGGATATTCGAGTTACGAATCGCGTTCTGTCATTCCGACATTGATCGCAGCTGCGTGGGAGTGTGGATATGCCATATCTGGTTCATCATCATCGCGAGCATCATCGACGTCGCCACTCCTGGCCTTATTGCGGTGGTGGAACACAGCATCAGCCGCTGGGGCGAAACTGGGTGGTCTTTCAGTCTGCACACCAGCAGCAGCAGCAGCTACAGTACCAGTACCAGCAGCAGCAACAAAAGTCCTACCAGCAACTCCTCGAACAGCATTTCCTCGTCCCAGTTGGATCAGAAGACTTACTTGAGGACGATGCTGCGTCCGCGGGAATTGGGCCCTCGCTGACGAGGACGAGGGCGATGCCTGCAGTGGCACCGAATACTCGTTCTCGACGGTGGTGGTCGTCGTGGTGGTCGTCCTCCGCGCGAGGGGCTTCCTCGCCGCAGGATGATCATACATCCTCTAGTGAACATGGAGGACCGTTCAGGAAGATGGTGCGGCCGCCGTTAGACAAGGCGAAGTCGCTATTTGTAATGCCCACAACGACGACTCAGTATCCGGTCGGCGGTGGAGAGGAGGTACTCTTTACGTCGTACTTGGTGCCTTCGCCGCCGAGTTCGCCGCGTGCCGGAAAGTTAGACGCTGCAGGTCAGGTTGACGCGACTTCTGGTGGGTTGTTGTCAGTGCCGGTAGTGGATGTTGCAGGTGGTCGTGGTGGTACTGGTGGTGGTCGGCGAGGGAGAGCAATGGATCTGCTGTCGGAGAGGAACCATCGGCGGTGTCATTCGGAGCAGCCGCGGTCTTGGAAACGGCCAAGTGCGAGCTTGTGGCCGCTTGAAGAAGAATGAGGTGCTGCTGCTTTAGTGGTTTGTTCATTACATGGTGTCGTTTAATCGGGGCTCTTCTCATTCTATTCCAGGCTGGTGTGCTCGAGAGTTCTGTAGGTTTTTCTTCTGCCTGTTTTTCTATTTCTCATTCTCACCATGTTCTATTTTGTTCTGGTTGTTGTTAGCATTCTGCTTCGGGCGTCTGGTTTACATGGGCAGTGGTATACGGGGATAGGTTATTTGCATGTTTGCATGACGGACAGAGTTGAGGTCGGGCGGTCGGGTCATTCGCGTGGTTTTGCGGCATGATGTTACGGTCGGTCGGTAGCCTAGCTAGATTGGACAGGGACACAAATAATAATACCTCAAAACTCCTAGGTAGGCTTCTTGCAGAACCTTGAAATATTTTCGTAATCCTTGCAGACCGAATGATCGCAGGGCAACCTCGCATCTTTTGCCTTGTATCAGTGCACGAGACCGTGCTTCGGACCTGTCAAAGAGATAGAGACAATAGACAGCCCGCGGAACGACCGTGCCGAATTCACGCGGCATGGAGATGCTGTCGCGCTTGGCATTTGGTTACTCCAGCTGAACATGATGTCACTGGGTCCGAGAAAGAGCCTCAACGTGCCCACTTGCTTGGAGTGGAGTGGGGATGGGAGTCGGGGTTGTCGGGGTGTGAATGGGTGATTCGTCTACTCGGTGGCAGATGCACTGGTGCAGTCAGTGGTTGTGGATCTCCGCGGATGTTGTCTTGTTGGCTTCTGGACTTGAGTGCAATGCAATGTCTACACCGAGTTCGTGTATGAGGATTTGGCAGTGTTCGAAATCGAGACCAGTAGAACTGATTTGAACTGGCATGTCCCACTGAGCGTCAGTATCCGGGCCAGAGCAACGTAGTCAACCGTTGTTGCTGCGTTGCTAACCCAGCCGAAACCGAGACATCTGTACAAGTCCCGCTGCTATTTTTACGCCCGCACACACCAACCTGGCCAGTGAGTTGGTCTGTGGAACGTGGTGAAACATTGTGCTCAAATCTTGAATTATTGCCTGTCAACCCTCCTTACCCTCACGGTAACCTGTTGTCTCGTTACTGGAAGTGTGTTCCCCTGAGAAAATTGACCTGGCTGGCGGCGGGGATGGCTCACGGAACGGACGGAATCAATGGAATGAAGATCCCCCCCCTAAGCTGAAGCGCTAACAACCGCACTATCAGCCCTAGTGAGCCCTATCACTCTGTCGGTGGTGGGTTATTGGATGGATTGGCCGGTCTGGGGAGTGGGGAACCCAGTTAGCACGTTCGACGGTGTGGGGGCGGATTTACGAGTGATCGTGTTTTTTTTTTTTTTTTTTTTTTTGTTGCTTTGTGTGAGAGGGGAGGGAGAGGGAGAGAGGTGCGTGCCAGCCGAGGTGCAGTGCATTGGTCAGATGGAGGTTCTGGAAGGATTTTATTTCATGTAGTGTTGGGATTGGTGGTAGTATCTTAAGTTACTGTAGGGAGTGAGAGGGTTGATGATAGTCTGGGTGTGTGAGTTGTCCACGTTTTCTTGGGGGAAGGAACAGGTATGCATGCCGAATACGAAGTGCTACTGTGTAGACTAAAGAACAGGCAGCGGTGAATTGGAGCCTCCTGACCGGGTTGACAGTACCGGGATGGCACTGTGATTGGCACACTGGCCGACTCGTAGGGCAGAGGGGTGGAGAACACGCTGCATCTTCACCGCTCCACTCTTGCTGAAAGCCCTATCGATGGAGCCCCTTTACCTCCTTGCTGGCGTCGCCTGATTCGCCAGCCCGCCTATGTCCGACACTAAGGCTGGCCCGCTGGCCCGCTAGGCCCCAGATGGGCCCCCGATTGCTGATAGCGTAGCCAAGTCGGCAGTCTGAAATTGAAATTGAGGGGTTAGAGCGTTGGTGTTCTGGTGCATAAATACCCTTCTTGTTCCCGGGGGTTTGCTGCGTTGAGGTTTTTGTTCTACTCTTCTGTGTTTTTATCGGAAATTTGAGTCGAGGGTTTGAGTGATCAGGCTTTGTTTATCTAAGACAACTACAACCACCACCACCATAATAATCATAGTCTCACACTACAACATTCAAAATGACCCCCTCGAGAGCCACCCAGGTCCACGATGACCACTCCCACAAGCGCACTTCCTCTTCCTCCTCCTCCTCTGCCTACTCCCGCAAGAGCACCGAGGACTACCGCCGCTACAGCGGCACCGTCAACCACTGCGGCCGCCACTCCAACGACTGGCTCTTCGGCGGCTTCAGTCTGCGCGACACCGTGCGCGGCGGCGTCGACCGCCTGCTGCACAACCACCACACCAAGGATTGAATCCCAGTGGGGCGATACCCAAAGGAAAACCAAGAACACAAACAACAACAACAATACCCACGATCTCTAGATCCTCTTCTCACAAAGGGGTTTCCATCCCGAAGAATCTTCCGATCTAAGTCAAGGGTTCCTCCACCGCCATTGCAAGTACAATCGGGGGTTGATTCGCCCTGCTTAGCGGAACATGAACCTCATGGAGGCAGAAAGGTCACCTTGCGATCTTCGTCTTCGTCTTCATTCTTGTCCTCATATCCCGGCGAGGAGGGTTCGCAGCAGTTCATTTACCGTTGATTGGTCTTGAGGTGCGAGCATGTCGCTTCATATGGAGGAGAGTAGTGGGGAGGGTCGTGATGGGTTGACTCCTGCCTTGGGCAGGGGAACTGTTTCGGACCTCGCGGATCGAGAGTTGAAAAATGTACCAGTGTCGTGGGCCTATTGTCGGGCTTAGGGACTTCGGAGTGCTTGGCAGACTGCATGGAGCTCCGATACTCTGCTTGAGCGTTCGGCTCGTTTATGTTGAAAGGATGCCATGTGAATGTCCTGTACCCGAGTCATGGTTCTGTTTGTCGGTATAGATCATCTGCCGGAATTGAGTGGATTGGGTGCATATGTCGATTTTTATAGCAGTTCTACTAGTATTGGAAACTGGTGTCACCACCACTCATATTCTTTGATTGTTCCTCTAGTCCTATTCGTTAACATACACCAGTCCAGAATTTAGATGCTGTGGATGAACACTGTATTCACTTACCAGTAAACAATACCCAGAGCCGCGACTTGTCGTATATAGCTTGTACCAGTGGTTACTATACCCCCCCTACCGCAACACCTCGCTCACGACTCTGTTCCTGAACTAAAGATTTCCGTACTCGAAAGAAACTCCACTTCCGACGGGTCGACCCGCGACACCCCCCCCCAGTCTTTGATCATCATCTCGACATCTGGATCAGATCTCACAAGATGTCATGCAGCTATGTGACTTTCTGTCCCACGCCTTGTATAAAGGAGTATACGAGCTCTTTCATTGTATAGATTGAGTTCTGGATTCCGTCTTCCCGGTCTATACTTAGTCTTCATCGACTTACGCAAATCTTGGTGATGAGGTTGATAAGATGAACTTAATGAACCCGGCACGAGGGTGAAATCCCCTGTCCAGAAGGAGATCAACTAGGTCCAGGTTGTCTTTGATGGAAGTCCGTTATTGTAAGAATTCACAGTACACAGCAAAGCAAGAAAACAACCGAGGAAGAAGCAAGCCAGAGAGGAATGGCCATTCGGAACCACCGGTATCTACTCAGTATATCCATGGTTCCGTACTGGGTGCATCCCTTGCGGAACGCGAGTGCTTACCAACGATAACACAGCAGATTGATTGCGGTATTTAAGCATAGAAGAAGGAAGACTGCGAGGTTTCTTGACGTGTGTCGCGTCGCACTGGAATGCACGCAGATCTTGGGTCATCGGGATGGGATCGGAATGAAGGAATGCAAGGGCGGGAGCGGGGTCTCGAGGGGGCTGGTTCGTGCTTCGGGTGGATGAGAAACGGGACGGGAGTTATTGTTCCTGTGATGCTGCTTGGTTGGCGTTTCTGGTCATTGAAGATTTTTGGTGGTGGGAGGAGATGGTGGAGGGTCGTGGTGGAAGTGATATAGGGCTAGTGAGAGAGGGAATAAAGTGCCATCGGCTTTGGAGAGAAGAAAACAACCTAGTAAAGACCTAGCGGAACTTATGTCGCTGCTTCTAGTTGTGGTATCTAATATGCTGTAGAATGTCCCTTTCCATCGAATTAAAGATTAAGATCTAATGATAGCTGGCTTTCTGTATCTGGGGGTCATGCCCGGTACGTATCCTCTCATAGACTTTGCAACATGGAGCTCCACACTGCGGCAGTCACGGCAGGCTGCTTTCTTTAGCTGGAATTGATTTGGAAACAGCGCCAACGGCAAAGAAAGAAAGAACTCATAGCTCAGAATTCACTCTAGACATTCGCGATCAACGCGAAGGGCAAACGGTGAAACAGGGAGTGCCCAAGTTCGGCTTCAGGCAGCCTGCCATGCTGCGATGTCTGCGACTGTGATATCAATATTTTCTGATATCAGGCTCTGTAGCTTGGAGACTTGTGCAGGTGCTATCACTCAATTTAGTTAAGGGCAACCTGGGCCAAGCTTGACGGTATACGTACTTGGACGCGGAGGTGCAGCACCCGCTTGTACCGTGATAATTCCAGAATCAACATACTCCCTCGTAGATACACCGTTGGACGAGGCAGCACCGAGCATGACCCGCATCCGGAACCTCCCAGCCTGAGTGAACTTGAGAGGCCCAAACCGCGCATAACCGCTGATCGTATTCCCACTGCTGCTGCGCACACTGGAAGTAAGCACTCCCGTAAGCCCTGGAGCAGGGGCGGTCCCGGCTTCGTTCCTGAGCGATATATGCGCAACTAGCTGCTGTGTAGGGGCTCTTGGAGCTCCTACCGGTCTCACCACAACAACCACTGGTAATGATATGGAAACCCCAGGGGAGACAGTGGTCGGAGGCGCGACCTCAAAATTGATTCCATACTCCCGACTAGAGCCTCCAGCATCTGCTCTTGCGTTGCCTTGAACCATGGTTGTTTCTAGACTGAAGACGAAGCGCGGTCTATTTGATAGACTTATGAGATAAAGATGAAATGCTTTGTAGCCGCTCAACAATGCAAGAGTTGCGTTCAACACAACACAAATGAGGCGATGAAGTATTCGTGAGAGGTCTGTGTGTTCAGTTGACATTCATGGAATCTGTGGATGAGGAAAAGAAGCATCGATGGGAAGGCATTCCGAGCCCTTCATATATGCATTGAACCCTTGAGCCTACCAATGGAGTGAACTAGGGTGCAATATTGACCGTATCAATCTGGGCCAGGTAAATGCTCACTGTGTCAATGAACCTTTGCCACCACGATGGAATCAATCTCGGTTAGACCTTTGAAGTTCTAGTCCGAGCAGATCTGCATAGTGAAGTCTCTGGACCCCTGTTATGCAGGAGACTGAGAGGTTATTAGAAGTTAGGCACAGATAAAGCCTGCACGATCCAGAAAAAAGGGCGCCTGCATCATCATTACCCACTAAATTGTGAGATCCATTGCTTTGACTCGAAACTTTTACTTTTTCTGACCCTGCATCGAGTCTAGTTGCTTTTGTTGCCCCATCCGTAAGCGCAAACCTAGAGACCCATTTTAGCGTGATAAGAGAAGCGCCAAAAGACAATTGTCTATCACTGCCTGTCCTATCTCAAGGAGACGAAGGGTGTCAGTGGCATTCCTGGAAATCCCCATGGCACCTCGCCTGCAATGGGAGATGTCAGATTGTGTACTGTATGGAATGACTGCATGCCAGGGGAGATGAATGTGAAGCTTAAACTGACTAGACAATTTAGTAGACCCGAGATTGATCGACTAGTCACGAACTATGGTTCGTCGCAGTCTTTCTTTTTCCGCCTTCCTTCCATCTGAAGAGTTGATCTCCCCAAGTTCCCTTCACTTTCCACCTCTTTCCCCGCCTCCCTTCCAGTCATTCCCCCTTCCTCCGTGGAAAGTCCGAGAGTCAGAAAAATCGATCACACTTGCGTTTGTCTCCTTGCGGCCTGAAACGGTTTGTACACTACTAGGTACCTAAGAACCCCCGAGGCCTTGTGATCGTCAAGCTACCGAAGCCACGTTTTGACAGCTTCAAATGTGACCTCCCGGGCGATCTTCACCTTCACATCCCCAGCAACACCCCACCAGAACCCCAGACCTAGTCAAGCCGGTCACTCTGAATCAAGCGCCTGTCTAGCAAATTACGGCGGTCGAACTGAAGTCCCGATTCGGCGTCACGTACACAGCTTGGCCGGTGAATCGATTGCAATTGAACTCAGTGGTACATGCCACAGACCGAAGCTAGTAAGGGATGATCTTCTCACATCCGCCCTGAGAAAGCCAGTCTTGCTGACAGAAGCAGGAAAAGGAGGGGGGAAAGCCACACCTGGCAGTCAATTCAAGGGAGACTTCGCCACACTACATGCCTATTTAGGTCAAGAGGGATCGACCAGCCACAGCTCACCTCAGCCTCAGTATGGCGGAAATCGTGCTTCGCGCAGATCAAAAACAATAGCCCTGGTAGAGCAGATGTTACGAGCCCCACACCCCCTAACGCTGCTGGCTCTTCCCCGCTACTCGGTCCGGATAACTTCTTCTCTCTTTCACCATCACGGTACTTTCGCGGTCGGACCAACGGGTCATTATTCTTCGGCTTTTGTTGTGACATAGAGGGCCTATTGAGAATGAAACCTAATTGCATGAAACTCAATAATTGGAAGCCAATCCACCTTGCAATGCAGGCTAACGCTCTTGACTTCGCGCCCTTTACTTCCAGAGTTAGCCACGCACAGTGCGCTAAGATGTGCACACACACAGACACACACACACACACACACACACACACACGGTGGAGTCATTCGATTACGCGGATTACTATGCATCATCTGGCGCCGACGGAGAACACCACCACGGTTCTGCGCTGCCGCTAGTACGGTACTTTTGGTTTGGGAGATGCAATCGCCGATTAGACCGCAGGATGGATGACGACATCCCTTGACTGCTGAAACAGGGCAGGGCGGCCAAGTTCCGTATTTACATTGCTCATGCAAAGCAGTGAAACCGATGGCATTGTGAATGCTCTACATTGAGTCTCACTGATGACTCTAGGAGAGAATCCAGTATTATCAAAACACGAAAAATACGAGCAAGTTACTTTGTCTCGTAAGCGGAGAACATCAACATGACCGGGGAAGAGAGGCATGTCTTGACACCTAAGACCTCGTCATCGACGCCACAATTCTTGCTTTTTCCCAGATACCAGGACTCAACCCAGTATCTTGACCTGCAATGTAATGCGAGATGATCGGAACTACTGATTGAGTTCTAGTCCCATGCGTGGACGGTGTTGACCGTCCGAGGTCGAGGTACGCTCATCCCCCTTTGGGCTAGAAACGTGGTCCACCAGCCACAGATGGCTTACCGAGGATCAACGGCTCTGATTGTGGCGGTGAACAGGGTGTCACTCAGCACAACCCAGTGGAGTCCTTGCAGGATGGATCCCTCTATACATTGATAAACACTTTGAACGCTAAAGCGTGGCCCACAGTGAGCTACTTGTGTGGCTGTCACGAGGGTGATCTTCTGTCGAATGAGGGTGTTCTGTACGGTCACTCTTCGGCTTCTGCTTGATGGCAGGTCCCCGAGCACACACGACGAGGCCCGCACATAACTCAGGATGCACTAGCTTCTTTTCTTTTTCTTTTCTCCTCCTCTCTCTTTGTTTCTATGCTCCTCTCTACCCTTGTGCGGCCTGAACCCCTCTTCTGAGTACCACATCCCGGCACCATCAACGATTCTATGATGATTCGGCCTTGGTTGGCCTGGCGAATAGGGATTGCACGGAAGCTGGGGCTAGGGAAGCTCGACTGCGAAAGCGTGTATCTTAGCCTGAGCCCTCAACGAAGCTAGCACCTACGAGTGTGATGAGTCCATTCTCTGACCTGCTCTGTGAGAGTCTCAATATTGTTTCAGCCGATCCTGGCAATCCGAAGTTTAGGTGCACATCATGGACGATCATACATTTAGTCGACTAAAGTCCGCTTCGGCCGAACATTAGCAAGGTTCAACAGCTAGGCGGGGCGAAAGATTGCACAACAAAGGTACCATGCACCGATCCTAGATATCACACTTTTTGACCCTGAGGATAGCCTTCAGCTAGTTGTGGCTTGCCTTTCCGACTGACTAATTGACCTCCACGATTGACTTACGTGCTTCTGCCATTCTCTCCCTAATTCTCAGGTCACCACAGTAAACACGGATAGCCTTTCAGCCTGCCTACGCAGAAGCAGATATGCTTGACAAAGTTTGAGATCGATCTGAAGATCTGTTCGACATGCAGATGACACGATTTGTTCACCTGCGATCGACTGGAAGAGGTAAATAAGTCCGCAGAGTGGCTAGGTGTCGCTCCGGACGTTCTCATTTGTTCGATGGAGACAAAGGGAGAAAAGCCGGCTTTGTTTTCCGTTCCCGCGCAGGTGGCGTACAGATTCTAGACACGCTTCCATTGACCGCTTGGACCTTCTAGGCTACATTCCTCTGCACTACCACTCATCATTCTTGATCATGAGATGCGCCGTGAGAGCTCAACGTCAAGTCCTCATCACCCTTTCTGTTCTTGTGGGCGGAACATTGGCACGATGATTGACCGTCAAGTCAGCGGCAGCAGCGAGCTGACACCTAGCCATCAGCCTCTCATACTCAGATACGAGTCTGACTTGTTGAGGCAACACGCTGTGGCGTCTGCAGCCCTGGAACGGAAGCTCTTAAGAATCCCCCGCTGCCAACCAGAACCTGGATATGCGATCCGCGAGATCATCACATATTTCTTTGTCATACGAGCTTCGCGGCCCTGCGCAATCCAGCAACTTTCGGGATCCACTCCACCGTCTCAGGTCAAAGAACTTCGATTCCACTCTAAAGACCTGATCAAGGAAGCCCTGGCATTGCGGCTATCCTTGCATCCCAAGGATTGACTATAACTACAATAGGTACTACATACGAGATAGTAGCGTATAAAGTATTGTGGAGACTTCAAGACATACTGTCCGGGACCGGGGTTCAAAGTTGGCGCATGGATCAGATTCAGAGCTAGGCCGGATGCAAATGCCGTAGTCCATGTGGAGTCCTGCCCTTCTCGATCTTAGTCTACTACTTTAGTTGCCGAACCTTGCTTTTTTGACGTGGAAAACAAGGAAAATCGTTCGCAAAGAGGGGCTCCCCTCTGGGAGGATTCAAAAAGTTCAATAAATTGAGACCGACGTAATATCGGGCCTCGGAGTGATTTTATCCCACTGTGGAGGGGAAATGTCACCGAGAGAGAGAAAGAGAGAGAGAGATGAGGGACGGAGAATCTGAACGAGCAGAAAAGGATCGTAGTAAGGATCTAGAGGTATTTCCGTCGATGACTGTCAGCGAAATTGAAATGAGGCGTAATAGTGAGGCGAGAAACCGCTGCATCCTTTGCTTAGAGAACGGTCACCTGACATGTTCCCTGCACTTGAGCATCTGTAGCAACAGTCCTGGCAGTTGTCCTGTATACGATGAAGAAGAGGTTGGTGTCAGACTGCGCGCTGTTAGGAATTCTTCTTAGTATATGAGACGACACGAGATGTAGGGAAGGGTTCTCGTCACTTATGGCTCATGCAATGACTTCTGAACTTTTCGATCTGACTGTTCTTAGGCTGATCAAGAACTGGAGCGAGTGATTGGAATCTCAACGAGTTTCTCCGTTTTGTGATTCTTCGATCCTCGCCATGTGTGACTTGTGGTAGCTTTGGTTCTTCTCGGCATAATCGAAGAGTTTCAGGGCGAGGTCGAGAGCCGTACCTGCATGTCAAACCACAGCTCGTGGAAGCTATGGATACAGACCGAGATATGAAGTTATAGACTGTCAGTCAATTTCAAAGCCTCTAAGGTATTCCGCGCGCCAGGGTCAATCGTTGGATTGTTGCTGTCCGTCTGGTGTAGAGCTTCCGATTGTGAAGGCTACAGGTTTGAACATAATCTGGATAACTTGTTGCAGTGCTTGAGTAGGGGCTTTGCATTAAGCATTCCAGCTCAAAGATACCTCAGGAAATGGTTGGCATGACTTTTCGCCAGTCCTCTCTGAAGAAGTCATACGAAGGCTAGGTAACTGGTCAAGTTTCCCCGGCAGGGAAGGTGACGGAGCTCTGGGCTCTCCTTACCGCCATGCCTTCCTTCCTCTGCGACGATGCCTCTCTACTACACGCCAGTCAAACACTCATGGAGTGGCTGAGGCGAAACTCACTTCCACCGGTGCAAGCAATAGTATTCTTATCAGAATGACTGCCTTGCTACGCTCCTTTCACGCGTCCGATGGCACCCGTCCTTATACAACCATACTACCATGGTCCCTTCCTCTCCCACGCAACGCGAAGCGTCGACACGGCTCCCATGACCGGCCCCAAGCGCTTCAGTCTCCGGGTGCTGCTGCAGCTGTTCGCAATCACAATCTCCATCTTCGTCCTCGCGGTGCTCTTCTGGAAGCTCGGGAGATTCTTCCGCCGCTTCACCCAGGCCAAAGTTACCCAGCCTGGCAACGCGACCACCGCCCGTTACGCCCGAACCTGGTACGGCTGGGTACCAGCGGAGAGGCATGCTGGACTCAAGAAGTTCTTCCGAACCTGTTTCGAGAAGTTCTGCAGGTGGACGGCGTGGCGATCGTCGAACCAGGACTACAGCTGGCTGTGGTGGGATCCGGGGCAGAGGGATCTGAACAAATACCGAGAGACGAGGCGACCGTTGCGGTGGTTGCCTCGTTGGATCAGGAGTTATAGTTTCACTGCTGCCGATACTATCTGGAATCCTGGGCCCGCTGGCCTTGCTGGTGTCATCGCTGCGCCGAGCAGTAGTCGTCAGTCGCTGTCGTTTCGAATGGCCGGAGCACTTTCGTCTTGTCATACCCTGAAACGTGTTGTGGGGAACAGACACACTGTGTCAAGAACGAGTATATGCACGCAGGTCTCTATCAAGGTCTATCTCCAGGATGGATGTCGCGGAGATGTGACGCGGCCTGATGCTCCCGCACCGGTTGGGGATGGGTTCATGAGCGCAACAGGAGAGCTACGCAGGCCAACTCGCTGTCAGATCGAGGCTCGAAGAACATTGACTCTAGAGCATTCGTTTTGTTCTTTTCAACTGGCTCCGTGTGAGCAGAACATTCCTGCTGTTGTCCCAAAACTGTCGCGAAGTCGCTCTCTCCCGTGCTTCGACCCCGTGGCAGAGCGCCTCAGGAGACAGGACGGCCTCATGACACACTGGGCCCGTCTTCATATGACCAGTCCAGATAACAACTCAAGTGCCAGGCATAAGTCTCGCTACACATGCCCATATCGCGTACGCTGCACTCGGATGAGTAAACACACAACCCATGAGGAATCTCTTTGTCCACCTGTGCGTGTCGAAAAACTTGACAGACTTACGAGACTTCTGTCAGATACTAATCCTGTCCCTGGACTGTGTGACATGACAACACAGTGGAATGGCCGAATATCATCTTCGAGATGGAGCAGTTCACCCCTCGAAAACAGAAGACGCAGTGCTGCCGCAAATGCTACGCCTCTTCGACATACGGCGTTCAATTCTGACATCGCGAGACGACTCTCCGAGACGGTATATTCTGAGCACCTCTACCACAAAGAAGGAAACATTCTATCTTTGCGAAGCCTTGAGGCTGGATCGAACCAAAGCTTTTCGAGAGACTGCTTGCCAATTGGACCGAAAGGTCTAGGACTTGAGCAGAGTTCACATGAAGGCTTTCCATCTCGCCTAAAGGCAAACGTGGAAGACCTCAATGTGGACCAACCCAAAGCTTTTGGCATCGGACTGGGAGATTATGATTTACGGTTGATAGCTGACCTAGACCGGAGGCTTGAGTGGCTCTCCAACCAGCTCATCCCCGGACGCAGACCGTACCATTTTGCCTTGCTTGCCAATCACTGGCTGAACCCTGAGACATGGATCGTCATTGACCCCCCAACCCGAATCTCGATTGATGCTAGACGCCGACTTGGGGACCCAAGATTCCATGACCCATACCCAGCCCCTGACTGGACCCCGAAGCCGAAGTACCCCAAGCTGCAACGCAGAACCGCCAATGTCCCGAAGATCAACTCCTGGAGAGCAGCTGTAAATCGGAACAGACGAGCAGGCGGGCTGGACGATGTCATTAAAGGTGTTGAGCTATTTGAGGGTTCAGACGACGCACCCCCGGATGGTAAGGTTGACCCTGCATGCTGGATCCTTCGGAAACCGCCTCAAGGATTTAGCATGTCCTCTCGCCAGGGGACCGTATTCTATGAAGGAGGAGCAGGCTGGCAAGAGACGCTAGACGACTGGCAAAAGGTTCGCCGTGGCTATCGAATCCGAAAGGCAATCCACGAGGGAAGGGCAAACCGGAGACGAGCAAAAGAGATTGCGCTTGGTGTTACGAGATACTATCGACTGGGCATCTCCAAAATCTCCTGATATCTGGCTACTCGCGGGTAACAACATAATCAAGGGGCCAGTCAGTGGCGTGCGTCACTTGGACACAAGGAAGGGTGATTGGCGACAACTCTTGCGAATGCGGGGACAGGGATTAGAAAGGCAATGTATGGGAAAAGTGATCCAGCCCGAGGCTCTTTCTTGCTATATTCTTATTTCCGAGCTGTCTTGCTTTGATGTGACTATATGTCCACCTATCTTTACACTGTCGAGATACCGAACACACAGCTCAATCAAGCGATGCGAACATAGTGGTTGTACGGACGGTATAAGGCGAGAAAAAAATTGAACATTGTGAATATCAAGGAATACCAATGCAGTTATAATGTGTCATCTCCCAGTTGCCAAAAAGATAAAAACTCCGATACTCGCCCTTGCCCGTGTCCCGTTTTCCCCTGAACTCGGCAAGCCTCTTTATATGGGAAAGGGGTAATCAACATGGGCGGTGTGATGATAATGTGATGGTGTATAATGCAGCGCTGCGAACTCCAAAATCGTTTTGTGTGCGAGATAAGAAGTTCGGTAGTGAGACGAAGGTTGTTTCTTCTCATAGCGGATGATACGTTTTCTGTCGGGCGCAAATGATCCAGTAAACGAACACCGTTTTAGAAACCAGGGGGGTTGACTCTTTGGCTGACTCGCGTCCACTTGGGCAGCTCTGTTTGGATTGGGATTTGCAATGTTAGCTTTCTTTTCCTCCCTTGCCGGAATGCTCTTGGGTCGACAGAAGCAAGCTTTGATCGAGGGCGGCTGCTGGAACACTCACTGTGAATCCCCTTCCGGTACTTCTTCTCCTTCTTGTCGAAGATGGTGTACTTGTCCTTGGGCAGCATCTCCTCCTCGCGGGGCATCTCGTTGAACCACCGCGTCACGGGCTTGGCCGTCTGGCCGTTCCGGGCCAGCGCCGCGCTCACCGTGTCCACGACGCGGTCGACGGCGCGGAGGCGCTTCCGCTGGCGGGCTTTCTGGGGCGCGGAGATGCGCCAGGGGATCTTCCTGTGTTTTTCAGGGGTTGGAGTTAGTGATTGCTTTGTTGGATTTGGGTGGAGAGGGGATAGCTAGCGGTGGCGTGGGAAAGAACTTGTTGATGATGATGGGAGGGAGACGGAGAGTGCGGAGTTCGATCGGGGGGGTTGAGGGAGTCTGGAAACTAGAACAATGCGACTTACCAGAGAAGACCCGAGAAGAGCGGCGACGAGGGCTTGAACATCATCTTGAACAGAGCGTCACACACACACCGGGTTGCAAGAGAGAGGGGAAGATGTGGGATAGGATAGCCGTTGCGGGTTTTGGAGGTGGAGGAGCGGACGAAAATCCCGTCGAGGTTTGGGAAAGTTGGTCCGTGCCCTCTCTTCACCTCCGCGGGACCGTCTCTCTTTCTCTCTCTCTCTGTCTCTCTCTCCTTCCAAGTTCTCACTCTCTCTCTCTTTTCCCTCGATTTTGTTTTCGCCCAATGAAGGCGCTACTTGGTCGCACGCTGTCGGTTTTCGGGGTCTCTTCCCTTTTGTGCGTGATTTAGATTATTTATCTCTTTAACTTCTGGGTGTCTTCTTCTGTCTTTCCTCTGAGAGTTTTGAGTTCTTGGATGCGGGCGTGGTTGAACCCGTCAAAGGCCAACCTACTAAAACTACTACCGAGTTCACACACATACAGTACAAATGTCGCGCTCGACGACGGACGCCGGCGCAACGGCAGAGGCCCCCTCGCTCCCATGGAGGACTCTGTCCGCCACGACCATGCTGGGGGTCGCATCGCTGTGCCGGTCGTTTCTGTACGTGTGCAGCAAGCCCGAGGTATACGGCTTGGAGCCATTTCTGGAGTTGCTCGATTCGAGACGCGATCCGGCCCAGAGGACAAGAGGGTTGTTAACAGGTATTTTCTCCTCCCGGATCCTCTTGTCGCGCGGTTGCGCCACGGCTTCGAACAGAAGTGGCTAATCCTATGCTCTCCTGCAATAGTTTCGAACCATACTAGCGTGTACGTGCGTACAAATGCGCCTTGAGGTCCGAGGCGATTCCAATTTACTTCTTACAACGGAGATGGCTGATCATGGTCGCGACGCGACACCCCGAGCAGGATGGATGATCCGATCATGTGGGGGTTTCTTCCTATGCGATACTGGCTGACCCTTTCCTCGTCGAATAAACGATGGGGTTTTGGGAGCCATGATATCTGCTACCAGACCAGGTATGCGCTCTTGGGCATTTGCACCGAGATTGATAATGGGAAGGGTGGTGGGCTAATATGAGAATCGACATCAGACCCCTGGCGCTGTTCTTCACAATGGGCCAGGTCCTTCCCACCCATCGACTGGCCCATTCGCCACACGGTGGTCTGGCACAACCCGTTGTCACCCAGGCGATCCGATTGCTATCAAAGGGCCCATTCGCCGCCGATCCCCATCTCGCCCGCCCCGAGCGGCAATCGTGGAGCTTGCAGAATGTCTGCGTCGACCCGTTCTCGGATCTCCCGATGGCGTTCACGACCGACGGCCACGATTCCCACTTGTCCCCGTCCTCCTTCGCCTGCAACTCCTACTCCTGGTTCCACATCTTCCCTGAGGGCATGATCCACCAGGCGCCTAACAAGACGATGCGGTACTTCAAGTGGGGTGTCGCCCGGCTCATCCTCGAGGCCAGTGAATGTCCTGATGTCGTGCCCATCTGGCTGGAGGGCTTCGACCAGGTCATGCACGAGAGTCGCGAGTTCCCGCGCTTCCTGCCCCGGGTCGGCAAGGAGGTCAGCATCACGTTCGGAAAGAAGGTCGATACCGAAGCCGTCTTCGGCGAGTCGCGGAGGAAGTGGCAGCAGATCAGGGCCAAGGCGGAGCGCACATCGCCCGACACCCGCGACCTCCCGCTCGGAGTGCTGAATGACGAGCTCCTGTACGGGACGGAGGCGGTTGAGCTGCGCAAGGAGGTTACCATGAAGGTTCGGAACCTGGTTCTCGAGGTGCGGCGGTCTCGAGGCCACTCGGATGAAGACCCCAAAGCGGGTCTCGCTGAAACGTGGATTCGAGAAGGCCCCAATCGGGAAGGGAAGATGTTGGATGATTCTTGGGTGCGCGATCTTTGAAGCAACTACAGCGACACGCCAAAGCCATTTTCAGCCATTTTCAGTGTAAATTAGAGCATATTTGATAGACGAAGTGTACTGTACAAATTCACGATGAAACACAGTTATCAAGCCAGGGTGCCCAGTCAGCCAATGGAGGCTGTGTCAGGCCAGGCCCACCGTGAGTCAATTCGACTCATTATTCCTTCCAGCCTTGCTTACAAGTTAACTCCGCTCCGCAACTTTACTTCGACCCGCCGACGTCAATTGTTTCTTGACAATAACCAATGTTAATTTAACTCCCGCTTCCACCTCCTCCTCTCGCCATTTCATTCACACTCCATGCCACCCACCACCGCCACCACCACTATCCCCTATGCCCAAGAAGTTCAAGAAGAATGCCTATGCGAAGCCAGCGAGTACAGCCCATCACACTCTGGTCTCCGGTGGTTCCCGCCCCAAAGACCATGATCGCCTCCGCCCGTCTTCCACCTCCTCCCCCGCCGAGCAACAAGAACAACCCTCCGTGAACGAGCTGATCGACCACCTGCGACGCACCCAAGTCACACGAACCCCCGACCACGGACCTGAAAGCCCTTATCGATTCGTGGTCCCCCGCTCGGTCCACCCGTCTCTACGCAATCTCCTCGAGCTGCCGGAGACCCCGCCCCCGCGCCCGCGGCCGGGCTCGCGCCGCCACGCCGTCGTCGGCGCACGACGGGGCACGCGACGAACCGCCGCCGGACCCCCCGCCCCTCAGAGCTGGCTCGTGGGGAACTACGGCCGGGAGGAGGAGGATAAGGAGCTGGACGAAGATGGCCCGACGGAGAGTCGTCGCACCATCTACCGACTGGCGGAGCGCTTGCCCGGCACGACGTTCCCCGCCAGGGGAAGTCTGCAGCATACCGTGCTGAAGGCCATGGCGCTGTACTGGGCGTGGCATCTCGAGTACGACGGCCCGTTTCTCGCGGACCTGCCTAATCATGTCAAGGTCCGATTGCTCAGTTTCATTGGTGTATACACCCGGGACTATCAGATCCCGTCTGGTTTGGGGCTGCGGGTGTTGTTCCCTCGCTCTCAGCAGCAGCAGCAGCAGCAGCAGCAACAGCAACAGATGGACGATGACTTCGCGGCAGTGCATAAGCACAGCAGCGAGGCAGGAGCAGCAGGAGCAGCGCAGGAGAACGACGACGAAATCACCCGCCTCGACCTCAGCAGCGCCCTAGGCCGCTGGCTCACGCTCAAGCAAATCTCCAGCGAACTGCTCCTCACGACCAAGCAATCCACCCCTGCTCTCCAGCAAACACCCAACGAGCCCGCCTCCGCCTCCACCTCCGCCGTCCCATCCTCCTGGGAGGACGAATACGACGAACACCAACCCCCACAACCTACTACACCCACATCCCTAACAACAACAACCCTGCGCACGCCGCGCTTCACCAACCTCCGGTACCTCTCGCTCGCCCACCCGACCCCCGCCTCCGCGAACTGGAACAGCCTGATCACGCTCCTCGCGCGCCTCACGCGCATCACCCACCTCTCGCTCGCCCACTGGCCCCTCCCGACCGCCACCCCGCACGCCCGCACCGCCACCGTCCGCCACCCGGCCCACCGCTCCCTCACCTTCGCCTACGGCGGCACGGACGCCTACGCCGCCAGCGACAACAACTGGGCCGAGGTCGCGGGCCTCCTGCGCCGGCTGTCGCGCGCCACCTACTGCCTGAAATGGCTGGACCTCGAGGGCTGCGGGGAGTGGCTCCCCGCGCTGAATTGGGTCGGGCGCGGCCCCGACGGCGAGGTGTATCCCTCCGGTCCGGAGTGGAATGGCTCCTGGCGCGAGGTCGAGTTCATCCGGTTGGGCGCCGGGTGGGTGCCTTCGCTTGAGGGGGATGATGATCCTGCGCTACTGCAGCAGCAGCTAGTTCCAGAAGGCATTAGACCTGCAACTCTAGTAGAAGGTGTAGGTGGGGCGAGACGAGCCCTGGCTGTGTCGATGCATGCCCCCCCTCCGGCGGGTGCTGGCGCCCGCGGTGATGATGATGATGATGATGATGATGATGATGATGGTGATAATCTCCCCTGGGACGTCGAGGAGGAGAGGATCAAGTACCGGCGGATGAAGGAGGTGCAGCGGTACCGCGAGATCGTGGAGACGGCCAAGGAGGTGCAGCGGAACGTGCAGCGCGTTCGGAAGGAGGGCAAGGGGAAGTGGGTGACGTTTTCGTTCGGGTTGGAGGGGTTGGAGGACGATGCGTTGAAGAGGTTGCTTGGGCCGAGGTGGTTGGATCTGTTGCCTTGATTTTTGGGGTGCGGCGGTAGCGTTTTTGGGGGTGTACGGTGCAGCATATACTGTATAGTAGGGAAAAATCTATAACTGCAACTTAGGTAGAATATACAGCAGCTGCAGCTGCAACAATGGAAAGAGGTATCTTTCTAATCTTCAGCTACGGGTACTCCACGATCACTATAATCAATGCATCTCACGCGAAACTTTTTCTTTCTATGAACCAAATCCCAAGTTATGTACAGTACAGTGCCGACCCTCTCCATCCAAACATAAATGCCAACCACCCTCCAGTAAAAAATAAAATTACTTCCTCCCGCGATTAAACGTCTTCAACGGATCGACCTTCCGCCCACCACCACCAGGCTTCCTGCCGCCTTTCCCCTTGCCGCGATTCTTCTCGCGGGCCTTGCGGATGCGGTTCTCGCCGCCGACCTTCCGGAAGCCCACATACCCGACCGTCTCGGACGAGATGCCCTTCCGTCCCTTGGCGGGCATCAGATACTCGGGGATATGCTTCAGATGGGGCTGGATGCGGGCGGCGCGGAGCTCGCCGTCGTGGCGGAGCTGGCGCAGCTCGTCCGGGTTCTCCTCGAAGTGGCGCTTGAGCTTGTCGGACTTGATCAGCTCCTGGCGGATCTCGCGGGCGCGGGCCTCCTGGACGGCGAGGCGGGTGATGGCGCGCAGGGCGTCGGTCATGCGGTACCGGAAGGCGTCGACCTGGGCCATCTCGAAGTGGTAGGGTTTGACCTCGTGGCCGAGCTTGGCCTGGCGCTTGACGATGCGCGCGACGACCGTCTCGTCGTGCTTGGCCGTCGGGAAGGAGGTCGGCTTGTGGCGGCCGTACTGGTCGGCGGGCACGACGAAGGAGAGCGCCATCCCTGTCTTGCCGGCGCGGCCGGTGCGGCCGATGCGGTGCGTGTAGGACTTGGCGGTCGTGGGGAGGTCGAAGTTGAGGACGCACGCCACGTTCTGGAAGTCGATGCCGCGCGAGATGCCGTAGTCCTTGTCCTTGGTGGAGAGTTTGCGGCGTTTGCTGTTGGTTTCGGGGGTGGTGGGTTTCTTGGTTTTTTTGGTGGTGGTGGTGGTGTCTTCGACGTCCTCTTCGTCGTCGCTGGAGCCGACGAGTCCTTCCTCGTCTTCTTCGACCGCGTCGGCGGTCGTGTCTTTCGTCTTCTTGAATTTCTTCGCGCCGAGAACCTCCTGGTCGTCGGCCGCGATGATGATGTCGTAAACGCCCTTGTTGAATTCCTGGACGACGTGGATCCGCGAGTTGACGGGCAGCTCGGAGTTGAGTACACAGCTCTTGATGCCGAATTGTTCGAGGAACAGCTTGACGCGGTAGCAGCGGTCGACATCCCCGACAAAGATGATCACCTTGCCCTTGATCAGCTGCAGCTTGAAGATGACGTAGGTGAGGAGGAACTTCTCGTCCTCGGCGCATCTAGACCGACATGAACATTAGCAAACGGTGTATCCTCCCCCCTTCACAAAAACAAACTAACCTGACAACAAACTGGCTAACGCCCGCCCCCTGCTCTTCCTTATCCTCCAGCTTCAATACCACCGGATTCCGACAGAACAGACCCTTGAGCGTGTCCACTTCCGAGGTCAGCGTCGCACTCATGAGGAAGGTCTGCACCCCGCGCGGAATCGCCTTGGCCAGCACGTTGATGTCCTCGTCGTACCCGTACGACAGCACCAGGTCCGCCTCGTCGATCACCAGGTGCGCCAGGTGCTCCAGCGACAACGCCGAGTTGCCGAGGTTGGCAATCACGCGCGCCGGCGTCGACACCACCAGGTCCGGGTAGTCGGCCAGCAGCGTGCGCTGCACCGCGTCCGACACCTTCTGCGTCAGGTTCACCGACCGGATCTCCTTACCGCAGAAGGCGGCGAACGTCGTCACCACATTCTGCACTTGCTCCGCCAGCTCGCGCGTGGGCACGAGGATCAGCCCCGTCGTCGCTCTCAGGGAGGGGTCGGCCTAAACATTCAGGTAATTCCGACCATCAGTTTCAAGTCTACAGGCTGGGAAGGACCGGAAAATGAAACTCACAGCTTTCTTCTGAAGGATAGTCTGGAGGATAGGGAGGACGTAGGCAGCGGTCTTGCCGGAGCCGGTCTTTGCCCGGGCTGGTTCATGGTCAGCTTGATTGAATACGATAATGAGAAATTGAAGTAAAACTCACCAAGAATGTCTTTTCCGGCAAGCGCCAGAGGGATAGCCTTGGCCTGGACCAGCGTCGGCTTGGTGAACTTCTCTTTGATCAGGGCTTGGCGCAATCGCGGATCCAGATTGAGGGTTTCGAAGTCGGCGTCTTTGACCTCGGGGGTCTGGGTCTGGGTCTCAGCGATGGTCTCGGCGCCCTCCGGGGAGGGCACGTCGTTGGCGTCCAACTTGCGTTTCATTGTGACAGACAGCACTGGAAAGACAAAAGATCGTGCGTGTCTTCTCGAAAGGGGGAGTGTTTTGAGGAAAGCGACGATATGAACTGGGGGGAGAGTTTTCGTGGAGGGCGGCGGGCTGGGAAATTCTGTCGGGCGGTGAGATTTTCCGAGGCAGTATTTTTAGCGGGTCTCCACTTGCCTTCGATCCACTCTTATCATATCAGCCCTCTCCATCTATACACTAATAACAGCGTGAATATGGTCAACACGGCTCAAGCCGAGCTCAATACTACCTGTGCTGGATACCAAATAGTCACATTGAATAATGGATTGGATTCGACACAGACTGCGCACCATGCTGCTCCACCTTGACAGCGACAGCGACAATCACCGTTATCAACGACCAACAGGCAAACTATGAAGACATCGTCTCGATTCCCAAGCTATCGTCTAAACCAATAAACAAAGTAACGAGACTGCAAGCGGATCAGGCCAAAGCATCGATATCATACAAACGCTACAAAAGAATTCCGCATGCAAGGATCCAAAGTCGTCCCGCCCACAGCGAATAAGGGATACGAATCCAAACTCAGTCTGCACCGAGGAAAAACAATAACCTGAAAGGAGGGAATCTTATTCTAAGTGGTATCGTAACGACCAAACTTGACCGGAGACTGCGTAAATTCCCGTTGAGTTTCCGGGCCCTGCAAGCTGGCGGATCTGGCTCGTCTCTTCCTCGGACTGACCTCGAAGTCAATGCTGGGGATCTCGCTCAAGTTGAAGGACTGACTCGGGGTCTTGGAATCTCTGTACGGCAGGACGGTATCATCCGAGAACCAGAGCGTGAGCGCCAGGCGGCTGATGCCGGCGTTGGTCCACCCTTGGCCACGCAGTGTCTCCCACTCCGGGAGCGAGCGGATGCGCGCCTCTTCCAAGGACGACGTCCTCAGCTGGAACAGAAGCCACTGGTTGACGAAGACTTTCGACGGCGAGCTCGGTATCAGCACCGGCTCGAAGATGCTGCTCTGTTTGAGCTCATGAGAGGACAGCTGCAGCGTATCGCCATGCCCTTCCGTGAGGGTCTCAAGATCCGACAGTCTGGCCCAGTACTCATGAAACAGATTCATCCGTCTTTCATCGTAGGTTCGCAGACAGTCCATTGCATCGCTATCAAGCCCTTTGTCTGAGACCAAGGGATTTTCAATATTTTGGAGCTTCACGATCGAGACCAATTGCCCGTCAAGTTCGACCAACTGACCCCGCAGCTCTCGCAGCCTCTGTGCGGCCGCAGACTGGGAGAACGCCTTCAAAGCATACTCGTTGCGACCCAGAAGCTCCTCAGCTCCGACATTCCCCAAAGCGGCCCTCTCACAGTTCTCCTCCGTGAAAATGCCTTTGGGAAATGACCCGCGCAGCTGATCCAGCAGGCCCGCAAAGTCCTCCGTCGACTGAACCAGCTGGTTCTCCCGCTCCGTCAACGCCCCATCGACACGTCCGTACTCCGCCTCCAGCTCTGCAAGGAGCAAATCCACCTCCATTAATACCGGCGTCCAAGCATCATCACGATGATTATCATAAGCAACCCGGGCATCGCCATCCGCACCAACATCAGTCGTCATCCACCCCGAGATCATGTGCTCCCTCACCTTCCTCTCTGCCTCGAGCCGCTCCCGTCGCATTTCAGCGTGGATCTCTCGGAGGGTGGTCCGCAGGCCCGCGATCTCAGTCTCCTGCGCCATCGACACATCCTTGGTGGCATGGATCTGCTCGACCTGCGCGCAGCTCAGCCGGACTTCCTGCCGCATGCTGCTGCTTCTAACGCCGCCACCGCTACCGCTGTTGCTGCGACTACTACCAGCAGCAGTAGCCAAGGTTGAGAACGTCCGTTTGTCGATCGGTCCGGCGGGATCGCTGGGACTGATGGCTGCTGCTGCTGCTACTGGCTGCTGGCATCCGCGATGCGGGGTCACGTCGGGCTCAGGTGGACGGCTGTCGATGTCCATTTCGTGGGTGGTCGGGATGTGCGATGCGTATAGGAGGACCTCCGGTTCGTCCCATGAGGGTACCGGGAGGGGCACGGAGGACGACGGCGGCGGCGTGGGCGCACCACTACGCATCGTTCGGGGGGAGCTGAGGGCGTCACTGGAGAAAGAGCTGATCGCCTCGACCTTGCTGGGCTCCATCTTTTTCTTTGTGGATGCGCTGTGCAACGAGAGAAGGCAGTGGCACAGAAAATGGAGTCTGGATCAGGCCAGCGATAGTCAGACTGTGAGTTGGGCCGGGGGAATGTAAGAATTCAGCAAGATAGGCATACACGTCGTGTAAAGTAGGCATCCTCGATGAGCAACCTGAAAGCTAGTAGGTAGTTCTGTGTCCCGCATTGACGACAAGACGGGCAGGCGCGATAGTGACGAGGTCTCAAACCCAAAGCAAGGAAACAAATGGAAAGAGGTATGCACAGACTTTCTTCGAGTAAATCATTTGTTATGAATAGAGCGCCTCCCTCAAAGGTACAAAGTCATTATAGAGACATTCGGTCGAGTATTGAGCTCCATGTAGCGAACACGCATGATGTTGAAATATGATCAGGGTATTTTATCAAACATCAAGGATATCCAGGCCGTAGTTCGTCTTAACCCATAACTCAACAATGACTGGCAAGACAAGTTTCAAAAATCAATAGATAGAACAAGGTACATAATCAGTGTTAAACGCTACGCAGTAATAACTGAAGGGGAATATGTTAAACATGACGCGGGGATATATAGGAAGAAGATAGGAAACAACATAGATGATGCATCAAGTTGAAATCGTCCAAAGTAAAGCAGCAATCGCCGGGGTATATACCTCGCTCCTCTCCTCTGCTCTCATTCGTACTCGTTCCTTCCACGCTGCCCTAACAAAATGCCACAAAATAGAAACGAGTCCGAAGAAGAATTTTACACAAACGCCCCTCACGCACATCACCACATTAGAAAGACGAGCATCAGGCATGAGACATGAAACATAAGCATGAGCATAGGCATAGACATGAGCGAGGAGTATCGCATCAGCTAGAGCTGAGCCAGGCATGAACATAAACATAAGACATCGAAATTCGTGCAGGTCGTCAAGAATCGTACAATCATGTCGCCATGATGGACGTGATCGGTCAGAGCCGTCAAACCCGCCCCTCCTCTTTTTGAACACCGAGGCCAAACCAAACCAAACCAAAGAGAACCAAAAGCATCACCGCCCAATGTCGATATCAGACATCCATACATTTTTTCCTTTGTTTGTGGTGATCCCTTCAATACCATCCGAGCAGAACCAAAGGCTCATTGCCAATTGTTCAGCCCACCACAAAAAAAAAACAAGAACTTTTTGAAGAACCGATGTGCGTTGTCAAAGACAGAGATCTAAACCATAACTTTTGTAAGATCGCAAAAGTAATGCATAAACCGGAGATTGTATAACCAGCATGGATCGCATCATGAGACTTCGATTCAAGCCTCTTATCTAGTATTGACCGCTGTAGGTGGACCGACTCGAGCGTCGACTAGCCCGGTCCGATTTCCGGTCACTCATGGCTCGGCGCGGGTCTTCCAATGCTCTTCGAGAAACACTTCCGGTATAGTCAGAGCCTCCAGTGAGGTATTTCTTCGGTCGGTGCTTGCCTTCGATGTTCAGCTCCACTGCACCATTGTCCCCGGTCCGAAGCATTAGCCTCTTGCCCCCAACGGATCCTTGGCTAAAGCTCATAGTCACACCGTTCATCGTCATGATAATATTGTTGTCCTCCTCCGGTTTGAGACCGCTGTTGCTTCCAGTTTGAGTCCGGGCGTCACTGCCACGGCTGCTGTTCGAGCGACTCTTCTGGCTGCCGCTGTCACTTTCAGCGCGTTGAGAAGTCTTGGCCTTGTATAAAGCGTCTTCGGTCAGGGGAACAGGCGCCGATGGCTTGCCCGACCGGGAGGCTTGGTACTCCTCCGCCTCTCGTTGCTTCTCGACGATTTCATCATCCTCGTCTTCGTCATCATCATCGCCGTAGTTGTATACTGCGGGCCGGCGCCGACGAGAATTCTCGACAGCAATTCGTGCCGGTCGCGCAGACTCGTGGTAAGCGTTAGAGCGACGGCTGTCGCGGTTACTTCGGCTGCGTTCGGGTATCATGGTCTCGCGAGAAGACTGCCGATACCCGTATTCAGGCAAGGCGTCGCCCAATTCCGATAGGTCTAGAGATCGAGAGGAGCGACGGTCGGAAGGAATCAATGGAGCAGTCACGGACTTGCGAGGCGGGTCGGGCCGTTTCTGGATGATGTGCGGAGCCGCCTTGTGCTTCGTGGGTGGAGGCGGCATACGGTAGTAATCTTCATCGCGATCATGAGAGGAATGAGCGGACATCCGAGGCCGTGTCTGTCGGCCTGGAGCAGGAGGAGGCGGAGGAGGAATGTCCACCACGTCGTCATCATCTTCATCTTCATCAAAGCTTGCTTCATCGTAGTCCATAGCGGGCGCGTAAGCCGACGATCGGCGGCCCCGACCGTGGTCTCGAGACCTCGAAGCCGATCGTTCTTGTCGGCTGTCAGGAGGGGCTGCATAATCGGACACGCCGTAGTAGGGAGACTGCTGCGGGTAATGAGAGGCGGCATACGGCGGAGCGTTGGCATACGCCGAAGAAGACAGCGGTGGACCGTGGTCGTAGCGACCCATGGAACCCGGAGGGTACATCATCTGGTTCATTCCAGGCATGGTACCATGAAAGCTCGCCGGCCGGTTGTTGGGATGATAAACGGACGAGCTTCCGCGAGCATGAGGACGGCTACTGCGGGTGACGTTGACGTCCTGAATCACAGAAGGAGGGTATCGAGAGTTTTGCGGTGCCGGAGGAGGATATTCATGACCTGGAGGAGGCGGCGGCGGCATGAAATACGGATAATCCATCGGTCTCGCTTCTAGAGGTGTGGAGGCAGAATGGTACAGCCCCTGATCGCAATCATAACACTGCCCCGGATAATGCCTGAACTGAGCAGTATCACGTCGGCGGGACCTGGACGGGGAACGCTGATCATGGGCATGAGGGTGCGGGTGGCCCACAGTGGGAAAACTCCCGACCTGCATTTTGTCCTCACGTGGTGGACGAGCAATTCTGTCCTTGGAAGGACGTTCTTTGTGGCCTTTGGATCGGACGCGTTCGAGGTCAACTCGTTTGAGGGTGGTGTCTGGCTTATGAGGGACAGGACTCTTCCGGCCCGACGGCCCAGATTGGGTGCTGTTGACGGTGGCGGCGGTACGACTGGAATACCCGGAGTCACTTGCAACGTCGACCAGGGGCTCTGCAGGCGATCTCACGGCCTGTTTATGGCGCTTGGTAGTGAGGTTGGCGACTTGACGGGTTTCGGGGCGGATAACATGGGTGTCTTCGTCATATTCCTCACAGAAGGCGGCGTGGGGGACTTTGCTAGACATGACTTCTGGAAGGCGGCCTAAGGCCCAACCCTAAGAGGGGAAAAGGGAAGAGGGGTCTGGCTTGATTTTGGGGGGGGGTGGGAAAGGCACGAAGGTGGATGACCTGAAACGTGGTGCTCCAACAGGCTTTCAGATGCTTGCTTGGTGGCCTACAGCAGCCACCAACTGCTGCTCATCCGAATATGACTCAATCAGTGCCTGGGAGATTTTTTTTAGCGTTTTTTTTTTTTTGGCCCTCTGATTTTTTTTCTTTAGGCGCGGTTAGTGATTTGTTTCTCCCTCTTCCCTCTTAGTTCGGAGTGAGGGCTGCAAATCCACTTGGCGGCAGTCGCCTCAAGAAAACAACCGGGAGATGCAGACGGGCCAGACAATAGTCCGAAAGACAGAGCGTCTAGATCGTTGAGTGTCAACGATGAGTCGTTGGTGGGCACAAAGAATAGTCGTCGTCCACAGTCTGCAATGTCTCCATCGAAAAGAGGAAAGGAAGAACGGGGTTGGTTCGAGGTGGAAGGGGGGGGCAGGCGACGAAGTGGACTGTGGAAAGTGGTGGTGGAGGACTGGTGATGAAGAGACGACGAGTCGGGCGGCGGACAGTCAGTAAGAGTGAGACTAGACTCAATAGATAACCCGTAGTGGACAAGCCCAGCGTGGGTCAACCGGAAAAGAAAGCTGCAGTGAACGGTTGGCAGCCGGTGAGTGGAGGGGAGTTAGAATAGAATGATCGATTAACCAAACAACCGACGGGGCTGCAGTCCTTCAATGCACCCAGCAGAAGCGTGTAACCGACGGCTTTGATGACTGGTGCGTCTGGCTAAGCACTCGTGGTCGTCGGCCTTGGGACGCGATGATTGATGACAGTCACCAAGGCGATGGGAAAAAGCAGAGGGAAGAAAGGGGGGAAAGAAGATGCAGAGGGTCAAAGGGACTTTCCAGTAGAATTTGACTCTCTAGGTTTGAAGGTCCGAGGGGGGGGGGGAGGGATGACAGAAGGAGGGGAAGCGAGTAAGTACTAGGTAGACTAGGAGCAAAAGCAGGAATGCGCAGGGAAAAAAAAAAAGGTGGGGAGAGAGAGGGAAAACAAAAGACTAAGTGGAGTAAGGGAAGAACAGGTGGGAATCTTCCACACCAGACGATAAGAGATTATCGTAGTACTGAAGTAGAAGTTAGGAAAATCAAAGAGGGGAAAGCAGGAGACGGGAAAACAATGAGGAGGAGGGGGAGAAGCTGAGAGAAGGAGGGATTGCGATAGGAGATCCGGGACTGATTGACTGACTTGATGAACTGCCACTGGTTGAGTTAGTTGGTAGCAGTAGCAGCAAGAGAGGATCGGGAGGGAGGAAAGAGGTATGGAAATAGGTAGAGTAGGTAACGTAGTTGGAGGTAAGGTACGGAGGATTGGATGGGTTGGAAAACTGTGCTGTGCGTCGCCTTGGTTTTTAATTGCATTCATTCATCAGTGTACTGGAAATGAAGAGTAGGTTGAGTCAGTTCTTTTCCTTGCCTTTTTCTTTTTTCTCTTACATGATTTTCCATCTACAATTACCATATAAAAGAAAATGGGGGAGGGGGAAAAAAGGAAAAAATGAAAAGATTGAGGGAAAAGCCCTGGTACCGACTGAATGTATACCTGAATGATTACACACAGTATGGACACACACGGCTGAGCCCGCTGCCGCTCTATTTGCATCTGTTACTTCTTTTATTTTATTTATATCATTTATGTTTTTCTTTTTCTTTTCTTTTTCTTTCGATCTACTGTGAATTGCTTCTTCCAGTGACTATCTCACCCGTCGTCTTGTGGATTTATAATGAGCATACCGACGATTTCAACCCCAAAGTCAGCACGAGCAAGAGTTGAACCCGGAAGGAATCAGTCATCGCAACCCGAGCGAGGACGGAATATAAATTCGATCAAGATAAAGAAACGGAAAGTGGTTCCATCTCACATCCGAACACATCCCTGTCCAGAGGCTATTTTTTCACCCGCGGCCTCTTGAAACTACAAAGTATATGCGGCAGATGAGGATAGTACAGTACTTACTCAAATCTTCCCATTTACCCACGCAACCACTGCCTTTTGGCCCCCCATCAAATTTGCCTCTCATCTCCTGGATGGTCCTCTCCAATCCGGATGGAAAGGTATGGAGACAGAGCAAATCGAAGAAGAAAACAAGAGGAGGAGGTGGGGGTTCTCCCTTGAGTGGCTGCTGGCCGCTGCCTGATCGGCCGCTAACATTTTTTTTTAATTATGCATTTGGTTACTGGTGACTGACAGACTGATGGGAGATAACTACAGCAGACGAGGACGAGAAAGGAGAAAAACCCTACTCCGGTCACCTCGATCATACTGGTCGAGATGACTCGATCAGCATGACTCAATGAGCTATTGTATCCTTCATAACCATCAATCGCAGATTCCTCATTGACAGGTCGTCGAGCATGTTGAGGAAAAAGCTGTCATCTCTATCCGCGATATGTCTTCTGTCTTGCATACGTCACAGGCATGGTAGAATGGAATTTAATTTCGTAGTCATGTTGCGATCATGGCATATTCCGCACTGCGACTTCCGACCGACAGGGAACAAGAGGCCTGCAGCTGCAAGGTGAAATCGGAATTCCTCCATTGGCGTATCAGGATACCCATCACAGGCGAGTTGCGGCACGATGATGAAGGGTCATTAGATCGGTCGCAATGAGCTTCAGGGGTGACTTTGATAACCGGAGTATACTGCATCCATGCTTTCCATGGAACGGCTGGTAATTAACACTAGATATCCGCGATACCCCAGGCGCTTGTCCGTGCGGTTTCAGACCCTCAGTGCGTGGCATTTTATCCTGGGGCACGGCTCCCCACGCACGGCACACCACACATGGATCAGTGACATCAATGGGCTTGTTTGGGGGAGCCTCAACCATCCTGAGAATCTCATCCGATCATTCCATCCCTTGCAGATTCGCGATAACCTCATTTTCGCTTTAGAGCCATTGCAGAAATGCTCATCACCGGATGTGCCAATCGTTCTCCTCAATGGAGAGCACATCACACGTGCGGATCGGCATATCGTAGCGTTGAAGCAAAGAATATCTCTTGAGTGCAAATCAATTCGAGATCTTTATGTATAGCAGCTCACCACCAAATAGATTGCTTGCAGCACGCGCTGATAGGCTCCTGAAAGATAGTGGCTATGCATGATACCACGAGAATACGCTATACCGCTATGCCTCTCACGCTGAAGTAACGGCCAGTTCTGATTGCCATGTCGCCTTGGTGTAACCTCATGATCGTGGGAATGAACAACAGTGCCTCGTGACCCGGACATGTCTCGCAGGCAACGAAGAAGTAAGATCGTCAATCGTTCCGGTGTTCTGTCTCAGTCGGTCCGGTGGGCTGAAGTTACCCAACCACTAGTGTCTTAGGCGGACAGGTGAGATTGAGATATCTCAGAATCTAAGAGTAAAGGTAAGGTTGAACCTGAGTACGGTACCATCGATCCGTAATCGCGGTGGAGGGCGTGGCTAGGGCGGCGGTGGAAGGATGGGAGAATGGGGAGGGTGGAAATAAGAAGCGATGGTTTGCTGGTTTGCGAGGATCCCCACCCGGCTCCATCTCGACGGGAAGAACCCCTGGGTCTGAGCGGATTCCATCCATTCCATCCACGGACCACCCGGAGTTTCTCCCAACATCTATACTACTCTACTCTAGGTAACTTACTCTACACTTCTCTTCCATCATCGTTTTCATCAATCTTTACTCAATCTCCTCGTGACCCTCTCTGGATGACTCTTGTCGCCCGTCACAGGTCTTCAATCTCATACTGTTTGTACCTACCTGGCCCCTCCGAGAAAATCCCGTCCTGTTGGCTGCCCAAAAGTCCCGAACGATGACCAGGAACTTTCCCATTGCGGCCCAATGACGGTGGCCTCCACCCCGCGGGGCACACCTCGTTGGTGAAATTTTCTCATTCCGGAGACGAAGGTCAGTTTGGACAAAAGGAAAGAAAGGGGAGGAAAAAACCTTTCAGCGTCAAGGATCTAGGTTACAAAGTTCATTATTGAGTTTATTCGAGCTCATGGGCAGGCATTCTTCAGCCGACCTGATCTAGCCCAGCAAACAAGGATAGAGAAAACCGGTATATTCCACCGACTCAACAGGCAGATTTACTTCGCTCATGTCATCGTCATGACACAAAGAATTGCTTTCACTCCCTTTTCAGTCCTCCATGATCTGTCCTCACCCCCCGCTTGCGGTGTTCTCCTGATGGGCTGATAAGTTTGCTATCCTGGTGGGGAGGCCCGCGAGCGAGCAGCATGGAAGACTGTGTCGAAGCGCGCTAGAAAGCAATGATCCCGGTAAGTGAGCCGTTCACTTACTCTCCGATTCTCCAGGCCGGAAGTGCCAGGCGGAATCAATGTTTATTGTGATGTTTGCTTCGTTATTCATACTGCACTAACTTATTGAGAACCCGAGAAGTGTCTCTGTCCAACGAAAAACCTTGACTTATCCGGGTTCACCCATCATTAATCCAAGACTCCTAGAAGGCTTGTACTCCGATGAATGAACACTCTGCGTTCCAATTGCTTCACAAAAAGCTTTCTCGGGCATTATTCTTCCATTAATCACATGACCTAGAGTCTGGTATACCCTGGACCCTGTGACTCACACCACAGCGACTGATGTTGGGTCGTGTCTCCATACATCTGGCAAGGATGAAGATTAAGCTGTCCAGACTGTGGTAACCCTGCCTGAACCATGAATACATCTACCGGTGTGCATTGCGCCTACACACGGAAAAATTGACGTCCGAAACGCTGGCTCAGATAAAGGGCCAGATAGTCCGGGTGAATTTCGTCCAGTGGAGGCTGATTGACGAAACTCTATCGCTCTCTCTGCGTCATTTATGCGTGCTGCCAAACTGTCAATGACAATGATCCTGAAGGGGACACAGTGCATTAGCGGGGCGTTCCGTCTGCATCTGGTATTCGACTCAGTCAATTCTTGCCCCTGTAATTTGGCTGTGCATGATTCTTGATCGTTGGATCTCGTGGGTGAGATTACCTCTCTCCATGCCGTTTCGGCGCTTGCAAGCTTGCCCCCCCCCCCCAAGCATCTATTGATGCCCAATGCTCGTGATTACCTTCCTGCATAGTGCTAGCCGCCGGATCAAAGGCAGCATCTTTTGCTTACTGCTTTGACCATCAACCATTTGCTCGAAGCCGTCCTTGTTCGTGTTGGTGATACACCGTAGGAATAATACCCAGGATCCCTTGTTCTCATCCAACTCCACTATATATGCCCAATTCTGCCGAGAAAGATAGACTTAGCATAAAGTATGAGTCTCAAGAGATGGGCTACTTGCTGAGTTGCTGTTATAGTGGAAGTTTAACGTCCAATGCCTGCTCTGGATTTCACGAGTAGTTGTTGTAACTTCCAGTTTGCATAGAAGTATGGTAACTTATGTGCATAGTACAGTAGTAGAGCCTCAGGCACCAAAGGCCGATAAGATAACTACCTAGTAGTTAACGAGGGGAGGCTGCTGAGTCATGCCAGTTGCCGGGGCCACGAGGGAACCGCCCAAACAAAAGAGCGTCATCCCCAGCCTCTCCCCAACCACCTCAATTTCCGTCTGGGCGTCGCTTGTTCTGCCGCTTGCGTTGCGTTGTTTCTTGCTCTGCCTTCATCCTCTAAGCTACTGTGAGCAAGCCAGTGCTAACACAGTTGGTAGTGCATACCAAGCTAGCATTTGTGCTCACATCCACCTTGCACACTGCATTCCAACCATCGGTCTACTATCTAGATTCTGGTACCCGAGCATACCATATACATCTCTCATAAGTGGATCGGGTGATTGAGATCGAGCCCACCAGGATACCCAAAGTGTCACTTTCAGTGGGTAAGACATCCCGCATTCCAGCTCAAGTCAATCAGACAACCATCTCTATCCATCAAAGATCAATCAGTCAATCTATCAATCATCTACTCTTTCATCATCATCCATCCATCCATCCATCCATCCTTCAATCTATCTAGAGAAACATCCACCTAACCAAGCTACAGAGTGCCCGTCTCGAGCACCACGCTCTTGACATCCACTGCCACTTTCCTCATCATGCCTCCCGTCCAAACCGCCGGCGACTTTCCCGGCATTTCCATCCTCGAAACCCTCACCACAGCCACCCACCCCCCAGAACTCGCCGCTTCACCGTACTCCCACCCTAGTCTTCAAGACAGCACCAGCACCAGCAGCAATGCCCCGCACAGCCACCTCCTCCACGCTCGCGACTCCAAATATGTCCCCGGCAGCGGCACCGTCGAGGCGCACAAGATCAACATGAAGGGCCTGATGGCGCTCTTCGCGATCATCGGCGCGGCCTTCGTGCTGGCGGCGATCTGGTTCTTCTTCTGGGCCAAAAACGGCGGGTTCGTGTGGCGCAAGGGCGACTGGGAGGAGTACAAGTCGACCGTGCTGCGCCGCAAGGGGCCGGACGGGCGCACGCTCAGCAACGCGACCAAGAGCACCAAGCTCGGCGGCGGCAGCATCGTGCACAAGGGCTACAGCGACGACGGGTACACGTACACGGAGACCGCGACCACCATCACCGAGAAGACGGGCGCCCCCGGCGGCAGCGCCGAGCGCAAGCGGCGGCGCAGGCTGCGCGAGAAGTTCCGGCGCCGCCGCAAGGACGACGAGATGACCGCCAACTGGGAGAACGAGGTCGACGAGGACGTCGCCGCGTACCGCAAGGAGAAGCCCGCGCGCGTCGGCGGCATGAACCGCGAGGGCGACGGGACCACCTACTACGACGGCAGTGACTACGATCTGTCCAACCCGCCGAGTTACTGGCACGACCGCGAGCAGAGCGAGGTCAGCCAGGTGCGGGATTACGCGTACGATCCCGTGGTCGAGCGACGGCAGAGCAAGCGGCGAGACTTTTCATTTGTGGCCGGTAGTGAGGAGTTGCTGAGCCAGGCTGACGATCATCATCACCATCGCACGATCCGCGAGCCATCGACCAGAAGACATAATCGACGACGCGAGCGCAGGAGACACGCCCCGACGGACAGTGGTGGTGGCGGTGCTGGCAGTACCAGTAGCCCGTCCCGCTCGTCCCGGCAGAGTAGTCCCCGCAAGCGTCCGTCGGTGACGGGCCACTACACCGAGCCGCTGGATTTCTCCTCCGCGGCCTCACGCTCCGAGTATCAGTACTCCAACGTCGACACCGAGGACTCGGGCACCAAGAGCTACCACCATCCGATTCCCGGGTTGAGCAAAGGCTACCGCCGGGAAGGGGGTCGGGGCCGTCGTCGCGACAGTCTGAGCGAGAGTGATGGCGAGGAGACTCGGTACTCGAGACGTTAGGTTGCAGCACACTTCCTGTCTCTCTCGCTTTCTCCTCCCTCACGCCGAAACATCTTCATCAATGACGACGCCAATGGAGGGAACAAGGGGGGCTTGCTTGTAAATAAATGGCCTTGGCCCAGGTTATGCTTTCTGTTCATGCGCGTTACTTCTTCGGGCTTTGCCGTTTTTTTCTATGCGTTCAAATTGAACTGCGAATTGCTCACACGGGATTATGATTGATGGGACATGGGATGAATGGATACCATACAAGGCAATACAATGCAATGCAGAACTCAACACGATATGAACGAATACGTTATGAAAGGTTTTCTGTGCCCGAAGCAGGAGTTTCACTATGGATAGGATGGCGATTATTTTCTCTTAATATCTCTTTTCTCGTACATGGTAATTCAGCGATAGGTATTGACTTCTTTTTTTTTTTTTTTTTGCTCTATCTGTCCCGATGAGTACTAGGTAGTCTGTCCCATTGCCCATCCAATTTCGCTGGATTGTCCTATGTCAAGCATACTAGCAAGGAGTAAGTTAGACCATGAGATCTAGAATAGAAGAATCACCACCACACTCGTCTAGCCTATCCACGCCGTAATTTCAATCTTCGAGAACATCCTCCCAAGAATCTTAGTGAACAGAGCATGTGCAATAATTCGAGGACTCATGTGACAGAACTACACTACGAAAGCCAAAACCTCAAAAAGTCCGAAGATCAAATTCATTCTATCTGATTACAGCCCCCGCCTAGCTACCTACCTACCTCCCTTCCTCCAGGACCATCCAGAGAGTCAACAAAAACGCCAGTACAGCATAAAACCTCAGCCTCAGCCTCAGCCTCAGCCTCAGCCTCAGCCCCAACAGCGCAAACAACCGCAACAAATACAATGACATAAAACACCCTGAACATTCCTAACCATCACATAAACCACCCGAGAAATCCCATTTCACGACCCAAGAAAAGCATTTACAAACCACACACCCAGAGAACCCCCCCCCCCCAAGGTGTCGAAGTATTTACCGCATGCACACATCCATCCTGCAAAAGCCTACCGTCTCAGAAACACAAGAGCCAGGTACCCGAATAATCGATACACGGCGATGATCCCCAGCAGGATCCCGACCCATTTGCCGGTGCGGCCGGTAGCGTAGCCGTATTCGTGCAGCACGCCCGTGCCCCGGATCTGGCACTGCGCGGCCAGGTCGGTCTGGTACATGCATGTGCAGTCGGCGGCGCAGGCGAAGATGCGGTCGGAGAATTGGTTGACCATCATGCCTTGGAAGACGTAGGCCTTATTTGTGGGGTTGTGTTAGTGGGGTTGTGCAGTTGGGGATGGGGGAGGAAGGTGGGCAAGGAGATGAGTGTGGTTGGTAAATGCAAATCAAGTCAAGTGAACTAACCTGATAATCGATGTAATGGAAGACATATTTCCAGAATGGATTCAGGATGGTGTTGGTCACCAGGAACCCACCCACCGCCATCCAGAGCCCGTTGGCGAAGGCGACTAGGGCTAAAGCGATGACAAAGTTGGGGAAGATGGAGGAGACGAAAACTACCAAGGACTCGGCGGCCACGAGGTCGAGGAAAATCCACATGATCCAGGTGAAGAACGCCGTGGCGGTTGGAGTGAGGTTGTTGAGCCAGTAGGCGATCACGGAGTAGAGGAGGGAGATGAGGACTAGACGGGAGACTTGATTAGCGTTCAAGCAGGCAACGACAAACCAAGGACCATGCGGTTGCGGACGAGAAAACGTACACAGAAAAGGGAGGCCGATAATGAAGTTGGACACGAGAAATGGAAATGAGCCGTAGAGACCATTCGCACGCTCCTTGGTGAAAGTTGCTAGGTCTTCCAGGAAGGCAGGAACGTATGCAACGGCCATAAAACTCATGAACGCGGAGCCGAAGAACTGAAGACATTAGTATAGGTGATAAGTTGGCTATTTCCGGGCAGGTAGAATCGGTGGCTTACTATTGAGTTGATGAATGGCTGGATATAGGCTTGTTCAGTGTGCAAACGCAGCCACACAGTTCCCACCATTATGGCCAGTGCTGGACAAAGTCAGTGAGGTCAAGCGCTGGCTCTTTCTGGCAGAAACATACCCATATACATAACAATACGGATTCCATATGCCACAATGTCACGGTAGCTCTTGATGAAGGCGCGGTGCAAGAGGGATACGATTACACTGAACATCCCTGGATGACCGAGCTCCGCAATGTCCACCTTGCTGAAGCCCTTCTCGTGGCCTCCCAAGTCCTGTGATAGCTGCTCGCTCAATGCGTTACGCTCCGCAGAGTGTTTCCAAGCCGCGCAAATCTCCTCCACTTGATCCTCCGGCGCATCGAGCGTACCACTGCCAAAGTCGGCGCTGGTCAGGTCGAGAATGAACTCCGCTGGGTTTGTGTTCAGCGGGACAGGATGACCAAGTCGGTCGAAATAATGCGGCACACCAGTGACAGGGCCGAAAAAGCAGGTCTGTCCGCCTGATAGCAGAAGCAGCTTATCGAAGAGTTGGAAAGTGGTTGATGATGGTTGGTGAATGCTGGCGATGATAATCAGCTAGCAGAGGTTAGCATATTGTGTCATTCCTCCCTGAAGAATTCATACATTATTTGCCACGGCCAGTTTCTTGATGTAGGAAATGACTTCAAAGCTGGCAGTTGAGTCCAGACCACTGGTAGGCTCATCCAGGAACAAGATCTTCGGACAGGTGATCAGTTGACTAGCGACACTGACTCGCCGTTTTTGCCCACCGCTGATTCCCTTGCGGATTGGAGTGCCAACCAACGTTGAGGCCTGATTCTGAATACCGAAGGCCTCCAACAAAGTGCGAATGCGCTCTGCCCGTTGCGATTTGGAGACGGAACTGGAAGTATTAGCGGTTCGATCGAGAATGGCCAGAGATCAATTAGAGAAGTACCTTGGAAGAGAGAGATCGGCTGCAAACTTCAATGTCTCCTGGACAGTCAATGAACCAATCAAGGCATCTTCTTGTTCCACATAGGACGTGAGTCGTCCAAAGATGGTGTTATCCATCGCCGACCCATTAACATAGCACTCTCCCGTTTTTGTTGCGCCCGAGGATGCTACACGCCGAGCAAGGACGTTAAGGAGGGTCGTCTTGCCACATCCTGACGGTCCCATCAGTGCGACCAGCTCTCCTGCTCACAATGCATGAGTTGGCCTTCTTCAGCAAGCACAAGGCAATAGAGAAACCTACCTTGCTGGACTGAGCCACTGATGCCATCGATGAGTTGTCGAGGGAGTTTTGTTCGACGGTCCTTGACTGTGACTCGTAGATCACTCCAGGCGAAGCTTTGAACAGTGTTGTTCATCAAGAACTGATGCGCTTCGTTCCGCTCGAGATCGAAATCATCTTTCTTGGTTGGTAATTCGGCCTCCATATTCAGCTGTGGGGGCTACACCAGGTCGTCGAAAGCAGGTATGTGGCCTTGATGTACGCCAACTAAGACGAGGGAGAATTAAACTATAACCTCAGACTTGTGTAATCTCCAGAAAACAGCAACAGGGATTAGGCTGGATCTAAACAGCAGAAAAGAGCCGTTATAGGGTCCCAGCCCAGCCCATGGTTTCGTCTTACTTAAGACGAGGCCGAGCCCACTATACGATCTCTGAAGGAATGAGATCGCCGAACATGCTCGGCGTCATGGGTCATCCTGCCTCGCAGCCATAGTGGGAGGGGAACCCTGCACGTCACGGTCGGTCAGTCAGACAGTCAGTCAGTCAGCATTCCAATGCAGCAGCAGCAGCAGCCGCCGCCGCTTCAGACCTCAGGGACAAATCCAGCGAACCATGGATCTGAAGCCCGAGAGAGTTGATGCCCGCTGATCGGGTGTCGCCGTCCGTGGGGTCGGATAAGGTTCCCAGTCCCCGAAATGCCCGAAAGTTATTTTTTGATGGTAAGAACAATCCCATTGATTTGCCATTCTATTGTTCTCTCGGGGAGCGGAGCGTGGTTGTCTGGTCGAACACGAGGCGTGGAGTCTCGAAGGGGGGAAAACAGTACAAGGAAAAACAAAGAAAAGGGAGCTATTCCCCCTAGTCCGCTGGCTTCGTACGATAGTCGGTGATTCCGCACTCATGATTGGCCTGGTCGCCCCCCCGAACAGCTCTGGGCAAATGGCACAGGGCACATTTTTTGACCAGCTGAACTGGGCTGAAAATGCTGTCGATAGTCGATTGTGATTGAATCCTGTCGAGCAGCATTCTCACCTTGCGCCTTGTGCTTGAATAGTCAGTCAGTCAGCCAGTCAGCCAGTTAGCCAGTTAGCCAGTTAGCCAGTTAGCCAGTTAGCCAGTTAGCACGGACACCCAACCACAGCCCTCGGCTAGACTCTCGCCGTCGTATCTCGGTTGCTGCTGGCTGGACGCCACTTATAAGCGATGACCGGGGCCAGGACAAAGCCAGCAAGCTCCCTCAGGTTAACGCGGCCAAATGCTCGTCGTTGGTCTGCAACTCCCTTTCAGCCGACGGTTTATCGTCGCTGCAGCCGCGCCCGAACAAACCGTTTCTGATCAGCCATCACACACCTTGTGCGACGTGAAAACCCCTCGCTAGATCACATTTGCTCAGCAACCAGTCTAGCTATCAGCCCCGTCGAGTTCTTTGCCACTTGGTTGCCATTTCCTCAGCGAAAGGGTGGAAAACGAGGCGGGGTGTGTTCTGAGCATGATGTGATGGTTGGTGATCCGTCTCACGCTGTGTACCGTCTGCGATGCATTGGAGAAGTGTGTCTGTCTCACTCAGATCAAGAAGAGCCGCAAAACGATAGGCAGATTTCCAAGCTGGAGTGACATCTTTCGGCCGAAGTACGCTGCGCGGTGCTGCTGCGCCATCGTGGCTGGTTCATGCGCCTGCCGTCACCCATTGGAATGGCAGCTACCCCAGAGGGAACGTCAGCAAGTCATTAACTGGGGTCAAAAAATGCTGATATTGTTCCACTCTTTGCATGGGTGTAGAATGAAACGAGAATGCTGCTGCTTCTGCTGTTGCTGTAATTATCCCTGTCTTGGGTGCTGTGAACAACTGGAGATGCTGACGGAAGCCACATGCAGTTGGCATGGGGAGGAGGAGATGGGAAGCGCGAAGGACGACTGAGCGCCCTCAACAACAGACATCAAGCATATCTTCAATGTCTTCAACGTGGGTGATTGACGTTGACTATGAAGTAGGCCAGGCAATGCGGCATACTACTAGGCGTTCCCGAGTGTCAAAGTAAGTTCCTCAAGCTCAATATATATAAAATGTGGTGTTCCGAAGCATGAAAGGTGCCTCAGTCAATCACATATATCTGTATACACAGATTATGTGACATGATTTTTATGTACGATATATCTCTTTTGAGCTCTGATACCTTTTGCGCATACTTTTATACACTGAGGTTCTTGGATGAGGGCATCACACTTTCGTCGTTTCTTGACCTACAGTACTTAAAATTCTGGCGAGTGCTGCATTGAAAGTGCTCAAGGATGGAGGCCGATATGCAACTATGGGATTAATATGTGTGACTGACTGCGAGCTTGCATTCGACTACCAGATTGAACCTTGGATTCTATTGGGATTGGCTACTATTATATGTTGTTGTATGACAAAGTGAGAGAGGCTTTGGAGACTTCAGCAAGCAGCAGTACGCTGAGTGAGCTGCCTAAGGCATAGCATCGTATTCGTTCCTCCTGCCACTTTTACGGCATTGTCTCACTTACTCTTCCCTTCCCTCCTCCATCTTTCTACAGTCAATACCACCCAATCTCCAACTCCTTTGACCTTCTCCATCGCTTTCTGAGCAGAATCATCGGTATTTCTCAGTCCCGAACCACAGCAGAATGAGACATCGAGCTTAGAGAACAACAGTCAGCGGCAAATCTGCACTACTTGGCTTCACCATCTTGTCTGGGCAGAGATGAACTGATCAGTAAACACCGAGAAATCCCTCATTTTGAAGACCCGCCGCGATGACAATTTTCCGCTTATTCCGACGCTTCCTATCATTCCGTCAATCAAGTCGAAAGAGTGTTGGCAACTGCCGGTCTCGAGACGGGAATGCTTCACGGCACTCTGCAGAGCCCGAATCCGAACTCGCGATACTCCTTAATATAATTCTTCTTACAAGTCAATTTATGCTGAGGTACTGGGGCCTATGAAATCCTGTCAGGACTCTCAGGATCATTGAAGATAGCAACTGCCAAGAAGTCCGTCATCAAGCCATCGACGCAGGCACGACGGTTTCAACTTGCGAATGGTTTGGTGGACGGTGCCGCCGGAACATGCCCAGAAGGACCGTGGGTCTGATGTCTTACCTGAGCAGCCCACCGACCAATGTCCGCCACAAGATTTCTATCCTTATTTCTTGGGATGGGTACTGGACCCGCTCGAGCTTCCAGAAATACTCTAGGGCAGAGTAACCGCCCAGGATTATGGTGGAAACTGCTCATTTAAGCTTGCATTCGGTGAGAAACATCTCCTCAGGATGCCCATAAGCCAAGCTTCTGCTAACAAGCTTGACTTGCTTGACTGACTCTCTTCGTGGGTCAATCGCATTGGCAATAGACCTTGAAAAGGCTTGTCTCTCTTGTTGTCAACAAGCATCTCGCAAAGCTCCTTGCAATGAGTCGCATAGAAATTCACATTGTTGCCTACAGCAAGCCGATAGCCGAGCGGGGCGGGGAGCAAGCCACCAGGCACTAACCCACTCTGCCTGTTGCTCCGTCGGCATTTTTTTTCAGGGTGTTATATTGCAACCACTCACCGGCGATCATGAAACCATCCGCCACTCATGGAAGTAAATTATATTGCATGGCCAAAGGGTCTGGCTCGATGTCTCGGCGCCCTGCCGAATGGGAGACTTCAGGGGTGTCTAAAGCGAATGCAGACAAGCTCCAACCGGTGTGAATGGTTAATCCTCGCGGCTAAGGATAAGCTTGCGTTTCAAGTTCGACAGACGAACTCTTTGGGAATCGGTTGAAAACCACCCCGAAACTCTGAGGACCCTATTTAGAGCCAAATCGGGGTGCTCGACGACCTCATACTAGCCCTATACGATTTAGTCGCTCGGACCCAGTTTGCTCTGGGCCTGCTAATGTACCTACCTTCATTTCAATTTACCGGAATTCTTCCATGCCAGAAACCGTTCGATATAGCTCTAATAGCTATAGCTCAGAAACGTGCCCCCTTCTCAGCTTGAGGCAGCGCAACCACGGTACCATAAATACCTTCTTCCCGCCTGCTTGCCATGATGGATTTTCTTCTTCCTCATCGCACTCCTTTGCTCTCTTTCCTACCCCATCCAGTCTCTCTTTAATCAGTTTCTCCTGTTGATCCAGGTTTTCATTCATTTCATCAAAATGCATTTCATCAAGTCCTCTATCTTGGCTGCCACCATGGGCGCTGCGCTGGTCGCAGCTGCTCCCACCGACATCGAGAAGCGCTCCAGCTGTACCTTCACCGATGCCGCCAAGGCCAAGTCTGGCAAGACCTCTTGCTCGACCATCTACCTCAACAACATCGAGGTTCCCGCTGGTGAAACCCTTGATCTGACCGGCCTCAAGTCGGGCACCACTGTAGGACGCCCCTGTTCATGAATGCATGGTGAAAGCTAATCATTCCCCCCAGGTTATCTTCGAGGGTACTACCACTTTCGGCTACAAGGAGTGGAAGGGTCCCCTGATCTCCATGTCCGGTACCGACATCACTGTCAAGCAGGCCTCCGGCGCCAAGATCAACTGCGATGGTTCCCGCTGGTGGGACGGCAAGGGCAGCAACGGCGGCAAGACCAAGCCCAAGTTCTTCTATGCCCACAAGCTGGACCAGTCCAGCATCACTGGACTCAAGGTCTACAACACCCCCGTCCAGGGCTTCAGCATCCAGGCCGACCACCTGACCCTCACCGATGTGACCATCGACAACTCCTCCGGTACCTCCGAGGGCCACAACACCGATGCCTTCGACATTGGCTCCAGTACCTACATCACCATTGATGGCGCCAAGGTCTACAACCAGGACGACTGCTTGGCCATCAACTCCGGAGAGGTATTTGCTCGGCCTGCCGACTATGTTGTTGATTCAAGCATCTAATAATGTCTTCTAGCACATCACTTTCACCAACGGCTACTGCAGCGGTGGCCACGGTCTCTCCATCGGCTCCGTCGGTGGCCGCAGTGACAACACTGTCTCCGACGTGACCATCTCCAACTCCCAGGTCGTCAACTCCCAGAACGGTGTCCGCATCAAGACCGTCTACGATGCCACCGGTACCGTCGAGAACGTCAAGTTCGAGGACATCACCCTCTCCGGCATCACCAAGTACGGTATCGTCGTCGAGCAGGACTACGAGAACGGCTCCCCCACCGGTACCCCCACCAACGGTATCAGCGTCAAGGACATCACCTTCGAGAAGGTCACCGGTACCGTCAAGAGCTCCGCCACTGACATCTACCTCCTTTGCGGTTCCGGCAGCTGCTCTGACTGGACCTGGTCTGGCGTCAGCGTCACTGGCGGCAAGAAGAGCTCCAAGTGCAAGAACGTTCCTTCCGGTGCCTCTTGCTAAGCGGGTGGATTTGTTCCTGCTCGAAGCTTTTTTGGGCCATCAGAGTGCGATCTCGAGGTGGATGGGGTAGCCTGTCAAGGGGATGGGAATATAATTCTTTCTACGCTCATCCCGAGAGTGAGGCCTTGTGCATATAATCTATAATTCAGTCGAGGGCATCAATAATACAACCTTGATTGGCAGCCAATATGTTTTGTGGCCTTGCATTGTATTTGTAGCAAAGTTGCATGTGCAGAAAATGTATAAATGAGAGCATCGCCAAGCTCTATCAGTCTTGAATCTCATACTCACGATCAACAACTCAGCAAATAGGTTAAGGTACCTGCCTCACCCCGGCCGCCATTCCCACGACCGGATCCCCAAACCCTGATATCACACTGACATACCATTACCCGCACGTCCAAACCCCCTCCAACCCGAAGTAAAAAGCAAAGAAGCCCCCCCTCCCTCCATCAAGAACCCCATCTCACCATCTACTACCATCTTAAACCTCCGCACCTCCGCATTTCTGAAAACCGCATACCCAACCCATTACCCCCACACCACCGTAACCCCCTCCTCCTCCCCCAATTGAAAGAAAAAATGCGCAAAAGAAACAATATACCACAAACAAGACTCGACCCCGCAATCTCGCCGCCCCATAAAGCTGAGGTAAGGGGACAAAAGACATGATCGGCAATGTCGAACACCCAGCAGCGTTCGACATTGCCAACCATGCCTGTGAAGGGTGAGGGCTACAAGAACTGATATCCAGCCCTGCTGGCGTCTGTTTGGACCGTGCTTGCTGGGCTTGGGGGTCGTCTGCGCAACGGGGTGGGTTCGGAGATGGAAGGGTGGGGAGGGCGTGAGGACGGCGTTTTCTTTGAGGGGCGGGTTGGTTATCTCTTTTTTAAGGGGTTGTTTTTGTTTGAGATGGGGGCTAGTTGTATTTGGATTTGCGATGAAGGTTGGTTTTACCTGGTGTGAGATGGGTGGGATGGAATGAGTTTGGTCAATGGGGATTAACTGGTATCCTGGCATCCTGGTATATGGGTTATGGTGTAGAACTGCTTACACAGTCGGTAATCAGATTCTAGGATTGGAAAAAGAGTAACACTTTACTGCATCTATATTCGATGAAGAAGTCCTTTCTCCTATTTAAGTCCCCAAAAAAGTCCGAGTAAGTTGGAAGAAAAGAGACGGCTGGATCCAATGCTAGGTATTCATAACATATAACAAAAAGAGCTATTCAAGATTCTAGTATGACTTTTTTATTTCATTTCCTCGTCGCGTCCGTTTACATACTAGAATAAAGATTAAACGTTAGAATAAATTATTTTGGACGACGTGTTATTTGGGGCACGTTATCTTGGACGAAGCCGAGATGGGGGGAAAACAGACCGGTTGACGGGGCTCAGACCGACAACCCGCATGCCGTTGTGAAGAACCTGGCGGGCAGACTCGTACAACGCCATACGGGCCTTCTTGAGCTCGGGCTCGCTACCGACGACCTTCAGGACATCATAGCTGGAGCTCAGGACGTGGGTCATGCGGAAGAGGTAGGTGAGGATGGTGGTGGGCTCCAGGGTCTTGGTGGTGTTGAGCAGGACATCGGGCCACTGGGCGAGCTGGCGGGCCAGGTCGATGGCGTGGGGCTCCTTGAGCAGGCTGAGATCGGCGTCGCCGAGCTCCTCGACGTTGAGGCCGGACTTGCGGACAATGGAGCACAAACGGGCGTGGGCGTACTGGAGGTAAGGACCAGTGTCACCCTCGAAGGAGGTCATGGCATCCAGGTTGAAGTCGTAGCCGTTGATACTGTTGCCAATGAGTAAAACTACACGTCAATCAAGGAAGAAACACATACCGCTTGCCAGTCATGTCCTGGACCATGACGGAGGTGATACCCAGAATGTCGGCGGTCTCCTCGGGGTTCTCGACCTGCTTGTACTTCTCCTCGTTCTTCCTCATAACCTCGTGCATCTTGTCACCCACATCACGGAGGATATCGTCTAAGAACTTGACAGTGCCCTTACGGGTGCTCATACCGCGGACCATACCGAAGTTGATGTGCTGGCAGCGGTTGGCCAAGTCCTTGTGGCCCATCAGCTCGGTGATCTTGAACAGTTGAGCCAAGTGTAGATCCTGCTGAGCGGCAACAACGTAGATCATCTTGTCGAAGTTGTACTTCTCCGCACGCTCGGTGATGGCGCCGATATCACGGGTCAGGTAGAGGGGCGTGCCATCCTTGCGGACAATGATAGCCTTGCCGAGCTTCTTGGCACCGTGTTTGGTGAAGTCGACGATGACAGCGCCCTCGGACTTCTCGGAAACACCGGTCTTCTCAAGGGTCTGGTAAGCGGCGGTCATGCTCTCCTGCTTGATCTGAGACTCGCCGGAGTAGACGTCGAACTCGATGTTGAGACGAGCGTAGGTCTGCTCGTACTTCTTGATACTGAGGTCACGGAAGCGGCGCCACAGAGCGAGGGCCTCGGGGTCGCCATCCTCCATGCTCTTGAAGTAGCGACGGGCACTCTCGTCCTCACTGGCATCAACGAGCTTCTGCAGCTCCTGCTCCAGCTCCGCCACATCCTCGCCCTTCTCCTTCTTGGCCTTGATCTGTTCCTTAAGCTCCTTAATAGGCGCCTCTTGCTGGGAGACGATGTTGTTGATCTTGACGTAGACGTCGAACAGGTGGTTGATGGGGTCCTTAGTCAATTGCTCCTCGTTACCGAACTGCTTGAATCCGTTGGCCAGCAGACCGTACTGCTTACCCCAGTCACCGAGGTAGTTCATCTTGATCACATCCCATCCCATGACGGTGTAGAGGTTGGCCAGGAAACCACCGATGATCGTACTGCGCAGGTGACCAGCGTGGAAAGGCTTAGCGATGTTGGGCGACGAGAACTCGACGATGATTCTCTTGCGACCCTTGGAGGGATCGGCGGCGTCGCGGAGACCCTGGTTGCCGTTGGTACCATAGGCGGATTTTTGCTTGAGAATGCGGTTGATGACATCGGAGGTGAGGATTTCCGGCTTGAAGAAGAATTGAAGGTGGACTCCGAAGGGCACGGGGGGGAGGACGAGGTCGGATTCGGGGAACTTCTCGGCGAGTTCCTTGCAAAGCTCCTGGGGGTTCTTCTTGATCTGAAGAGCGGCGACCTACAGTGCGTAACACTATGTTAGTCTGTTTGTCGCAGAAGAGCCTTGGCAGCCCAAGAGATATTGGAGCCCAAGGTGAAACGTTTGTGGTGTATATCGCATACCGGCAACACCAAGTCACCCTTGTCGAGGGAGTTCGTCCATGACAGGCGAGAGTAGATCTTCTCGGCGTCAATGTCAGTGGCAGCACTCAGCTTCTCAGCGATGTGCTCTCTGTAGACATCGACGACGTTCAAGGAGGGGTAGCAGTTGGGGAACTTGGAGGTCTCGGTGGTGGACTGGAGAGAGAGTCCCTCAACGGAGGAGACGAGGTCGGCAGCGGATGAAGACATGACGGCAGCTACGTTCTTCTGATGCGTCGCAGTAGCAAAAGAGGAACGCCAGGGAGGGGTTAATTGAAAGGAAGAGGAGGAAAGGAAGAAGCGACGACTATTTTGTGGACAGTATGACTGGGCGGAAACAGTCTTGAAAACGGCGTTAGAAAATCGCCGGGCCCCGCTTACCAGAAGGCGACCCATCAATGGAGGGGAAGGAAAGGGAAAAGGGAAGGGAAGGGAGCTGAGGGAGGGAAAAGCACCAACTGGAACACGCCTCAGCCATACAACAATTAAGAGAGAGGGGGAACTCTTTTTTTTTTTTTTTTTTTTTTCTCCTTTGCTCATTGACTGACTCAATGCGGCAGGCAGTCCACCATTCTGCCATGGGCGGTGAATGGATTGATTCTTATCACATGACTGATAGTTTTCACGTGATTTGCAACAGCCCTTGGGGAAGCCCTACCCCTGTCATAGCCCAACTCAGTATAGCCTCTCCTGACGTCACCCCTTCAGCGCAGCGGCCTTCCCATGGTCACCTGTTCGACTGCGAGTTCACCAACACGATTTCACTTGTACTGACCACTCTACCACCTCATGATGCACTGTCACCATCCCAATCACTTCTCCCACAACACTTCAGCCCACCTTCCGCGACACCAAAATGGGTAACAGCCGCCACGCGGCCCTGTCCAAGTCCATCCAGCGCGCGATCTTCCGCGACCCAGCCAGCTTCCGCAAGACGGTTGTTGGTCGATTCCTCGCCTTCTTCACCATCCTCTACATCAAACTCATCCGGTACGGCCACGTGCAATTCCAGAAGCTGCGCAGCGAGGTCTGGCAGATCGACGAGGAAGAGTACAAGGCCAGCTTTCGCAATGATAGCAAGAAGACCGTGCCTCTGAAGCCGATGGGCGACCTGGGTCTCTCGGGATCGGTATGTCGCGCCTCCCAGATTCTGGTCTTAGTTTCTCTGCTTTAGATGCGTAAGGCTAACTTTTACGTGTGCTGCCGCAATTGCAATCAGACCTTCTTCAGCACCTCCAACTCCCGCTTCCTGGTCAAAAGCCTGCCGCGACACTTCGAACATTCCTTCTTCCGCGAGGAACTGCTCGATCCGTACTACAGGTACATGACGGAGCATCCGGAGTCCCTGCTGGTGTGGATCACCGACTACGTCTACTCGCCGTACTGGACGATCGGGAATCTAGTCGGCACCACCCCCGCCCACCACATCATCATGGAGAACCTGCTCTGCGGCCGGGATACGGATCCCGCGGGGGAGAGGTGGGAGACCTACGACCTGAAGCCGGTTGACTATTTCTTCCCCGAGCGGGATCTGGTGCCCGACCCGCTGGTCAGCAAGGCCACCTTGAGCAAGATCGCCGATAATTTCGATGACAAGGTCCGCATCAATCAGTCGGCGTATGTCGCCCTCATGCAGACCGTCGAGGCTGACACGCAGTTCCTCGAGGACGCCAACGCGGTGGACTACTCGCTGTATCTGGTCCGCTTCCCGGCCTCCTCGACGCCGGATATCGTCGGGAGGCCCGTTCCGTGGCGGATTGGGCTGGAATCGGCCGATGGGAAGTGGAAGTACCGCGCCGTCATCCTGGATTTCTTCTGGGCCAGGCACAAGCTGCATGCTCAGGCCATGACAGGAGTAATTCAGACCTTCAATGTAATTGGGCGCCAGGGCCCAATGACCATTACAACCACGCCAGATGAGTACAGGAAGAAGTTTCTGACCATGGTGAAAGCCATGATCGAAGTACAGGAGTAAGTCTAGCCAGAGAACTTAATACCACTCATAATGCCTATACCCGTGCACAGAGTATTTATGATAAGATTATATCGTTTGAAAGACCAAGTGCAACTTGGCCCTGTCAATATCGTTTCGTTTTAGGTAGATTTCGCTTTTGCGCATTCACTCATAACACCGTAGATCTGCAACCCCAAGATAACCAATGATACAACCTTTCATGAAGTAACGTTCTATCATATCTATAACGTGTGAAGGTACCGGCACTCAGGCACCGGTCCAGCCGATCGCGAGACGAATACAAGACGCTGCAACCCAGGCGCAAACCGCTTAGAAGCAGAAGACCTGGTCCTCGAGCTTGCTGACGGGGCGAGCCTTGGTGTAACCAAGAGACTCGGTGGCCTTCTTCATGGCGCTGACCATGGGAGGAGGACCGCAGAGGAGGATCTTGATGTCGCTGGCAGGGGCAGGGAGGCGTTCCTGTAGTCAAACAAGTGTTGTTAGCACTTGAACCGAATTGGATCGACCGACGGGTGCGACGAACCTTAATCATGTCGGGGGTGACGAAACCAACGCCACCGGTCCACCCCTCGGGAGGGTTGTTGAGGACGTAGTAGATGCGGAAACGGTCGTCCTCCTTGGCCAGCTGCTCCAGCTCGTCCTTCATGAGGATGTCATCGGGGTTAACGTTGGCGAAGATGAGGTCGACCTGGGTGTTGTCGTTGCCACCGTTGCGGGGACGGTTGCGGACAATAGCCTTGATGATCTGGTACATGGGAGTGATACCGGTACCTCCAGCGATCATACCAATGTGACGGCACATGTTGGGAGTGTAGACCATGGCACCCTTGGGGCCGCGGACCTTCATGGTCTGACCGACCTGCAGGGTAGTCAAGTACTTGGAGATGTTACCCTGGGGGTAAGCCTTGACCAGGAGATCGAAGTAGCCGGCCTCGTTGTCGGAGGAGATGGGGGTGTAGGAGCGGACAACCTCCTTGGGCTGGCCCTCAATGTTGGCAGCGAGGGAGATGTGCTGACCGATGGGCAGACCCAGGATATCGGTGGGGCGGGGGAGAGCGAAACGGTAGATGGTCACATTGTGGGAGATGTCGGTCTTTGCCTTCAGGGTGAAGTGCTGGAACTCAGTGGGGTTGAGGACCTTGCGCTGCTCTGGAAAATGCGGTTTCGGGTCAGCAACTTGATCAATCAAGTCAAATCCGGTAAGCTTATGGTGATGGACGCACTGTTGCTGAACAGCTTCCAGCCGAGGAAGACAGCAGCCAACGCGACCGCGAAGGGAACAAGGGCCGAGAAAGAACTGATCAAGATTAGTTTCTGTCAGTCGCCAATGGCATGCGCATTGTGGAGAGAATGCTTGAAGGCCACAAACCTCATAATGGCGGCTCCTCCAATAAGTTGAAAATTGAGTGACAACCGAATGGGAGGGGAGGAGGGAGGAGGGAGGAGGAGGGATGGGGGGAAGGAAGAAGAGGCGGAGGAGGAGGAAGAAAGTCAGAAATATAGGTGAGTCGGTAAAGGGACAGCCGGCAAGAGGAGACTCAATGTTTTGTGACGGTAAAAACAGCGGCAATCCCAAGTCACGGGAGGGCGAGTTCCCGATTGGGTAAATTCACTGGGGTCCGGATCGGCTGCTTATCGATAATCGATAAGTTAACTCGATAACCTTGAAGTCTGTTGAATTTGTTTACTGCAAGAAAAATAGATGAAGAGCAGACATACAGAACATGTACAGAACTCCAACACAAGAGAATAATACCTTCCTATTGAGTAACACTATCAGAGTACAACAAAGTACATTGAGATAACTGAACTCGTCAACTTATACAGGTTAAACAATACGTCTATTGAGCTGTTGTGAACAACACACACCCAGGCCAGCGCGGAATCCAGCCCTGTTGGGGATTCCTTTTCCCTCTTCTTCACTTGGGGTAAAGAAACCCGTTCCAGGTCTTACCCAGTAAATCCATCTCCCCCTCACGCCACTTTCAGGCTCCGACCCTGATTTTCCCTATCTTGTTCAACAATTCCGATCTCCATTCTTCTTTCGCCATTCTCCTTTAGTTCCATACTCCATGCTCCATACTCCATAATCATAGATTTCTTCCCCTCTCCCCCCTCTCCCCTCCATTTCCAAATCAGACATCCTCTTCCAGCCATGACGATCGACACCAACCCGGCCGAAGAGCCCCCAGCATTCAACCTAACCGAGGTCGATCGTCAGGTCCTCGCGCAGACCGATGAAGAATTTAAACTCCACGACTGGGATGATCTCAAATCCATCATAGGTGTGTGCATTTGCTTGAATTTAGAATCACATCTCCGCTCTCCTCTATCACCATCTCTATCAGATTCTCCTGTTACCCCTCATTCCGTTCCCCTCTCCCCCCTAATCCCCTCTCCCCCAACCACAATCCCGCCAATTCCGCATTTCCCTCCCCCCGGAACAAGTAACCACCAACCACTAACTCAAACGGCCCTCGGCAAACCCCAAAGCGCGCAACGATCTCGGCATCCTCAAGCGGAAACCCTCCGACCTGCACCGCTACCTGTCGTGGTCCGCCTCCACGAAACAAAAATACGGCTCTATCACCAACTACATCTGCCAGGAGCGACTGCACTGGGCGCTGCCGGACACCAGCACCATCACCGCCACTATCACCACCACCACCACCAACAACTACAACAACAGCAACAAGCCAGGACCAACACCTACCGCAGCAGACAGCGGCCCGGTCTTCCCCTACAACAACCCGACCCCCTTCGCCGACCCCGCCGACTACAAGATCCTGCGGAACGACTGGCCCTACGGCCTGGGCCCGGGGATCACGCACCTGGTCGTCTGGCTCCGCACGCCCGTGGCCGTGAACCCGGACGACGGGGATCTGACGCCCGAGTCGCGCGCGCTGATCGAGGGGTTCGTGCTGCGCACGTTCGTGGGCCGGTTGGCGGCGGAGCAGCGCGGCGGCGCGGGGCTGTTCCCGGATTCGCCGCGCGACCATGTGCTCTGGTTCAAGAATTGGACCGCCTTGCAGAGTGTGCGCAGTCTCGAGCATATCCATGTGCTGGTGCGGGATGTGCCGGAAACGATATTGTTGGAGTGGACGGGGGAGGGGCCGCCGCAGCATTGATATTTGTCCTTCATGGGTAGTTGGGGGGGGGGGAGGGGGGTGGAAGGGCAATATGCATATACTAGAAGATATATATCCATGCCCTCGTTATCTACCGCCAATAAAATAAACGATTTGTCGCGTTTGGCGCATACTCCAGCTGGAACCACTGATGGGAAATCCTCAATTGAACCTACATAGCATTGGGAATCGTACATCTCTAAACAAAGCATACATAAACGACAGCTTAGAAAATACAACAACCGAAACAAAGGAAGATGACATCATCGAGGAAATAATCATTGCTCCCTCTACATCAAACTATGTAAATATTGTCACTGCCACTGCCACAATAAGAAAAACCCATCAAATGCGCCTGCTCCCTTGAAAATAAACCCATTCCGGAAACCAATACCCCACCCTACTGATCATGTCTTTTGCTCTTCCACAAACTTCAACGCCTCTTCCCTCGACACCACGTCGATCGTACTGGCCTTTTGCCGGAAGCTGACGCCGTAGCACTTCTCGGCCACGTGCAACATCTCCGGCCGGAAGGTCGTGCAGATGAACTGGCCGTTGGTGGAGTCCGAGATGGACTTGAGCATCTGCGCGACGGCCGTCCGGTACTGGGCGTCGAGGTTGGCGTCGATCTCGTCGAAGAGATAGAAGGGGGCCGGGTCACAGGCCTGGATCGCGAAGACCAGGGCGAGAGCACACAAACCTGTTAGTGGAGAGGGTTAGCCGATTGGCAAAGAACACTGTATTAGAGATAGAGGGCCTTACTCTTTTGTCCACCACTGAGCTGCTGGATCCGCTGCTGGTCATCGTGCTTGCTGTTGAAGCTGACGCTGATGCCAACCCCAATGTAGTTTTCCACGCTTTCGCGGTTCTCCTCGTCCTCGGACTCCAGGTCGTCGGGCTGGCGGAGAGCGCGGTCCGTCTTGCGCTGGATGATCAGGCGCCCACGGCCAGCCGGGACAAGCTTCTCGAAGACATTGTGAAACTCGCGCGAAACCTGCTTGAAGGTACGCTCGATGGCCTCGTCCTTGCGCTGGTCGAGGACGGTGATCAGATCGTCGATGGACTTTTCGGATGCCTCGAGCTCCTCTCTTCGGCTCGTCAGCGTTTCACGCTGCTTGGTGAAGCTGTTGTACTGCTCAAAGGCCTTCTTGTTGACGTGAGAGTACTTCTTGAGGCTTTCGTTGACCTTGTGCAGTTTCTTGACCACCGTGTTCGAATCCGTGTTCTTGTACTTGCTGAACGCTTCATCCGGTAGCACACCCAGGTCGCGGATGTTGGCAGCACATTCAGCCGCCTGTTTTGTCAAAGCCGCCTTCTTCTGCATGCTCTTCTCCATGCGACGCTGGTGTTTCTCGATGGACTTGGCCAGTTCTTCGAGTTCACGGCGGGTCTCGGCGTTCCGCTGCTCGAGCTCGGAAACACGAGCAGTAGCCTGGTCGATCGAGTCATCCACCTGCTGCAGTCGTTGAGCAAGCTTCTCCAGGGCCTTGTGCAGGCGCTTCATCTCCCGCTGTGTCTCCTTCAGGTTGCCTTGGCCATCGTCGTCGGCCATATCCATATCCTGGCCGATGAGCTGATCCAACCGAGGGTTAAGGTTCTCTCGCAATTCCACCTCAAGAACCGACTTACGAGCCTCGAGCTCACTACGCTGACTGGACAGCTCTTGGTATTGACGTCGCAACTCTTGCGCAGTGTTGTTGAGGGTCTCTAAGCGTGCTTCTTCCTCGTTACTGAGCGCCTTCTGGAACGGTGATTTCAGTTCTGCCTCGAAAGCACTGACTTGATCAGACAAGGCAGCCAGGTTGTTCTCAATGTTGCGGATAGCCCGGCGTTTGGCTTCCAGGTTGTCGGTCTTCTTCTGGAGAAGATCGCGCTTGGCCTTCAGCTCTTGTCGCATCGGCCCGCTGCTGTTCTGCACCTGGTGTCTCTGTTGTTCCAATTTCTGCAGTTCGCCTACAGATTTCGTGATGAGCTGGTCAAGCTGCTCCAATTCTTTTCGGATCTCGGTTCCGCGGCTCTTCTTGTTCTCATATTCATCTCTCCACTTTGTCAAGTTCTTCACGGCATCGAGTCTTGACTGCCGCGAATCGTGAAAACCACCAGTAAGGGCACCTCTCTTGTCAGAACGATCCCCCTCCGGCGTAATCGCATTGACTCCGTGGCTGCGGGCATACTGTGAAGCCACCTGCAGGTTCGGGCAGATGATGGTCTTGCCAAAGACGTGGTTGAAAGCTTTCTCGTATTTCGCATCAAACTGGAGTTTCTCAATCATGGGGATCGTGTCGCTTGCTCTGGGCATATTGATGGGTCTGGTTCGTAGCCTGTTCAAAGGCATGAATGTGACTCGGCCAGCCTTCTCCTGCTGAAGGATTTCCAAGACTTTCGTGGCAGTCTCGTCGGTATCGACAACATAGTGGAAGAGACTTTGACCCGCTGTAACTTCGACGGAGGTCCGATACCGATCACTGACCTCGAAGAGTTCCGCCAAGGTACCGTATACTCCCTCAAGATTGTACTGGCGCTTGATCCGTCTCACGGCCGCAATACCGCGGCTTGTGTTGTGGTCCATCATCTGAGATAGATTGCGTTCTGCGCGCTCCACTTCGTTCGAGGCGTTCGACAGAATCGAGTCCAGCTTGGCTTCTTCTCTCCACAGCTCCTTTCGCTGGTCCATCAAACGGTCCCTCTCATCCTTGGCGGATTGAACCAGCTGTTCCACGGACTGCATAGTGTCTCCTCTGCCATCGATCATCTTGCGCAAGCGCTCAGTCTCCGGCTCGAGAAGCGCAATCTCATTTTCAAGCTCCTTGATGTCCTCCTGGGTCTGCGCCATGACGTCCTGGACTGAGGAAATGGAAGCATAATTCTCCTTGATCTCTGCCTGGAGCCACTTGTCGCGCTCACTCTTGTTGCGGAAACGGGAGTTGCGACCTTGCTTAGCATACAGCCGTTGGCGTGCCGTCTCTGCTTCGGTGAGCTTGGCCTTGACAGTCTCCTCCTGATCCTTGGCAGCGTTGAACTGGGGTAGAAGCTCGTGCAATTCTGCCTCACGCTCCTGTATTGCCTCCTGCACGGTCTTAAGATCTTCATCGTGACGTGCCTTGAGCGCCAGAGCGGCAGCCTGGTTGTCAGACAGAGACTTGGCCTGCAACTCAACCTGCGCGAGAGCTTTAGAAGCCTCGCGACGCTCGTCTTCCAATTGAGCTTTGTCCACCTTCAGGAATTCGATCTGCTGTTTGCACTCGGCGATCTCCGAGTCAATTTGCGCCATTTCCTTCTCTCCCTGGATGAAGCGATCGCGGTTCATATCAGTGTCCTCGACGCCCGTCTGCCTTTGCTCCTCCAAGCTGTCGAGGAAACTAGCAATCTCCTGCTGCTCACGAGAGTAAATGGTGTATTCCAAGCATCGGCGTTCCTTGTCCTTCTCTTGATAATTCCTTAGCTCGTCCTTCTCCTCCTCGAGTTCCGCCAGACGCTCGTTGATGAAATCCAGAAGTTCGTCGATCTTGGCGCGCTTGTTGTTCGTCTCGTGCATGATCTTCAGCGACTCCGCCCGGCGGGCCTCGTAGACCTGGGTTCCGGCGACTTCCTTGAGGAGATTGAGGCGCTCGGAGTCCTTCATGTTGGTCAAGGCCGTCACGCGACCCTGGGGCACGATGTAGTACGGGTTGGACCGGGAGAAACCGGCCGACTCGAGCAGGTTCATCACATCTGATTTGGTGGCGTTCTTACGGTCGAGGGTGTATTCGTCTTTCTTCAGGCCGATCGTGCGACGAAGGACCACCTCAGGCTTGCCGGTGGGGAATCTGTCGTCCGAGTTGTCGAAGATGATTTCCACGTACGCCGACATCACCGCGGACCCCGATCCTTCCTATTGACTTGTCAGCTTTCGCTCGCGCGCGCAACGGTGGGAGGGGAGCGAGTTGCTCCCGAAAGCCACGTACATGAAGAAGCGCCTGGCGCTCTTCTCTACCCAGGTGCGTGTAGGCATCACTGAGAACGAAGCGGATGGCGGCGAAGAAGTTACTCTTGCCGGATCCGTTGCGACCCACGATCACATTGTGTTTCGGCGAGAACGGTTCAATGACTGTTTGGTCCTTGTAGCTGTGGTGGTAAATTCTCCTTTAGCTAGGCGTCTCTGACCTAAGAACCAATAATCTGATCTCTTACCTCTTGAAGCCCTGGATAATAATCTGTTTGACGTACATCTTGACGAAGCGGCGCGCATGAGACACGAGAAACAATGGCAGTCGATTACAACAACCAAGTCATCACGCGTCAACCACAGACAAAGGATTCACAAGAGCCTGCACCCTAGTTAAAGATTGAATGGGGCGGCGAGAGGATCTAATGACGACCACCAGGAGTTAAATGACACTTGCGACGAATGGGTGGTGAGCTATGCGAGCGAAACCACGCGTGACAAACGACCCGATATTGTCGGTGTTCTTCGCAACGCGCGTTGAGAGCCGCGGGGTTTCTGCCGGGCGGTGACCGTCCACTTTTGGGGCCCGCACTCAAGGTACCCGGCCCGCCGGCTATTTTTTTCCCAATCTGCAATTGTTCAATCATTTTTTTGGGAGGCAACAATTCGAGGAAATTCTGCCACCAGTGTTGGAGAATTCCTTCTTGTTGACCATGGCGACTTCAAGCACTGATGCGCAAGCATCTGGTCTGGCCGATGGACTGGCCCCCGCTCATACTTACATCCCCAATCAAGGGTATGTGAACGCTGATGGCAGTCTCCCCGCTATGGCGGGGCAAGATCCTGAAGCGCAGAACGGCGGCGGCGAGGGAGATGAGGAGGACGAGTACTACGACGACATTTTCGAAGAGGAAGAAGAAGACGAGGGCCTCGACGAAGAAGACTTCAACTCCTCCAACCCGGCGGATCTCACAAAAGCCTACAACCGGCAACGGAAGGTCAACGAGCTGGCCGCCGATTCCAACGTTCCTAAGTGGACCTACCCGAAGACGAACACGCAGAAACCGACCGTCAACACACACGCCTTGGTCGACGACCAGATCAAGTCGCTGACGAAACACGCCGGCAAGATCAAGCTGGACGCCATGCAGTCGGGCATGGCCGCCCGCGGGGACCGCGGTGGCGACCGGGCCGACCGCGCGACCTCCGAACAGGTGCTGGACCCTCGGACGCGGATGATCCTGCTGCAGATGATCAATCGCGAGATCGTCTCGGAGATCCACGGGTGCCTGTCGACCGGTAAAGAGGCCAACGTCTACTACTCGATCTCATACCCGAACGCCGACGACCTGACCCCCGTGCACCGCGCCATCAAGGTCTACAAGACGAGCATCCTGGTGTTCAAGGACCGCGACAAGTACGTGACGGGCGAGTTCCGCTTCCGCGGCGGCTACAGCAAGAGCAACAACCGGGCGATGGTGAAACTGTGGGCGGAGAAGGAGATGCGCAACCTGCGCCGCATCCACGCCGCGGGCATCCCCTGCCCGGAGCCCATTCACCTGCGCCTGCACGTGCTGGTGATGGGCTTCCTGGGCAACTCGAAGGGGGTCGCCGCCCCGCGCCTCAAGGACGTCGAGTTCGACATCCCGGACCCGGACGCCAAGTGGCGCGAGATCTACTACGAGCTGCTCGGCTACATGCGCGTCATGTACCAGACCTGCCACCTGGTCCACGCCGATCTGAGCGAGTACAACATGCTCTACCACAAGAACCGCCTCCACATCATCGACGTCAGTCAGTCCGTCGAGCACGACCACCCCCGCAGTCTGGAGTTCCTGCGCATGGACATCAAGAACGTCAGCGACTTCTTCCGCCGCAAGAACGTTGACGTCCTCCCCGAGCGCACCGTCTTCGAGTTCATCATCGCCGAGGACAGCGGCCCCACCGTCCCCACCCCCGTCGAGCCCATGCTCGCCGCCATCGACCACCTGTACGCCACCCGCGCCGAGAAGGGCGATGAGGTCGACACCGCCGTCTTCCGCCAGCAGTACATCCCCCAGACCCTGGAGCAGGTGTACGATTTCGAGCGCGACGCCGAGCAGGTCCGCGCCGGCAAGGGCGCCGACCTAGTGTACCGGGATCTTCTCGCAGGCGGGAAGAAGTCCGCTGACGATGTCGACGAGGACGCCAGCGACGCCGGCTCCGATGCCAGCGGTGGTGGCGTCTCAGTCGAGGGATCCGAGTCCGGGGAAGGGGAGGAGGTCGACCCGTTTGCGCCCAAGCCACCCCGTGGGAAGCGCTTCGAGGACAAGGACGAGAAGCGCGACCACAAGCAGAAGGTCAAGGAGGAGAAGCGGGAAAAGCGCGCTAACAAGATGCCCAAGCACATGAAGAAGCGCTTGGTATCGGGTTCCTCGCGCAAGAAGAAATGATCAACTCGCTTGTTGCTCATTTCCTAAATCCACCCTCTTTATCTTTCTGGGTTGGGAGGTCAACCCCGCCCTTGGCTCTGGGAAAAGGGGAAAAAGTTCATTTTGCTTATGCACGATCTCATGATAATTACTTTATGACTCCGGGTTTCGTTCTTGTCTCGTTCTGGGTAGTAATGGTCGGTTGTTGTCTATGTCTATATAGATCACTTGGGAGTAAATAGATACGCATACGTAGAAAGCGTTCGGAAATGTGAATAGGACTCTGGAATTCTGCATGGACACAAATCTGAAGATATCTTAAGCATTTACTATCTCCATCGATTTCCTCAAAGTATGAACCAATCAACCTATCAGAGCTCTCTTTGAACATCAAACTAAGCCATGCACGGGACTAGGTAAACGAGAACAATGTGCAGGTGCTTACGTCGCAGAGACGACCATGGCTCAGGAGTATGCATCCAATGAAAAGTTCATGTCCATGTTATACGGACACCTAGCCAGGACATGGCTCTGTGAGTCAGGGCGAGGAAACGCCTATCGGTGATTTCATCATGTAGGTTGACTGGAACATACAGGGGAGGGGGGCGAGATCTGTGTTTCAAACAAATTCTCAAGCTCTGTCAATGAGATGTCAACGACTAGCCGACTTGCTTGCTCCTTGCCTGCAAGCGAGCGAGAGCTTGCTCAACAATCAACTTCGGTAGGTCAGGGATGACTTCATCATCGACGATGGGCTCTTCAGCTGCTGATGGCCGCTGCTCATCGCTGGACTCGCCGGCAGCACGATCAGGTGCCTCAGATGGCTCTCCATCTCCATTCTTTACATGGCCGCCAAGGATGCGTCGGAACTCAATCCGCATGGGTTCACGGCCAATGCCAGGCCAGATATCCGACGGCAAGTAGTCACCTTGCTCCACTCGGAATGCTTCGCGAGCATTGACGTCCTCCTCATAGAGCTGGTCCAGCTTGTGCTTCGCATCGCGTAGCACTTTCTCAACACGTTGCCGGACATGTCTTCGCCGCGACACTTCGAGAATGAGGCTGTCGTAGGCCTCCAGGAAGCCATCATATAGTGAATTAAGGTCAGAGAGGTCCGAAAGACCGCCGTCAATCCGTTCATGCTCCTCGTTCCATACACGCGTGAAATTGTGTGCCTGCGCAATATAACCGGGTAGACGTGCTGAAGCTAGCGACGAGATGTGACCAAAGACGTCCGTCGTTGCACTGTAAATAGAGAGTAGACTATCCCGGTTACAGACTAGACTTTCCAGAACAGATTCCATCTCGCCAATGCGATCCTGGATCTCCATCACAACATCCTCCGCCTCAGCAGCATCCTTCATGAGTACGTTGACCATCTCCAGATATCCAGACTCACTCAGAGGATCTAGAGGGGCATTTAGATGAGCGTTAATTTCTTCCTCAATGTTAGGGCCACCACGGCCGCTGGCATTAACACCAGCCGGCATATCACCAGTGATGTTTTGGGCTGCGGCACCTCCGCCTTCGGTATGCTTGACGGCAGTGACGCAGAGATCGAAGTGCCGCACTAATGACTCTAGCAAATTGGCCATTTCCTGCGCATGCATTTCCAGCGAATGCAGCATGGATGGCATGGATGACAGGCTAGGTAAGCTAGAACTAGAGGCAGACGGCGATGAAGAGGAGGAGGAGCGAGAGGAGGCTAATTTCGTAGCCTCGCGGTAGTTGCCCAGGGCTTTCTTGATCGACTGAAGCTCATCGTCAAAAGCATAGTTGGAAGAATCCAGCTCCGCTTGAGCAGCGTTGGTGCGGTCGATTGAAGCCTTCAGCGCCGCATGAAGCTCGTCGACACCACGTTCATCAACAAAATCATGTAAGCTTTTTTGGTCCTCTCCATTCGGCCGGAAGGAAGAATGAACGATTGTCTCTCGTAAGAGACCGAGGGTCTTTCTGAGACGGGCATCAGCTGCGTCCAGATCTTTCAGAACGCTGGCAAACTCCGATCGACCTCGGAGAGATATTTCTTCCACCTCGGACCGAACACTGTAAAGAAGGCGGAGTTGGTTGTTGAGCCCACGTCGGAGGAACCCTGTACGTGCAGAGACTATGACACTTTCCTCCAATGCGGAACGAGCGGCAGTGACTATCTCATTGGCTCGCCAGACATGATTGATAGAAGATAGCGAACGCTTCGCTGCGACGAGATGCGAGATAAGAGTGTCCAATTGCGGAATTGAGCTTTCCTGGTCTTTCGCGGTCTCGCCCGTAGAGTGCACATCGTTCGATACGGCCGAGGATTCCATGGCTGACGACATCATGGACCGGGCACGAAATCACGACATCAAAGACAGAATAAAGAGTAAGGTTGAGCAGAAGCTCGTACGACGACAAGTGCTCGGCTAATGAATTCCTTCACGTGCTTGGACAGGTCCTTGAATGCGAGATCTGAGACAGAGGACCAGTGACCCAATGAGACGTGTTCCCTAGGTAGGATATGTCGCGAGAATGGATAAAATTGGTACACAATCACCTCATAAAGCATATGTTGAGTCTCGCCCCCTGTTTGTTTGTGTCTGTTGACGCCTTAATCCAATATTGAGCGTCAATCCCATGCTAACTATGCATCTGGCGGTGAGTTTGATGGACGCTGACTGGTAGATATGGTCTGACTGTGCGACAGCGGTGTAAGCCTCCATTATAGGTCATAAAAGTCCCCTGTCTCAGGAGTCGATCGAAAGTCACCGAGCAAGGCAGAAGGATGAATCAGGGGGGATGAGGTTAGAGGACTGGGCACTGGGCCGACTGACCTTGGTGAGCTACTGCCCGACTGTCCCGCGTCAGGGCAAAACAAGAGTATGGTAACTAACCTAAGGTGAATCCAAGTAGTGATGACTAAGGTAGAATCATTGCGCGATTCGACGCAAATGGAAGTGATCGGGATCGCCAGCGATATTGGGGGTTAGAACGGAACGGAGGGATAGGTGATGTCCGGGTGCATCCTGAGTTTGTTGTAGTCGGGGGATTCGAGATGACGGAGATGTCACGATAGGCAGGCGGAGAAGAGAGGCCTAGAGGTCAGGTGTCAGCCTGCCCGCATCGTCACCGCCCAGCGTATGAGCTCCGGAGAGTATGTAGAGACGGGCTCTAGAATACTCAGAATTGATTGCTTATCTTCCTAGATTGACCCCAGATCCGGAGCTCCGGCGTGGTATGCAGCTAAGCCCAGCTAGCCGTCAATCGCCTGGAGTAGTGCACCACTGAGTCAGAAACAAGGATCCGCAGTTGGCAAAAGAGTGGGAGAAGATGGCGACATTGGCGACAGATGGCAGAATTATGGAGATTATGGAGACGGCCGGCTCAATTCTGCCGTGGCAAAGCGCTTTTACCGCTGTTGTGAACTCCAGCCGCGATGGCGCAATCGCCGCACGTGACTCGGCCGCCCCCCCAGTCAGTAGCCGACGAGGCATGCTTTGCGTGATCGCTGCTCGATGTCGCGATCGTGGAAGAACACATCCCTTTTTTCCTCCGATTCTTATTTATCTACCTATACCCTTGCACTGTTTCTCAAAGTGAAGTTTGGCTGGTCCATATCTTTTCGTTGGACGACTATTATATCCCGCATTGAATTTACCCTGACTACATAACGACCAACCAACCATAGTTACAATATACTACACTAAATCTGCCTCCCGCCTCCCGCCCTGACCCCGAGTCACACTACCTTTGCGCAACTACGACCTTGACGACTGCTTCAATCAAACAAGAACCTTTACCAGGGTCCTCATTACACGCTTTTCCTCCCCACTCTCTTTTATCACAGAAACAAATCTCTTCAAGCTATTTACTGGTTGACCAGACGCTCTGAAATTCACAGCGACCTTAGAACAGTGTTCGTTGCGACAGCCGAGGCCACGCAAGCCTGTGAACACTCAGGTGCTAGGGCACGTCCACTATCTTCGCATCGACAACAGAGATGGAAAACGCTCGGCAAGAAGATGATATGATCGTCCCCTCGCAGTCTTCGGTGCAGTCTATCTTCGGTGGACCAGCTGAAGCCGTCGACTACAGTAACGATGCCGATTCCGACACTCATCAGCACGAGCCCCACAGCCCTCCCGACCTAAAAGCAACTTCTGCGACCCTCGGCGATCAAAGCGTGGCACCTTTTCTCGCTCGACACGTTCCCGAACAGTACGGCGCTCTTGGACCCCAGAACAAGGGCCTGATGGAGCTGAGCGGCGCGGATTCACGCTATTGTTATCGCCATAGGCCTGACCGTAAATGCAGGCGACAAGCAGACGAGCCGACCATGGACAAATTACAGCGAGTGAGTCTTGCCATACCCCGCCGGTCTATTGCGCGTTTATTTCGACAATCGCAGCATGCAATTCTAGTTTTTCTCCAAGCTAATCGTTTTCTTGCATAGGAATTGGAAACACTGCCGCAGAGCGATCAGCAGGGTATCGCACATGTTTGGTCCCTCTTCTCCGCCGCGCCAGCAAAACACCGAAAATTGCTCCTTCAGGGTATCATGGCTCAATGCTGCTTTCCGCAACTCTCCTTCATTTCCGCGACCGTTCGAGATCTCATCCGCATCGACTTCATCGCGGCACTTCCCCCGGAGATCTCTTTCAAAATTCTGTGTTACCTGGACACAACTTCACTGTGCAAGGCCGCGCAAGTATCACGGCGATGGAGAGCTCTCGCAGATGATGACGTGGTATGGCACCGGATGTGCGAACAGCATATTCACCGCAAATGCAAGAAGTGCGGCTGGGGACTTCCTCTACTAGATCGAAAGCGTTTGCGGGAATCGAAGCGTGAAATCGAACTGCGCGCCACAAACTGGGACATCAGCGGACCGGCAGCGGGTGCTGCTACCACCTGCAACGCGGAGACTGATGCGGCAGCGGTTGTTCCAGCGAACCCAGCGAATCCAGCCAAGCGAAAGCCTGATTCGAGCGAGGAACAGTCCACTCTCGTCAAACGCCATTGCTCGTCGCTTGCTCCGGCCCCGGGCCTTGGGAATGACGACGCCTACTTCAAGACACGATACAGACCTTGGAAGGAAGTCTACAAGGATCGTTTCAAAGTGGGAACGAATTGGAAATATGGACGCTGCTCCGTCAAAGTTTTCAAGGGCCACACGAATGGTGTGATGTGTCTCCAATTCGAGGACAACATTCTTGCCACGGGGTCTTATGATGCTACGATCAAGATTTGGGATACCGAGACTGGCCAAGAGCTGCGCACGCTTCGTGGACACGAATCTGGCATTCGTTGTTTGCAGTTTGATGACACCAAATTGATCAGTGGTAGCATGGACCGCACCGTCAAAGTGTGGAACTGGCGCACTGGCGAATGCATTTCCACCTATACCGGCCATCGCGGTGGTATCATTGGCCTACACTTTGATGCCACTATTCTCGCTTCTGCATCTGTTGATAAGACTGTCAAGATTTGGAACTTTGAGGATAAGTCAACCTGCCTTCTACGGGGACACGCAGACTGGGTCAACGCAGTGCGGGTGGATTCCATGTCTCGTACAGTGTTCTCAGCCTCGGACGATTGCACCGTCCGACTCTGGGACCTGGATAGCAAGACCTGCATTAGGACATTCCACGGGCATGTGGGTCAAGTCCAGCAGGTGATCCCGCTTCCTCGGGAGTTTGAATTCGAGGAGCATGATGCGGAGTGTGAAAACGACAATGTCAGCACCATCTCTGGGGACATCGAGCCGGCCTCTCTTCAGGCTACACTGGGGTTAGAGTCCAATTCTGTCATGTCGCAGAGCTCGCCTTTTGGACCCGCTTTCGCAGACGGCCGTCCAGCACCACCGCGCTACATCGTCACCAGTGCTCTGGACTCGACGATCCGTCTGTGGGAGACGAGCACCGGTCGCTGCCTGCGCACGTTCTTCGGCCACTTGGAGGGTGTCTGGGCTCTTGCCGCCGACACCCTTCGCATTGTCTCGGGAGCCGAAGACCGCATGGTCAAGATCTGGGATCCCAGAACGGGCAAATGCGAACGCACATTCACTGGTCACTCCGGCCCCGTCACTTGCATGGGACTCGGTGACAGTCGCTTCGCCACCGGCAGCGAGGACTGCGAGGTCCGAATGTACAGCTTCCAGAGCTGATGCCTTCTCTTTTTTAATTCTTCCTACAAATCTCCTTCCGCTAAAAGCTACGAGTGGCTTGGTTTAATGTTTGTTGTCATTGAAACTTTATGAAAATACCCATCATGTTTTCTATTTTCAGGCGTGGCTGGAGGGTTCGGATGGCTGGAGGAAGCCTGGCGTTGGTGTTGTGTTGTTCTGCTGGTCTTCTTAGGTTATGACCTATTTCCAATTCATCTGGTAATGCGGTTTATCATGGTTTAGAGTGTGCTACGTAAACTAAAAACTGAAGAAGTCTTTGTGAAATTTCTTGGGGTTTAGACTGATGCTAAGTGTGTTAGTGCTTAGAGATGCCTAAGAATGACTTTAAGCACAACAATACTAGGTAGCATCTTCCTCTTGCCCTATAAAGTAAAGCGCACATCCCATTGTTAAGAGTATGACACTGAAATATTCTCCCCAAAAATGCACGTCATCTCCCCTGGAAGATGCTCATACTACTGACTCATAGACAGACACACACACACGTTCCACATCATGTATTGATCCATTCAAATCTTTGATAATAGAGTATAGAGCTTCGAGGTTCATTCAAAAACCACACATTCCCGTAGTAAACCAAGCTATATAACACCCCCATGCTCCAAATATACCACCTAACGCAGTCAACCCCAGCCCGACAAGCAACCAAAATCACCAGAAAAAAAAAGGTAAAGTGTAGCTAAGCCGCAGCAAATCAAAACAAACCAACCCAACCCAAACAACCATACAACCCCAACACCCAGTATATATCCCATCTTCTCCAACCCACACAACTCCCACCCCAAACTCAAGGCTTGCACGCCAACCCCTCCAACTGCTGCGCAACGAGCAGCGTAGCCACGATAATCAGAATCATGATGCCGATCTGGCCGAACAGGATCCAGTGCTGGTTGTGGACGATGGCCTCGTTGGTTCTGAGAAGGTGCTCATCCATACTGGCTTGCTTGAGGTGTATAGGGTTGGCATGGGCTGCAGGGGCTGTGGAATGCGGTGTTAGTGAGACTCGAGCTTTGAGGGGATGTTTTGGATGCTATTCTGGATGTTATGGCTGCTCTTACCAGCTGTACTGAGCGTTTGTGTTGCGACGACGCGTGGGCTGGTCGAAGGGGAGGAGCCATGTCCTCCTGGGATGGGGATGACGATGTAGTCCATCTCGTGGGTTTCTGGGGGTGGAGATGAGGAGGAAGAGGAGGAGGAGCTGGAGCTGGAGCTTGATGATGACATGGTTCTTCAGTTCAGTTGAGTGAAGCTGTATCGAGAAGGAGAGGATGTAGTATTTCAGAGGAGGTTGGAATGGATATTGGAGAAGGACTTGAAGATAGATAGAATTTTGTTGCAGAAGATCAAGATCCTGCACTACCGAGGTGCGTTTTGCTAAAGATCCAGCGGCTGATGTCCCCATTACGTCCTTTCCACGTTGAAGATGATTCACAGTCTCCCTACACCAGAAGGACCGGCGGTGGTGATAATGATGAAGTCAGCTGGACACTCGACCAGCCCCAGCCCTATAAGGATAAGTATTTCCACGCCGACCTGTGCCGTCCAGTTCTCACCATTTCAACCCGCATAGAGAAGCCTATAGAAAAGATCAAGAGAGCATCCCCAACAATGAAGCCCGAGTTATCACCATACCAAGACCCGCTAGACCACACCCCAAGAACGACCACCCCCCCACCCGCGTACATCACCATCGATTTATCTGGCAGCGCAGAAGTCTACGGCCTCGAAGCATATCCATCCACATACAATGACGAAAGGCCTCAGCCCATCTACGTTCCACCGCAGTCCACCGTCACCGTCACCGCCACTGTCTCAGAACCCGAACCCGAACGAAGACGTCGTGAGTCTTTCCCACCGCCACATATCCCCACAGAACCATCCTGCCCAGTTTCCTCCAACAATCTAACCCATGAAATTGCAGGACAATGTCCCCCCCTTTCCTCCATCATCACTGAAATCGTCATGACGGCCATAATCGGCGGGGCCTTTGCCCTCACAGTGGTCGCGATTGTTTTCAGAGTGAAAGACGGTAATCTACATTTCTTCCCTCCCCTAGATCACTTTTATGGGCAATTCCATATGGCGTAGAAATTTCCACTGACGATGTCCTCTCCCTTTTTCCGAATCCAGCAAAAGCCGCTGCCAAAGCTGCTTCTTGAAAGCCACGGTTCCGTTTTTCTGCCTGCTCTCAACCCTCCAGATTAGTCTTCAGGGTAATAAATGTGGGTGATGTGATTGGGGGATTAAGCTGGGTAGGGCTTTGCTCTGTTGGCTTCAGGAATGGGGCCTGGGTTTTCTTTGCTCTGCTCTTCATGACTTTTAGAGGTCGAGGGGATCATTTGCTGGGTGTTTTTGGTTCTTGGAATATGAAGAGTATAGGGTTAAGTTTATAGTTGGGCTAATACCCTATCTTAGAGGGCCTGGCTTATAATTAATCGTCGATCTCATATACTGCAAGCTAGGTACTTTGAAAAATAGCTTTTGCTTAAGACATCTTTCAGGAAGTCTATATCAGTATCAGTTTATCACCGAAGATCAAGATTCTGCCCAGTATCAAGATGTACTACATTCTGCTCCAAGCTCCAGCAGCGGATATCTTTCTTACATGCTTCCTACGCGTTGAAGAGGATTTACATCATCTCTACACTAAAACAAACCGACAGGAGTGATAATAATGAAGTCACTTCGTCACTTGACCAGCAACCGCGCTGCAGACCTAGCTATATAAGTATCTCTACACTGACTGATCTCGCTTCAGCATTTCCTTGTTCCTTTGACCTACTCCCCAGAAAGAAGCAAACCTATAAAGAAAAGTCTCAGAAGTCTCTCGTCTACAATCATGGGGCCCGAAGAATCCTATCCACCGCCATACCAAAACCCTCAAGACCACCCTTCGTCAACAATAACCATCCCACCACCCGCGTACATCACGATCGACCCATCCAGCAGCGAAGAAGTCCACAAGCTCGACCACTTCCCACCCAAATCCGACGACATCGGAGCCAGCTTCACCAACCCAGCCAAGTCCACCGCCACCGCCACCATCTCAGAACCAGAACGTCTCCACCAGCCCCCTGCAGCCCTACCTAAACCCAGCCTCTCATTCAAGCCCATCACCATCCCCACCACCGCTCTCAGAGGCAAACGCAAACGCAACCCCCCCAACAGCAATCCATATCCATACACAGGAACCCTAACCCGCAAACGTGAGCTCCTCCCCCTGCCATAACATCACATACCAAGCCTTCCAATGCATCCTCCAATCTAAGCCTCAACCCAGGCGTATGCCCCTGCTCCAGAAGCAGTGTCATAATAGGAGTTATCCTGCTCAGTGTCATCGGCTTATTCATCGGCGGCCTATGCGTTTTGCTCGATCGGGAAGGTAAAACTGCATTCCATTCCCTTCTTCATCTACGTTATCTACATTGAAGAAAAAGCCCCCGAAAGAAGACCCTGAACTGAAAATGCTGTCCCGAAATAAAAAGAACTAACAGAGTCTTCTCTCTCCGACTTTAGAAAAGAGAGAGGCCGAAGCGGGGATTACTCATCCTGACTTCTGGGGCGCCTTCGTGATAGCTATGAGCCCCTGGACTTGGTTTTCGTGATCATGAGGCGGTGATGGAATTGGGAGGTTTGGGTGGGGTAGGTAGGGCTTGCTCGGTTGACGTTTAGTTAAGGGGGTTGTTTGCTGTTCGTGGGTTTTTGGGGTATGGAATTATGGCCTAAATTGGGTTGATGGTTGGGTTTGAATTCTAGAACGCGAGGTGCTTTGGGTAGAGCTTGGTCTTGTGAGACTGGTGTGGGTGAGTGTGTAGGAGGTATGTTGACAAAGCCCTTAAAAGGCAAGACAAGGATAGATGGGGTTATGCCGCTGTTCTTATTGCTGTAAGCCTAGCTGGAACAATCATTCTCACTTCTTCTATCTGGGTGAATAGTAGAATGTATAGTTTTCATTCCTATAATCAGTGGTTGACCTGTCTTCGAGCCAAAAAGTCACAGATCAAATCAAGGATCTTGGAGTAGAAGTGCACACGGAAGGCAATTATCATAATCATATCATCTCAACTGTAAGAACAAGAATACCACTGTTTGATCATAAAGCATCATATATTATACAGTAGCAGCGATAACATTAAAATTACTATCAACGATTCATTGAGTCTTAGTGCAATCAATAGGCCCATCTATAGAACAAACAACAAAACAGTATCCAAGTATAAACTATAATTTTGGGACTTCTATTGAACTTTCACAGATCTTTTACTTTTGTATACAAATTAGGTAGAAGTACTAGTAAGTTCAAATCCAAAAAAAAAAATACATACATTAAGAAAATTCATAAGCAAGTCAACAGAATAGTAGATTGCACATGTAGTTGCCAAATAGAACCAACTGAACTAATTCTTTTAAGATTTAGAGGAAACCCATTTATTTTGGAAAAGCAGATAGGGCAGGTACACAAGCTTATACCAACCTATCCTAATATCTCAGAAAGACAACTAGGTCTGACAGATAAAACAAAAATAGCAGCAGCTATAGTATATGCCAACAATTTACTTGTTATTATACTTTACTATCCCGATTATTTATCTTCATCCACACTGCTAATGTAAAGAAATAATTCATAATTCTATGATCTTTGCGAGCTATGCGTTGTTCCAAAAACCTTCTCACCTTGCAGCTCTTCTGAGCGGGGTAAGGACTACTAGTAATGAGATCATGGATGCCACAAGCATCCTCTTGCTCTCTGTTCCAGTTTAAAACCTGCTCTTGCCCCCTAGATACAGCATACGCCTCTCAAGAATCTCTAGACTAGACCGAACACTTCTCAAAAAATGCCCCGCGACGCAGACTTCCTCAGCCCCCGCGAGCTGCTGGTCAATGATGGGTTTGTCTGCAAGCTTGCCTCCTTTCGCAAACTGGGGGATCTCTGCATCAGGAATGAAAGACTGCCCGATTCTGACGATAGCCTGATGCAACAAGCCGGCTTTGAGAATAAGGCCTATAACGTGGTGGTATGTCCTCTCTGAGACATCATTGACACAGATTCCACCTACGGACAAAGGCGCTCTCCCCTCCTGGCTAACTGCGTGTCAAGCTTCCGTCTTACTTGCAGCCGATCCCCATTCAATTCCAGACGGTACTGCTCAGTCCATATTCCACGCTGCCCCTCACTCATTCACTAACGGTAGACAGGTCCGGCAAGTCGCTAATAACCTCAATGTACGCCGAGAACCTCGCCTCGCTGCTGCTCAACTTGGAAGAGGATAACTCAGCCCCCCCCCCCCCCCCCCAGACGTGGTTCCCATTCTACAAACTGACAATCACACGTCTTCATGTGACAGGGAGAGCACAACTATACCGAGACTGTGTGCAGCACGGCCTTGAAACTTTGTTCCGCCGCGTCGGACGATTACGGTACGTGTCCATTCTTGTCTCTGCCCCAAAAGAGACATCGAAACTTAACCACTCACACTTAACCTAAAAAAAAAACCAGACAAGATATTCCAGGACATGGAGGCATTGAGACAAGACCCCGACAACGACAACCTCAGGGACAAGGTCCAACAAGAGATCACCGATCGAAAGTACCAAATCGACATACTTAAAGACCAGGCGGACGCCTGGAGCTCGAATCTCAGAACTTACAGCCTGGATGCGGAGGATTGCGAGGTCAATGTGCGTCAACTGGCTGCCCCGTTTCAGGGAACGACGCTGGCCGACATTTTGAAAGATGAGATCTCCGATCCCGAGGACCTGCAAATGGACCTTGATGCTCTGGATTGGACTAAAGTAGGTTCCAACCTTGACAGGTGGATGACTGCGTGCTTGTAACTGACTTCCAATCAGAATCTGCTCGAGGGCTTTGCCATGATCGATGACTTGCAGGATTCACTGCAGGAGGTTCAGAAGATGGCTGGTATGTCCTGGCATTTGTGGTCATCTAGCCTCTGCGTTAACGTGATAAGCAGGAGCTGCTTACCTTATTGCAGACGATATAGACGTGCTGCTGAAGTACGTCGAGGATCACCTTGATCCGGATGATGACCCGTTAGATGGTCTGGTAGAAGCGACCCTTCTGCGTAAATGGAAGAACCTGGAGAATGACGGTATGTCAAGGTCCAATGTACCCTGTCTGTGAAAAACTGCCTGGTGCTGATTAAATTGCCCAGTCAATGATTTCTTGGATGCCTACAAACAGTAAGAATCTATTGGATAGGCCGTTCCAGCGATTGAACATATGCTAACTACCGTGTGTAACCAAAGCTCTTGTGTTGGGTCCACAGAGAACAAGATGCAACGGTACTTGAGACGAAAACACATGAAAATCATAATGAGAAGACCGGCCGGTAGAACGCGTCCCAGTGTAGCTCCTGTATTTCCAGTGTACTCAAATCCAGGTCGTCGGGGTTTTCAAGAGTAAGCTTCCAGAGTGTAAACGGCGGAGGTTGAGCGTGCTCGTGGTCATCGTACGTGGCTCGCTCCTGTCGCGGAGCCACGCGCCCGACTTGTCAACCTCGTAGACATAGCGGTTCTGTCGGGGCTTGCTGACAAAATGCCAGACCTTGGTATCCTTTGTGTCGGCGTCATACCCGAGATCCGAATAGGTCCCGGAGGTTTCGATGCGCAACCTCACAAACGCGCGGCCATCGTGTACCGCGTCGGGCGTGGGTTTCACCCCGAGCAGGCGAGGCTCTAGGCCATTCAGACGGTAGTGAAAACCCCCGGTGAAGGGGTATGCGTAGTTCTCCGGGCCCGGGTCGTAGTTGGCGCCTGGAATGGGCAAGAGCGTGAACGTGGCACTGTACCCTTGCGCACTGCTCTTCAGGCCCGCGATAACCGTCTCGGGAAAGCTGGATGCTAACTACGAAGAAGTGCGCTCACATCAGTTTTGGTCGTCGGATGACTAGCCAGAGTTGAATCTTTCCTGGGCCGCCGGGGCTCGTACCTCATCAGAAAATGTGATAGGAGTAGTAGCTGAGTCGAAGACACGGATTAGCTGTGCGAACCCCTAGAATGTCACCGAAACCTGGATTCTACCCACGCGTGTATCCATTTGCATATTGATTCTTGACATCTTGCATCGCACCCCGTAGATATGCAATGCAGTTGGTTATATCCTCCACCGACATCTGGGAGTCCAGATTGACCTCGGGTTCTTCCAGAGTGTAGAAGCGACAGGCATCGACCGCATATTGCAACTGAATGGCGAGCGCGGTCCGCAGCTGGAGGTATCGATCGTAGAACTTCGCTTCGGCCTGAGCATAAGCATCTTCCTCTTCCTCGTAGTGGGCGAGCAGCCCGTCGATGGCCTCGATGTCGCGGTTGGCTTCGAGCACCAGGAGGGTGGCCTGGACATATTCCTGGCCTTGCTTGACAGCTTCGGCCTGGGCCTGGGCTAGTGCTCGGCCGTGCACCGCATGCTTGCGCAGGGTCAAGCGGTACTCACTGGCTCCGTCGATCGCGGGATTTTGTTGCGCGGTGGCCCATTCCATCTGTTGGTCGGATTCCAACTCCCACTCATCCCAAGCAGCCAGGCTCATGATCAAGCTGGCGTCTGCGTCGGTCCCATCGGAGCCGGAGACGTCGCCCCCCAAGGTCGGAAGGTCAATATCATCATGATCTCCCAGACGGTCAATCTTGCCCGCCGCACTGACAATATCGGCAATATGGGGGTACAGCTTCCCCAAGGCCTTAGTATACTCCCACAGATTCTTGAAGGCCTTGGAGCCGAGGATGACATCCTCCGCCGCCCCTGCCGTTTTCTCTGCTTCCTCAACGTCTTCGACGATCTTTTCGACCGCGGAAGGGTCGCCCGACCCTTTCCCTACGGCGTAAATTCCGGCCGCAAAATCTAAAGGCGGCGGCGGGCCACGAACGTGTCAGTTCAAGGAATCTGGCCCCCGTGACGGGATTCAACAGAAAAAAACAGGGAAACACCCACTAAAGATGGCACCAAGGATTGCGCAAATTGCCAGGAAGGTCTGGTTCTGTTTCCATGCTGCAAGACCGGCTTTGAACCTCTCATGTGCAAGTCTTAGCTCTTCTTCATCGTCACTAAGCATTTTGTCGCAGGCTTCGACGGTATCGGCTGCCGCCTGATATTTAGCCAAGGCCTGCGCCTGTAGATCGACTCTGGTTGACTGTGTGTTCTGAACGGTTTCCAGAAGGGCCTCCCCCGCCGCCCTGGCGTCATCGACTTGGTTTTCGGCGGCCTGAAAGCGCTCGTACTGGTCCTGAAAATCCTCGGCGGCCTGTCGCTGGGTCTCAAGCGTGAGGACATACTCGTCAAAGGTGAGGGTCGGAGCATAATAGGAGTCGGGACCGGTCATGGCGTGGGCCGCCAATTGCTGGCCCAGGGACACGGCTTGGGCCTGGGACAGCGCATGCGAGCCCGCGGTGGCCACGGACTTGGCCACCCACGAGCAGATCGAGATGGCGACGGCCGGGGATGACCAGCAGACCGCGAGGGCGACTCGCAGTTCCGTGTCCAGGAAGGCTTGGTAGGCCACGGTCCGGTCGTCCCCGTGTCGGTCGCTGTAAGAGACCTGCAGCTTGCCACCGTCGAATTTGATCTCCGCTTGCAAGTGGCCGGAATCCACTCCAAGGTCCAGCTCCGTGCGCTGATCGCCCTCGATCGAAACACTGATCGGTTGATCGAGAACGGCGGCATAAATCACCATGATGCACTTTTTGGCGCCACCCTTGGACATATTGAGATGGACGGGCTGGTCGGCGGTGATCACCCGGGCGTTGACTTCGAGCTCGGTCAGTTCGTCGGCCGACATTTGGATCTCGGGCGCGGTCAATGCGAGGATATCGGTGTAGATCTCACAGTAGCGGGGGAGCTGCTGCAGGATGGGTGTTCCATCGCAAAAGATAGAACGGTAGGTTGGTCCCTGCACGCGGAGGAGGGATTCTTAGAGCAGATTGAAAGAAGAAATACAACAAGGATCGATTCCTACCATTGCATTGTCTTCATCCTTGGACTCATGGTTTGGGATGTCGTCCACCTGCTTCATCTGGCTGAATTTCTGCCATTGTGCAGGATTGTGAGGCTGTGTGTCGGTAGACATGCTGCATCAATTCAATTGAACGGAACGAGAACTGTAAAGATTTGAATTGGCGAGAAACATTTGCTTTGTATATCGGAGAGGAGTGGTTAACGCGGGTGATGTTCTTAAATGGTCAAAAAGCAATAAGGCAGCGAGCCGATCGACCCAATGCTGCAACCCAGCCTTGCTGTACACTTCAACAGCATGACTCGCAGCTGTACGCCAAACCTTGCACATGCAACTCGGAACCAGACGGCTACAGTATAGTTCGAGCGGGGTTGGCGTCAGTAGGTTATGCCAACCATCCATGTCGAGCATCTCCTCAGACCATAAATACCCAGTTCTCTCGAAGGAATGACCATGTCGCGTCCTCAGCATCTGAATCAACAGCTCCTCAACCTGCCTCATCTTCACATTCACACCAGCTAGATCCGCACGGCCCAAGATGTCCACGGCCCGCGACGACGAAACAAGATGGTTCCCCATCGGACAGACGGTGGAAACGCCTTCGCGCGCTGCTCGACGGACCGGCCACACCGTGAAGGATAGTGGTGACGACGACGACGATGATGGGGCCACCTTTGCTTTCGCCGACGCGGACATGGGCAAACTGAACCGCTATCTCCATGGTGGAAGAGTGTTACCACGCGACAAAGACAGTTTCTGCCAGAAGGTCGGCATCTTGGACCAGAGCAAGATCACCGACCACATCTGGACCCAGATCAATAGTCTGATCGGGACTTACAAGGAGGCAAGTCGAGTCTCTTCATGAGTTCATGCCTTCCCAAGTGGAATCCAGTATCATAAAGCCGATTCCCGCTGACCTGGCTATCCAGATCTTCACGGACTGCACCGAGTTCCTCGGTAGTGACAGCAGCGCCGAAAAGCCCCGACAGTGGATGAAAGAGGATGATGGCGATGACAGCGCCTTCGATGCCCTCTGTACTTTCGATAAGATGAACACCCTTGCGTCGCAGATTTACGGCTATGCGGACACCGCTGGGGCGGATGACAGCTCTTATTATCGCTTCATGTTCCAGCAGTGCGAGAAGTACAATGATCCAGACGCAACCTCCGAGGACAAAAAGAAGGCCCAGAAAGCCATTGAGGATGTCACGGAGGATTTGCTGAGTGATATCGCACCCATGCAGCTCCACGCTAAGAAGGTCTCGGATGCCCTGGATTTGTTTGAAAAAGCCTGTGAGCAGAGAGAGAATGCGCTCGTGGACTCGGAGACGAGCATGACCACCATTCTCAACGTGGATCTGGGAGATATCGACGACTTGCGGGAAAAGATTGACTCGCAGCTGGCGGATATTGCGGCCGACCAGAAAATCATCGATGCGGGTCAGTCCCAGAAACAGAACCCGTCCAGACTCTTCGCGCTCAAGCTGTTAACTTGTGAATGACTTTTAGATCGCTATGATCAAGAAATGACCGCGGCATACGTTTGGATGTAAGTTTTGCTCACTCCCTCACTCAACAAGTAGCACCCTGTGCGCCCCTGTCACTCCCTGCCCCCCCCAACTAACCTGTTGGCCATAGCCCTATCATCGGGACAATCGCTGGCCCCATCGTATTTGCGGAAAGGCAGGCGGATGTTGAGAAATACGAGAAGAAGATTGCGGACCTGAAGGCGTCGATCAGCTCCGAGCAGGACAAGATTGCCCTGCATCAGCAACTCCAAGGCCATGTCACTGCGATGTCGGTAAGCTCACCATCACCGGGTTGCCTAACAGAAAATCCCGGAACTAACATCTGATGTTTAGAAACAATGCCAGGACCTGAAAGCACTCATCGGTCCGGCTAAAGAGACGGCCGAGAAGCTTGAAGGTGGCTGGAACTTGATAGGAGATGAGATCCAATTGGTCCACGATACCGCGAAGAGGCTTGAAGACAAGATCCCCGGCGTGGACTTTGCTGAGTACCAGCTCCAATCTATTGTTGGGGAGTGGAAAAAGCTCTATAAGGGTGGTATGAATCATTTTCCCCTATGCCCCACACATGCCCCAAGCTTATGTCCTTTGCTAATGCGATAATTTCAATACTCAGTCAGGGAGTATATCCAAACGGCCCCAGTTGTACCGACGACTGATGTCATGTCAATTGATGACTACCATGATCAGATTAAGGACTTGATCAATTGAGCCTGCGCATGAACACCAACAAAGTAACGAGTGGTGGAAGGTAGTAGGGAAACTGTCAGCCACAGAGCACGTGAAACCTGTATTCTTCAACCATGATATACGGGGTCCGAACCTGATTATGTTTGATGTATCTGAGACGTGAGTAAGCTGCATATTCGTACTTTCTATACTGTAGTCTTTACTCCATATAGTGTTTAAAGCTCTACATATCTGACGTAACATTTATGCTTCTACTTCAGGATCATATAGATTAACAAAACTTCTACTATATACCTATTCAAGGTTCTGAAAGTATAAAAGAAATTATATACTACTTTTACTGCAGCAGCGGCACCCCTACAAAACAAGCAAAGAGGATTTACAGCCAACCATTCCAGTAAAGCAATCGATTCCACTCACCCCTCCAGCTCACCCATCCCGCAGACCCCATCTATACACTACACTACCTAGTATCCAAACCCCCACCCCGACGCAACCCCACAACCCCGAGCCCAAGCCCGACCCCGATTCCAACCCCAAACCCCCCAGGCGTACCAACCACAGACCAACACCCCCCCCGTCCCGCCAGTATCACCACCCGAACTCGCCGAACCCGAAGAAGGATGAGCATGCGCCTCCAATCCCGCGTCCCCGTCACCATCCCATTCCCGCTCAGCAGCAGCAGCAGCATCCGCAACATCCGCAAAATCCATCCTCCCCTTGCCCTTGCCCTTTCCCTCCCGCAGAACAGGCGTATCTCTTCCCATCCGACTTCCCATCCCTTCTCCATCCGCCTTCTCCCACGTGAACGAACTGCCACCCTCCCAACTCCCGGTCCCCTCCTCAAGGGTATCAGGATATCGATCATAGACCAGCGAATACATCTCCCGAGGGGTTCCGTCTCCCTCCCCTTCCTCGCCCAGGACAAGAAGGCTGGGCCCCAGATCCAGGATGCTGATTTCGCTATCCGTCAGGGAGAGTTCGCGGTGGCGGGGCGGGATGGTGATTGGGTGGGGGGGTATGTGGTGGTGGTGGTGGTGGTGGTGGTGTATGCTGGTTCGTTTGGGATGGTGGGATGGGAGATGGTTATGGCTTGGGGTTGGGGTGGGGGTCGAGGCCGTAATCATCATATTGTAGATCTGCTCTGTGGTAGTTGTGGGTATGGTTGTCGGGGAGGTAGGCGTGGCTGTGCTGTGTTTGTTGTTGAGGGCGTGAGTGAATCGGAGAGGAGGAGGAGATGACGACGACGATGATGTTGACGGAGGTGGAGGTGGAGGTGAAGGTGGCGATGCTGCGCGATGCATTTCGTGGCTGTCTTTCATTCTCTCTTCGGTTGTTGAATTGGTGGTGGGATGCTCGTGGTACTGGAGATTTCTCATCTGTAGTCTGGATGAGACGAGATAGGATGGATGGATGGATAAGCACCGCAGCAAAGAGGCGGACCTGATGACAGGATGATTGCAGTTCCAGATGAAAATCCAGTTAAAGCCCCAAAAGCTGGATAGATGACGAAAGCAAGAGAGAAAAAAGAGTAGACGCTTTTTGGAATGAGAGAAGAGCCTGAGCCTGTAGGCCAGAAGTGAGTGAGTGATGGATGAGTCCCGTGCCTTCCTGATCGGGTGATATGCTCTTTGTCTGAAGACTCTGGGTCCTACAGGTACAGTACGGTGGCTGTCGTACTTGGTACCTTGGTATGTGGTAGCTGCCCAAATGTCTGGCCATTAAACTATCTTCTTTATCACCAGGTACATCCATTGTCAGGGCTGCCTCTTTGTTCACTTTGACTTCCTCAGGTCATCGTTCCACAGCACATCCTCCCTGCTATCTATAGTAGCCCCCATTAACGCCCCCGACCTTACCAGCTGACTGGGACTCGTATAGCGCTGATCACTTGAGGCTCTGTTCATGTCGATGGACTATAAGAAACATTGAATTTGAATATGTATTGGCTGCATATGCTGAACACTTAAATATTCTGGAATACATCCTGAGGGCACAATCAACCACTTATGTACTGTACCACTATCCAGCCCTTGCAAGCCAATTACGCATCAACCTCATTGTGACACCAGCGTATCACAACCACGTGGGCCGTCTGTACATCTCTCCTCTCTACTCCGTACGACACTACCTGACAAGTACCTAGTAGAGTTCGATGCAGCAACTGCTGCTCGACCATCTCCATTCACGAACAAGCTTTTAGCCAGGCAACCCCCCCCCCCCCAGTTGCCCCAAACATTCCACAAATATAATGCAGGGACGCCTCTCAGCCATCCATCCCCGTAAATGCAATGCAGCCCGCAATGCAGCCCCCCTACCTTCGCCACCCATCCTTGCCAGACCTGACGAAGCCATCATCTCTTCCAGTGGGCCCCATCCAGTCCATCAGAAGTCGAATGCAACCATAAGAACTCATCCACTTCGTACCATGATATCATATAAATCCTCACAAGGCCCAAGAATTAACAATCCCCCGACCCTGGCGCTGTATAGAGAACACCGTGTATCATTCATTTCACGTTTCCAAAAGAAAATAACAAAGAAAATCATCTCGCCATAAAATTATGGCAAAATTCGGTCTTCCTCGTTCACCTGCAATTCCACCACTGGCAGATCGTCATCGTCGTCGTCATCTCCATCCCCACCGAATGGGTGCAGCTCCTGGAAGGAGGTCTCCTCCGTGGGCGTGCCAGGGAAGCCTAACCCCCCTCCGGGGCTGTCAGTGAGAGCCGCCATCCGGAGGTCGGTGTCGCTGACGTCACCGCCCCCAACGGCCTTGTTACTGTCATCGTCGTCGAGCAAATCATCATCAGAGATCGATCCCCGTTGCGCTGCGGTCATCTGTGAAGGGCCGTGAGCATCCGAGATTTGACTGAACGACCACGAGGGCGGGTCCACGTGGCGGAACGGGCTGGGTTGCGGTCCGTGTCCGAACTCCTCGTCTTCGAAATCCATACCTGACAGTCGATTGGCTTGGCCCATGCTCTGCTCGCCATACGAGGGGCTGTTGGAATATTCCGGCGGCGAGTCTTCATCCGCGCTCTTCGCTTGCGTTCCAGTTCGCAAACCACCATCTCCCAATTGGTGAGCTGCTCCGACTCCGGCTAATGCGCTCGACGACCCATTGCGGGAGGAGCCGCCGAGACGCCGACCTTCCCCCGACGGAGACTGCCCGCGCGACTCGCTCTGGGAGTCTGCGTCGCTACCTGGACGTGTCGATGCCTCGGTGATCTCTTCGAGAACCTTGCCACCCAGGGGACGATCGGAACGACGGCGGTAGAACAAGAGGTAAGCCGACGAGGTGACCACACTCTGCGGATCAAGGGGTCGCGACACAGAAGAATCTAGGTTACGTTAGTCAGCTAGAGTCAACCAGATCGGCAGCACTTGCGGCAGCATACCATTGTATTCGTTCCATTGACCGGTCATGAAGTTCTTGGCGTAAGCCGTGTAGTGACCTCCTCCAAGTCCACCATAGTGGTTGTCCACAGCGAAGAGGTCGTAGATAAGGCTCTTGCCTTCCTCCGGGGCTTCGACTCGGCCGCTCATATCGAGACCTTCCACTGGGAAGTCGACCAGAACATCAAGCTTGTCTCGGAAACCGCGGCTGGCGCTGAATCTCTTGAGATGCATGACCAGAATGTCAGGCGTCTTCCAGAGTTCGAATTTCTTGCTAGCCCGGCGATGCTCCTTGCAGCGAGGGCAGTACCAGGCGTCATTCTCGGAAAGAATCTCTTCCTTGTTGAACTCATCCAAGCACTCGTACAGAGTGACGCCTCTCTTCTTGCGTGTCTGCCGAAGTGCGCGCTTTTTGGACAGCTCCGGATCCGGGTGCCTCTCAACGTTGGTCCACGTCGGGCTACCACGGAGAGAGTCTCTGCCTATGTCGCCAGAGAACAGAGCATCGTAGGCATCCTCTGTCCAGTCGACCACGATGCCTTCGCCCGGTCGGATCATGGGAGGAGCTGGCTTAACAGGTTCAGGCGCAGGGCGTTTGACGTCGGTAAAGACGTCAGAATCGCCAGCAGCGCTGTCCGGACTCTGTTTACCCGAGCTTTCCTCATCGGATTTCTCAGTGGCTGTTTCCGAAGCAGTATCCGTCTGGCAATGCGAGTCAGTGATTTCCCAGAACTAACGAAAAGGCAATAGAATCAGTAATACATACCTCCTGCTTCTTCGGAACAGGCTTTGTCTTGATCCTGAAAGACATCCGGGGGTACTCCTTGTGGTCATCGACCGAGGAAAAGCCAAGAGGGACTACCTCGTTCGATCTGATGATCTTCATTTCAAACAAGCCACGAAGGTTCGAAGGAATGCCACCTTCACGGCGAGCTGGAGCATCTTCTTGAGTGTCTTCTGCGTCGCGCATCGAAACATCGACAATCCCGTCCTCCCCGTCGACTGAAGACGTCTTGATCTTGGAATCAGCTGATTCTGCGTCATCATCGTTCATGACAACAGTATCTGAGTCTTCCTGGTTGGACTCGGTATCATGGACTTCGTTGAGGAAATCACGCGTTGTCATGGAAGCCACCTGCGCGAGAACTTTCCGGAAGATAGCATCATAGTCGCCGAGCTCCTCCCTGTTGATGACAACATAGGAAGGCACACCGAACAGGGGCCGCAGGGTGTTCTTCGGGTTGTTCGACCTTGGCTTCTCATAACGATTGAAGATAGGCACAAGCAGTCGATCCGCCCTGGGAGAATCGATATCCGGAATCGCCTCATGTTCTGACCGATTGAAAGAGAAGTAACTCTTCTGGGGTTTGTCTGGGTTGTAGTTGGTCGGAACAGACTCCACCTCATAAATGGCAATATCGTCGTTATTGCTGATCTGGCATTCGGCGATAGAGTTTGCGTTGTCAAACATCTTGTAGAACTTGTGCTTGTAGATCTCAGCCATGACCAGGCGTTGAGGATCAGATCCCATTTTCTTGGCGACCAACTCCTTAAGAGACTTGATGCTGGCGTGCTTGTCGATCTCCACATCCACAATGACCGGCTTCTTATTTAAAGGGAAGTAGAAAAGCTCCTTGCTCCAGAGATTTTCAATCGGAAGCTGAAGGGTAAGATTGTTGAACGGGTCGAAGATAATGCTGACCTTGTCACAAGCGGGACAGACGAGAGTAGACTTGTACATGCCAGCGAAAAGATCCGTGACCACGGAATCGTTGCGAGCCTTGTAGATTTCCCAGCATTTATCGGCAAACTCCTTCAATTTCGCCTTGTCGTGGACCATGTCATCCGTGGAGTCTGGCTTTTCGATATAGGGCTTCTTCTGGATTCGGTTCAGGTCTTCCTGCAGACCATCAAGAAGGAACAGAAGGAACTCCTGTGAGTCCTGCTGTCCGTAACCAGAGAATGCCGGACCATAGCGGCCGATAGTTTGTTTCAGTTGCCTAGGCGCAAAAGATGATTGGCCTGCCTCGTCGTAGATTTGGCGGAGCAGGTTGGCATAGGCCTTAGCCACATCACCATTGTGGGCCAAGGGGTTGCTAGGGTTGAGATCTTTCTTGTACACCTCATCTAAAACCCACCTGTTAGTACAGATACTTAAGATCGGACCAGCCCGGTGAGCGCGAGATACGTACTCAAGAAATAGTAAGTCAGTTCCTCCACGCTACGGACACACTGCAGGGCAGAGTTCATGTAGCATGTGTTGCCAAGGTTACTCAGACCCGTATTGCCACGGGGTTTGCCATCCTTACGCCTTCCCCTGGCAGGCTCTGGGACTGGCGATGAGCGCCCACTAGTAGCAGGGCTCTTAGTCTTCGTCTTGGTAGAAACCTCGGTCTTGAGGTTCCCGGTTGGCACCCCCAGGCGGTTCAGAGTCTGCTTAGAAGCTTCGGATACCCAGTCGCCCTGTTTCCCAGGAAGTCTCTCTTCGAGTACCACGATATCACTGCCGCCCAGCCCGACAAGATCCAACGGCATGCGACCGTTGTACTTGGGGTTAGTAGTTTGATCAGTAGCATCTTCCAGCAGCTCCCGCTGCGAGCCTTCGGAAAGGGAAAGAAAGGTGTTGAGATCAAGCACAAGACTGCCCCCAGCGTGGGGCGCAGTTGATGCGGAAGGCGCTGGCGAGGCAGTCCGAGAGGCAGCTGGAGTGACCGCAGCGGAGGTGGTGGCACTTCCAAGACCATCCAGGATTCTCCAGACGCGGACCTTGGTCGACATTTCGATTCTTGCAAGGTTCTTTACTTGCTTGAGCCATTTTTGGAAACTTGTGTGCCGACTGGCAAGATGTCGCACAGGCAGCATGTTCTTCTCCTTGAGTGACTTGGGGGTGGTTCCAGCGGACGGGTTCGTGAGCTTCAGAATCGTGAAGATCGGAGGGTTGATCTCGTATTGAATGTTCTCGCCTTCGCCCGGGGGTGCGGTGTTGTGAGCGTAGCGGACGATGGCGGGAGACTGCTCGGCAAGGCCGTACCACTGCATGATCAGGTCCCAACCTCCCTGGGGCACGATCTCATAGTCCTCTCCAAGCTGCAAGCCCGGTCGCAGGGGGACAAACGGCTCTCCATTTTCGTCCTTGAAGCCTGTGTTGGCGGGGTCAGTAACCAGGACGATATCGGAATTGTCGA